GTTGAAGACCGTACTTTGACCTATAATGGTTTACTTTTATAAATTTTGACTTGGATGGAGAGTTGTCTCATGGCACTCATACCACATCTTTTTATATCTATTACAGCAAAGTTAGTTAAAAATTCAGATATTGCTAGCAATGTTGAAGAATACAATAAATCACTCTTTTGAATTATATTTACCAAATGATTTTCAGATGCTTTCAAGCCACTTAACATACTAAACATTGACTTTCTCATAGCAAAACTTCATTCTCAAAAATATTTAACTCGCACTACAACTATATTCATATTCCAATATCATCCTAGAAGCAATATTATACATTACTCGATTCGCATTTTATCTATTTAGACAGAATTCGGTCACCGGAGGCATAAAGACAAACAATAGATGTTCATACAATAAGACTGAAAATTTAATCAACAATATCAACGGTACCAAATTTACGACACCAGATGCTCATTTCGACAATTAATTTTTCTTCAGTGATTCTCGAGGCCAAAATATTTGAAAGTACACAACCTATTTACAAACATTGAAGGGCTTATAAAACCCAAAATGGACTAAAAGTAAATCCAAACCCAGACAAGAAATTAGGACTATGCGGCATGAGGAAGACACATTTCTAACTTCAAAATGATTTCGAATTTTTTTAACAGCAAACTTTAAATCAAACAATATTTGTATTTTTATACCAGTACCGAAGTAGTGTAGATTCTAAGATTAGCTGTCAGCATATTAACCTTGATATTATTTCATTAAGTCATAATCATCATTTCCATTATTTCCAAGATATTTAAATTCATCAACAAATTCTTATAGCATGATTGCCACATAAATAACATTTTGGCACATTATAAATATTCGTATACTTTGTCGTGAAAATCATACACATTGATTTCTTGACATCAGACAAAATATTAATTTCAATAGCTCAATAGCATATTCTTCCCAAATAGATTAGAGCATTCTCAATCAAGCAACTGATGAGATTATTATACCCATATAGTCAGCATAACTAATCCTGTTGACGGGTGTTCCATTTAAATAACAACAAAGATTAACATTAGTTATTCAAATCATTCATTCATATAAAAAATAAACATTTAAGGTGATAAGAGAGAGGATAGATACCAAAGGGACATTCAAACTCATAAGTCGAAAATAAACTGACAACGCCATGGCGCCTGACGTATACCATTCGGCTCAGAAGAAATAGATTTACTCCATCTGATACACGAAATTCAAACCAATTCACGCGAAAACGAATAATATAGCTGGGCATGTCATACTTTTATATAGGAACCGACTTTATTTACTCGAGATGGTGTTGACGGGTCTAATATACAGTTGGTATTTTTTTCATTTTCTCAGTGTAAAATTCCTAAAATTCCTATTTTAGTAGTCGTATTTTAGTAAAATAAATATCTCTTAGCTTTTCGTTATTTTAAAGATTTAATAGAAAAAATGACTTTTGTCATCTAGTGAATACAAAAATACAAACAAATAATGTTAAACTTTCATTGAATGATTTTTTTCTTTGCATAAAATTGAGAATGGAAATGGGGAATATGTCAAAGACACAACAACCCGACCAAAGAGCAGACAACAGCCGAAGGCCACCAATGGGTCTTCAATGCAGCGAGAAAATCCCGCACCCGGAGGTGGTCCTCAGCTGGCCCCTAACTAAAATTGTGTGCTAGTTCAGTGAAAATAGACGTCACACTAAACTCCAAAACATATAAATGAACTAAAATTAAAAAACATACTAGACTAACAAAGGCCAGAGGCTCCTGACTTGGGACAGGCGCAAAAATGCGGCGGGGTTAAACATGTTTTGTGAGATCTCAACCCTCCCCCTATACCTCTAGCCAATGTAGAATAAAGAAACACATAGCAATACGCACAGTAAAACTCAGTTTAAAAGAAGTCCGAGTCCGATGTCAGAATAGGTAACAAAAGAAACTAAGCAAAATGACAATGATACATAAATGAACAAAGGACTACTAGCAGTTACTGACATGCCAGCTCTAGACCTCAATTAAACTGATTGAAAGATTATGTCTTCATCATATGAAAATCAAGTACAATCCCTCCCGTTAGGGTTTTAGTATCATACCATCATAAAATATATGAGAACATAACCCGTATCATGCCAACAACTGGTTTTAGAATAAATGTGTTTATTTCCGATGCAAAGACCCTATGAGTGAATCAATATTAATACCAAAATATGCAATCCTTAATGACTTGACAACAGTATCGTAACTATATCCTTTCCGAATAAGTCTGTTTAAAGGTTTGGTTAGCTTTTGAGGTGAATGCCGATATTTTTGTGCTTTGTAAAGAATATTACCATAAAATATTGGGTGAGAAATACCTGAACGTATAAGATGTCTGCATGTTGATTTATATTTACGAATGATGTCCTTGTACCGATGATAAAATTTAGTAAATGTTTTGACTAGTTTGTGATATCGAAAACCCTGGTGTATTAATTTTTCAGTAATACACAGATTTCTATCGTTGAAATCAAATACGTTGTTACATACACGAGCGAATCGAACAAGTTGAGATATATAAACACCATAAGATGTCGACAAGGGAACGTCACCATCTAAAAATGGATAATTAACGATAGGAAATGAAAAATCATCTCTTTTATCATAAATTTTGGTATTAAGCTTCCCGTTAAAGATAAAGATACCAGATCCAGGAAAGGGCAGTGTTCATTGTTAGTATTAGCTTTATTTAAAGTCAGTTCGGCAAGATAAATCTCTTTAGTGTACATACTGAAGTCGTCATTATTGAGAGCCAATATATCATTTAATTTATCTAAAAGTGTTATTAAATTTTTGAATCAGATGTTGTTTCGATGGGTCTTTGCTGATGTCCAGTACGGGATCGAGCATTTACTAGTTTTGTCTTCTGTTATCAATCAGGAATCAGAACAACTCGGACCAAAAATAAGACAATTCGGACTAATTTAAAGACAACTCGGACCACTTTTAAGATAACTCGGACCAGTGTGAAAACTGGATGGGCCAATATTAGGACGCTTCAAATCTGGTTCTAAGATCACTCGGACAAGTTTGAAATACGTGTCGGGCCCTGCATTTAAAGACAATTCTTATCAAGAGAAATTTATTTGTGAGATCATCACTGACTGATTCAGCAGAACAAAGCGTTGGAGCAGAACGTTCCTTTCAGAGCTTTAACGTTTTATAATATATGATGTGGTTTGTCATTTTTGTTTAAGTTCAGTCTTGGGCATACAAGAAAGTGGCTTTATAAAGACAAGAATCGTTGTTTTTTCAGCTTTTTTGTTTTGTCTTTTTATACGCCAGTTTACGGGACGTATTATGGTATACCATCGTCCGTCAGTCCGTCCGTCAGTCCGTCAGTCCGTCTGTCCGTCCGTCGTCAACATGTCGGACAATAACTCAAAAACGCTTAAACCAATTTTTATCAAACTTTTGTGAATTGTTTATATCTATTGACGTGATCTCCCTCTCGATTTTTATAAATTTTAGATTTTACGTTTCTGAGTTATGGGATTTTATTCATAAAAAGGGAGCTTTTCTAGTTTTCGGACAATAACTCAAAAATGCTTTGAGCAGTTTTCATGAAACTTTGGTATCTGGTTTATGTCTATTAAAATAAGCTCCCTTTATTTTTTTTTATAAATTTCTGATATGACATTGATGAGTTATTGAACTTAATTAGTTGAAAAAGCGACAGGCGTATCATACGCTCATGGCGCAGCTCTTTATTTAATTTGCTCCCGTATTGATTTGATACTCCTTACGCTACATCTAAACAAACAACATGCTTTGCATCTTGGTGGACATTGGTTAGTTGATTTTAAGCAAAGAAGTTTACAATTAACAGATCTTATAGTTGGTGTGTATTTCCATGTGAAGCACCAATGTCGAATTCTCGGAAAGCAGCAATCACAAGCGATTTTGGATGCGTAATCGCAGAGCATATATATTTAATATCTTGGAACTCTTAGTAAAAATTTCCAGGGGTTACCTCATATTTACTTAAGTTTTGCAGAAAGACTTCAATTTGTTTAACAGATTGCAAAGTCTGAGGCACGGATTTCCATATGTCATGGTCATTAGGTAGAAGTGTGATGTGTACATGTACTCTGGGTAAAAGTCGTCTTGCAGTTTGATTGAAAGTTTAATAGATGTGAAATCTGAGATATACAACTCAGCAAAGCACATTGTATCTTTTGAAACTATCACTTGTAAATGGCCCCAGTCCAAGTAAAAAGTAAAATAACAAAAATACCGAACTCCTAGGAAAATTCAAAACTGAAAGTCCCTTATCAAATGGCAAAATCAAAAGCTCAAACACGTCAAAAGAATGGAAAACAATTGTCATATTCCTGACTTGGTATAGGCATTTCCTTATCATGTAGAAAATGGTGCATTAAACCTGGTTTTATAGCTACAATGTAGCTAAACCTCTCACCTAAATAAAATAGGCTGGGTGATAGATGAAAACACGTATTTTTCAAATTTACAAATCTTAGAGTTTACATCTATCAAAACTAAAATATTTTTATAATTTCTAACCACTATGTAAGAACCCTTTATCAGTTTTCAAACTAACTTTCTCAAGGCCTCTCAACCCCTACGGTTGTATATTGAAAATGAAATAAAAATATAAAAAAGTGGTATGAGCAGTCTTTCAAACTTGTCTGTGTTGTTTTTCATAAGTGGTCCGAATTGTCTTTTCAATAGGTCTGAGTTGTCATAAAACTGGTCCTTACCTTACCTTACCTTACCGCTGAATCTTTCTCCGTCCTTCAGGACAACCTCTTAGTAGAGTACAATAGTATATATGACCCTCCACCATCCAGAATATCATACAAATATATATATATACAGTTTATATATACAAGTCCGCATTTGTTTGTTTAATTGTTTTCTTGGTCCGACTTGGCTTTGGTCCGAGTTGTCATATATTCATCAATCACGTGATCGTGATATTATTTCAACAAGAATAGTGTCATCAGTTTTATGCGTTTTGCATTGCACTGTATTAAACCGGCAGTTCAACACGTGAAGTGAGTTAATGATTTAAACTGGTAATACTTTCACGAAAAGCTTTATCAAATACACAGTACTGGTACTTTAATAATTAGGTAAATCACCCATATTTTAACAAAGCAAATGAAGTCTACTTTCGTTTTCAATATGTTGAATTGTTTTGGTTGACGTCTCATTTTAATTGTTATAAAAACGCATGCATTGCTTTAACCAGTTTAATATAATATATGTATATACGGGTCAAAATAGTAATAAATTAAAGGCAACTTAAGAAGGTGCTAATATTTAGATCTCTTCTACTTTCCTTTTCAGTTTCTTCCTGAAAGGTTCCACTTCTTGGAAATACTTATTGTGGTTTTTAATATGGTGATTAAACAATATTTAATTTCAAGGCTATTACACATTTTAAATGATATGTCAGTAATTTCACAATGTATTAAAGTGATTTTGTACACAGACATGAGATGGACTGTCTTCTGAGGTTTCACTATTTATAGATCCATTTCTACCATAAGGGTTTTAATACTTAAGTAAATGGAATGTAAGGAAATTTCACCTGATTAGACAAAGTAACATTGGCTGTGTTTGGATATACCCATAAGGTGGCCTATGCATATAGGTTTTCCTGTTTGACTGGTTTTACACTAGTCATTTTTGGGGCCCTTTATAGCTTGCTGTTCGGTGTGAGCCAAGGCTCCATGTTGAAGGCCGTACTTTGACCTATAATGGTTTACTTTTACAAATTGTGACTTGGATGGAGAGTTCGTCTCATTGGCACTCATACCACATCTTCTTATATCTAACTATGGTACCATGGTTTGATATTTTGATAGACAAAATATCAATCCATAGGTACCAGAAGGTACCTATGGATAACCATAGGCTGCCTTGTGCCTATATTCAAACACAGCCAATAATGCATTACTGTTTAATTAAAAAGTGATCAAGATGCGCTAATTCTGAAATCTTCAAATTTCATAACACTTGCAATTTCAATACACATAATAGCTATGGATTCTTTAATTACAGTTTGTTTTTCTTAGACATTTTTCAGACCATACTGTATCTCAAAGCTAAAAATAATATATGAAAAACAAGTCTAAATTTCCATCAAGTGTATTGATGTTATTTCATTTTTGAAAACTTTTTGATATAGCTGTATATATAATATATTAAATTTCTAATTAACATAACCATTCATACTATAGAATAAACATGTATCACACATGACATATATCTTAGAAGAATGACGTGTCGATAAAAACCTGCATAACTTTATAAATATTGCTATGACAATCTTAAAACATTTCAAGATTAGAAATAAAATTTTCTATAGAATGTTATACATTTATTTTGATTTTGAATTGAATTATATGCCCTGAGTGCAATTTTTGATATGTCATGAGTGCACTCAATAATCCTGAGCGCACCCAGTAGTCCTGAGGGGTGTTTAGATGTTTCAAATAGTAGTATGCATATTTAAAAGTGTTTCAGTTGAGGATTATACAGTATACATATTAAAATATTTTCTTCTGGTATCCTATCCTAATATATTGATCACTTTAAAGATTTGAACAATAACAACAGATTGTAAAATGACACAAAACTGGTACCCATGTAAAGATATAATTACATAAAACACAATACAACATAACAAATAATAAGGTTTTCAAGAACAAGTTAAAAAATCTTTTGTAAATCTTTCTAACAATGGACAGTTGTATCATGCTTGCCAGTTCTATGATATCTACCTATGGAATATAAGAATTAGATTGATACTACTGAAACAGGATCTGCACATACCCATATTACCAGTAAAACTGCATTTGCCAATGTCAAATCCCCAGGGCCAAGGGACTTTGACGTCTCTTCATATAGAGTGCTGTTATTCTTTAAAAATAATTTAAAAAAAAATAAAGGTGGATGGATAAAAATTTTTAATGTGTAACTTGTGGAAATGTGAAACGATTTACAGGCTAATAGGGAAAATTTATAAATATTTATGAAGTCTTTTTCAGTGTTTGATGAGATTCTGAAAAAGTCTTTCATTTCTTCTGAAGCTTTTTATGTAAAGATAAGAAGATGTGGTATAATTGCCAATGAGACAACTATCCACCAGAGAGTTCTAATTTTGAAATTGACTAGGAAAGCAGTATATTATTTTCTTTGAAATTCTGATTCTAAATTAATTTATTTTTTCTCATACAGAAATACATTCAGGACAAGGAAGATGGTTATAGCGAATTGTATAACTTAATCAGATAAGAATCAAAATGGAAGAGAAGGACTCTGAAAAAACCTCAACAGATGATGGCCTCAGCAGTCATGGCCTAAATCCAACATCTGGTGACAGTGGTATCTCCAACAATGAAGAGTTTTCTCTTGTATCTGGAGGAACAAGTGATTATTCTTTATTAGAAACCCCAGAAACTAAAGGTAGTTATGAAGATGAAAAAGGAAAACAGAAACCCAGTCAAATTGCTACTGATGATACCAAAGCAATACAAAAGGAATTCAATGAGTCTAATTCTACTGGACATGTCTCTTCGGGACACAATGGAGTTGAAGACACTAAACCTACTGAAAACATCTCTGGACATAAGGGAGTTAAAGACACTAAACCTACTGGAAACATCTCGGGACACAATGGAGTTAAAGACAAGACCAGGAGAGAATCCAGAACATCAAGTACCAATGACTTCAGCATAATTGATTTACCAGAAGACAATGACCTTGATGCTAGAGATATTGAAGAAGACTCAGTTGGAAAAAACATTACAGAGAATTTAAAATTGTTTTCCTTTGGTCACATGGAAAACAAAGATCCTTGTCGCTCTAGTACAGGTCAATTAATATCTATGAATAGACCAAAGGATAGTAATGGTCATCAAAGTTCTGAACTAGGGTCTAGTTTTGCTGTATTAGATGCCTCTGGTATGAGCAGTTCTTACCCTTCATCATTTGACAAAGAAATCGACAGGACAAAAGTACATGTCTTACCACCTAAAAACAGTGATGATTCACAGATTTCTACTTCTGTTGATAAAGATGGACAGAAAGTTGAAAAGAAAAAGAATATTCAGGGTGGCATTGTAGAAGTTGATGTACAACGTGAAGATTGGAAAACAGATGGAACTCCAAACAGTATTGACACAACAGACAATGCAGCTCAGAAAGGTGGTAACAGAGAAGAATCGAAAGACGTAAATGTAAAAGTACAATCAAATCTAAATTCTCATACTCAGGTTGATCCCACACTACAGAAAACTGATGATAGCATTACACTTGAAAATAAACATACTCAAAATGCTCCAGATACCACTAATGTAGCAAGCATTAATAACAACTCAGAGGCAGTTGGAAAGAGTTTGAGTGAAGAAACTGAATGCTCAGATAAAATTATGGAACATGGAAATCTAAAGAAAAGACAGAATGATGTTGAAGAAGTTGAATCCCAAGTAACTCAACAAACAGTAGAAGTTATATCAGATGCTATGAAAAATCGTAGTACAGAACCAGATGATGAGCCTGACTTTTCAGTGGTTGATGAACCAGTAGATTACACAAATAAAGTTTCAAAACATTTTGGGAAATCAGATATTGATAGTGATATACCGAGTAGCCATTTCACAAGTCCACGTAGTCGCAGTAGCACTAGCACTAGTTCTGAGAGTATTGAAATCAACATGAGTGAACCTGAGTTGTCTGATGACAGTAATGGTCATAATGGACAGAAAAGCAGTTCTTATTCTGGAACTGAAACTTCTACAGGCTGTGGAAATCAAAATGTGTCAAATCTCTCCTGTAACTTGGAGTCTGAGCAGTCTGGTGTTTTGGGCACAGATCAAGTTTCTAGTGTAGGAACACATAAAGTGGAGGAGAATAAGGAGTCATTGTACAATAGAAAAGATAAAAACATGACAGACAAGTCTTTTGATAATTGCAGCTTTCCTTTTAGGGATGAAAGAGAGAAGGAAATTGAGAATGAGAAACCTGAAGAAAATGCAGCTGATTACAATGGAAGTAACCATCCTCCTGATCTTCTAAAGGAAACACTGGATGAAAAGAAAGGCAATGTTCATTCTAGCTCTATGAATACAAAGAAGACAGAAGATTTCTCCTTAGTACAATCAGATGTGGATGAGGATGGAGAAAAAAAATGTAAAATACATCCCGATAATGGTGAGGCTACTGGTACAAGTTCTGAAAATGATACAGAGTCAAACAAAAAAGATGTTACAGAAAGTGAGCCTGGGAAGAAAACCTATGATGGTAATGTAACAGATTTGTCCTTTGTAAGGGTTGATATGCCAGAGATGGACAATAAATGCAGCAGACCAGATGAACCAATCAATGGGGATCTGAAAGAAGAGAAACTTTATGATGAAGAGAAATTAGCTGTAAGGAGCAAGGATGAGAGACTCGGGGATGAAGTGCAAAACAATGAGCAGATGTCTGAAGATAATGTTGGAAAGAGAGGTAGTGTATCTCGAGACAGTTGTGGAAGTATATCATCTGAGGCATCTACCACTGGATCATCCTCTCCTGATGTGTGGCAGCTAGGTGACGGTGATAAATTATTAACCGAAGAAGAAGGTATGTAACTATAGTCTATATATACAACCCAGCTAATGTGAAATATGGTTTTATTTACCCATCCACAATTAGCACAGTTGTGGTAATATATTCACAAACAACTAAAATGTTTTTGCATTTATTCAATAATTGTTGTCTATGTTATAAAAAAGTTTCTCAAATCAATTCCCATACACAAGATATTGCATTTACTAGCTATTAATGGATGGTTCACACCTTGATGAAATCCAAAAGCATGAATCCAGTAGCATTTTCCATAAATCACATACAGTTTTGAGAGTTAATGCATTTATTTTCATCCACTTAGAAGACAATTTTTATACGACCACCAAAAACTTTGCGGTGGTATATTGGTATCACGTCATCGTCAGCATCGTCCGAAGACATTTGGTTTCCGGACAATAACTTTAGTAATGTAAATAGAAATCTATGAAATTTAAACAGAAGGTTTATAACCACAAAAGGAAGGTTGGGATTGATTTTGGGGGTTATAGTCCTAACCGTTTAGGAATTAGGGGCCAAAAAGGGGCCCAAATAAGCATTTTTCTAGTTTCCAGACAATAACTTGTGGAACGGTGTATGGATCTCTCTGAAATTATACCACAAGTTTCCATACCACAAAGGGATGGTTAGAATTGGCTTTGGGGGGTTATGGCTCAAACCGTTTTTGAATTAGGGGCAAACAATGAGGAAAAACAAGGGTTTCCTGGTTAATGGACAATTAAAAAAAAGTACAATGTTATGTTTGGATTACCTCCCTTACACTGCTTTTAAATTATGTATAAAGAAATGTTGTATTGTCTTGAGGTGATTAGCTGTCAATTTATCTTGAGAAGTTACTATTTAAAAATGCTGATTAAGGAATATTAATTTGAGCCATGATTATGTATGTCATTTTCTATTTTAAGACTTTTATGATGTATTTAAATGGGTAATTATGGTTGCAAACTCCATTGGAAATTTGAATTGAGATTATGACCTTATCTTGAGGGAAAGAATTTTTTTTGGGGGGGGGGGGGGGGGGGGGGGGTAAAAAGAAATTGTGGGGGGTCAATTTTTTCTCATTTCAGATTTCAGAAATTAAAAAGAAAAATTCTTCAAATATTATTTTTTTTGCAAAAAAACGCAGGAGGGGGGGGGGGGGGGGGGGGTGTCAATACGCAACAGCATAGTGTATTGCACAAAAGCAAAAATAGGGGGGGGGGGTAAATTTTTTTTTTTTTTGGGGGAGGGGGGGTCAATTTGCAACAGCAATTTATTTCTTTTGGTACACTAATGATGAGCTAATAAACCTTGATTTGTTTTATTTGCATGATTCTTGTACTTATTAATTGGCAAAATAACTTAAGAATAGAGAAAAATGGCCTAAAAAAAAAATAAAGGATACAAAGTGGATGTCAGACCATACTAGGTAAATTAAATGTCCCATTTCAAATTTTTAAGATCTTTGACCACATTTATTTAGTGTCAGAAACCTATATTATGTCAAAAATTTGATCACAATCCAAATTCAGACAGTATAAAGCTTGAATATTGTGTCCAAACTTGCCCCAACTGTTCAGGGTTCGACCTCTGCGGTCGTATCAGGCTGCGCTCGGCAAAGCATTTTATTAAAAAGAGTAATGTCTTTGGAAATATAAAATGTGTGCAACGAGGGGGACATTGGAACTCTGTTCTTTTATTAAAAGGAAAAGAATGTCAACATTGAAAGTGAAACAAGGTTGAACCATTAGGTTGACTGATTTGATCCACAAAATAAATATGAAATCAAACAGACCTAGAAAAATCCAACTGCACGTGGTCGCTATATATTTATATTTATGTTTATATCGGGTTATATGACCTTCGGCAGTCTTCATCTCGATTGTTAATTAGATGACATCTAGACAAAAATACACATGCAATGTTTTACATATTATCAAGTCCATGCATTGTTAATTGTTTATTTTAGACTTTTTATACGACCGCAAAAAAATTTTTGTGGTCGTATATTGGTATGACGTTGGCGTCGTCGTCGTCCGGCGTCGTCGTCGTCGTCGTCGTCCGGCGTCGTCCGAAGACACATTGGTTTTCGCACTCTAACTTTAGTTTAAGTGAATGGATCTTTATGAAATTTTACCACAAGGTTCAATACCACAAAAGGAAGGTTGGGATTGATTTTGGGGGTTATGGTAATAACAGTAAAGGAATTAGGGGCCAAAAAGGGGCCAAAAATAAGCATTTTTGTAACTTCCAGACATAACTTGTGTGTTAGTGTATGGATCTCTCTGACATTGTACCACAAGGTTCCATATCACTAAAGGAATGCTGGGATTGATTTTGGGGGTAATTGCCTCCAAATTTTAGGAATTAGGGGCCAAAAAAGGGGCAAAAAACAAGCATTTTTCTAGTTTCATGACAATAACTTGTGTGTAAGTGTATGGATCTTTCTGAAATTGTACTACAAGGTTCCATATCACAAAGGGAAAGCTGGGTTTGAGTTTGGGGGTAATTGCCCTAAATGTTTAGGAATTTGGGGCCAAAAAGGGGCCAAAAAACACATTTTTTTCTAGTTCCAGACTATAACTTGTGTTCAAGTGTATGGATCTCTCTGAAATTGTACTGCAAGGTACCATACCACAAAGGGAAGGCTGGGATTGAGTTTGGGGGTGATGAATCATAATGGGGGTTCAAAAAATTTTGGGGGGGGATTTATTTTTTTTTCCTTTTTTTTCTTTTTTTCCTTTTTTGTTTCTTTTAAAATTTTCCATTTTAAGTTGGTTATTTCTGATTTATATTTAAAATCAAATAATAATGATATGGTAGGAGATACACACCAAACAGGATGTGTAAATTATTATATAATAAGTATTGTGCAATAGCAAGAAATTTTCAATTGCACAGTATTGCACAATAGCAAGAAATCTTCAATTGCACAGTATTGCGCAATAGCAAGAAATCTTCAATTGCACAGTATTGCGCAATAGCAAGAAATATTTAATAGCACAATATTGCGCAATAGCAAGAAATTGTCAATTGTACAGTATTGCGCAATAGCAAGAAATATTTAATAGCACAGGATTGTGCAAAAGAAGATACTTCCTATAAATTGCTTATTTCTTGACCAATTTCAATGGGGTTTTATTCTTGATTTCATGGGGTTCTTTAATATGCTGAATATAACCGTGTATTTAGTTTTTGGATTTTGGGCCCCGTTTTTAAATTGGTCCACATTGAGGTCCAAAGGGTCCAAAATTAAACTTTGTTTGATTTCATCAAAAATTGAATTATTGGGGTTCTTTGATATGCCGAATCTAACTGTGTATTTAGATTCTTAAATTTTGGTTCCGTTTTCAAATTGGTCTACATTAAGGTCCAAAGGGTCCAAAATTAAACTTAGTTTGATTTTAACAAAAATTGAATTCTTAGGGTTCTTTGATATGCTGAATCTAAACATGTATTTAGATTTTTGATTATGGGCCCAGTTTTCAAGTTGGTCCAAATCGGGGTCCAAAATTAAACTTTGTTTGATTTCAACAAAAATTGAATATATGGGGTTCTTTGATATGCTGAATCTAACCATGTATTTAGATTTTTGATTTTTGGGCCCCGTTATCAACTTTGTCCACATTGAGGTCAAAAGGGTCCAAAATTAAACTTTGTTTGATTTCATCAAAAATTGAATTATTGGGGTTCTTTGATATGCCGAATCTAACCGTGTATTTAGATTCTTAATTTTTGGTTCCGTTTTCAAATTGGTCTACATTAAGGTCCAAAGGGTCCAAAATTAAACTTAGTTTGATTTTAACAAAAATTGAATTCTTAGGGTTCTTTGATATGCTGAATCTAAACATGTATTTAGATTTTTGATTATGGGCCCAGTTTTCAAGTTGGTCCAAATCGGGGTCCAAAATTAAACTTTGTTTGATTTCAACAAAAATTGAATATATGGGGTTCTTTGATATGCTGAATCTAACCATGTATTTAGATTTTTGATTTTTGGGCCCCGTTATCAACTTTGTCCACATTGAGGTCAAAAGGGTCCGAAATTAAACTTTGTTTGATTTCATCAAAAATTGAATTCTTGGGGTTCTTTGATATGCTGAATCTAACCATGTATTTAGATTTTGGATATTGGACCATAATAGGTGAATGTCCAATTTAAAATTTTTAAGTTCTTAGACCACATTCAATCTGTGTTAGAAACCTATGCTGTGTCAAATATTTAATCACAATCCAAATCCAAAGCTGTATCAAGCTTGAATGTTGTGTCCATACTTCCCCCAACTGTTCAGGGTTCGACCTCTGCGGTCGTATCAAGCTGCGCCCTGCGGAGCATTTTATTGTAATTTGGATATACGTTTTAGTATGTTATAAATCAAATATGATCATTTGAATCAAATCGGTGACCACGAATTTGACAGATAAATGCCCCTTTAATGTATTTCAACATTATCATTTTTAAATCCCTGTTGTAATTATTGACAGAATAACAAATAGATAATCTTGAAATACTTCTGTAAAATTGAAGTGATAAAACTAATGGTGCCTTAAAATGCAGAACTTATTTAAAATATTTTGATTCATGGAGGTGCTAGAATTATAAATCTGCATTGGGAAAAAGACTATAAATGAAAACATGAAAAAGAAAGAATCTGTGTCATGGGATATAAGAGTGCAAAGCAAAAAAAAATTAGAAAATTCTTTTCTGAATTGACAATTTTTGCTTAATTTTTTACAAAATTGGAAAATAAAACTTTGACATTTGACTGGTTCCATGGGTTACTGGTTCCATTGGTGTTTTAGATCTAGTTTTATGTTTTCAAGAAATCAGTAATAATACTTTGCTTTCATTTTGTTGATATAATATATTTTGTTTTGTAGCTGTGGTTTATGAGAGTTTGAGGAGAACACATGGGATAAAGTTAATAAGAAACTATCAGTGCTCCAGTAAACACAAGTCACATGAGGCACAAATTGAACACCTGGAAATCCCAGTAAAAAATGAACTGGTTTATTTTAAATGGAGATATGTCTTAGCAAGGGAGGAAAAAATTCAGGCAATATTAAAAGAGCAGTTTTCAGGAACACGTTTCAGTTATGATGAATCGTTTGAAAGGATAGAATTAATCAGGTATGAGATGACAGAAACTGAAGAGGAGGCTCAGCAGTGGTCCAAAAATGTCATGAATGAGATTGAAAATCAAGTAAGAAAAATCAACAGTTATCTTATTTGTTGTTCAGGGGAAGATATAGAAATGATTATGTTGCAGATGGAAAAGTTTCATACATCACACAATTTAGATATTTGTATTGAACATTGTCTTCATCCAGAAAGTAATATAGAAAGACTTATAGTGATTGGCCAGCCCACTGAAGTAGCATCTGTTTTACTGCAGTTAGATCCTAATATAGTAAAGATTTTTGAAGCAGAAGAAAATAGTGTTGTGTCGATTGATCTTCTTAACATACCATTAGATGATGTTCAGCATGATGTCTTCCTTAGATTTGAAGGTCCAAAGTCCATGAAGACAAACTTTCCAAACATTCATTTGGAACTTAGTGAAAAATCCATGCAACTTTTAATACAGACCAAGTATGTGAAAAATTTTAGCTCTTTTATGACTGAAAATTGGTTAAAATTTAAACACAGAACCAAAATTCTAATGAAACCACAAGAATTTACTCTCTTATGCAAGGCATCAGTTAGGGACTACATAGTGAATGATAAGCTAAAAATGCTAGGCCTTGACTACAGATGGAGCTTTATGCCAGAGGAAGGGGACATAATCCTGTTCACAGAAAATCTTGGCCAATTAGATGAAATAAGAGATGCTATTTTTGGTTCATTTACTGAACACACAATTAATCTTGAAAATGAACCTAGTTTTGGGGACATCAGGAAGATGGAAAAATGGACAGAAATAGTTGATGATGTCAAAAACCAATCAAACGGTATGGCTGACATTGCAATCAATGATATGCAGACATGTGTAACTATAATTGGAACTGATGATCTCATGGAAGCATGGCTAAAGTTTGGTAATTTAGCTTCCATGAAAAAGTACATAGATGAGAACATAAAACCCACTATTAAAGCTTCACCTAGTTTATTTGATGATCAAAAACTTGTAAAGAAATTTGTTCAGATTGATAGTGACAGGCTTGATACTTTCAATAAACAGACAATGGACAAAATGCACAACATTGCAAGCAATCTCAAAGTTGAACTAGTCCATACTGACAGAGGATTTGAAGTAAAGGGCCTCGATGAGTCAAAGGTTAAGAACATGTGTGACCATCTTCTGGGATTCAACATTAAGGACCATGATAAACAAAACAGGGAAGCAGTCATAAAGAGATTTGTACAGATGGATGAGTCCCAAATTGAACAAGTGTGTCAGCAGAAAGTACAATGTATGAGGAATTACAGTAAAGAATTAAACATTGAATACGACCCAACTAATCTTGGATTTGAAGTTAAAGGTACAACAGAGGCCAATGTAAAGAAATTTTGTGATTACTTATTGGAACTGAAAAATGAAGTAATAAGTGCTGAAAGGGAAATATCAGATAATGGAAACAAAATGGATGGGGATACTGAACTCAAACTAGTGAAGAGATTTGTACAGATGGAAGAAGAAGAAATTGACCACCTATGTAATCATGAGTTATCAGATATGAACAATTTTGGTAAGGAACTGAACATTAGTTTTGATCCAACAAATCTAGGCTTTGAAGTAAAAGGAAAAACAGAAGATAATGTGAAGAAATTCTGTGATCGTTTGATAGAATTGAAAACTCGGATAATTTATCAAGATGATAGTAGTACAACGGATGAAACAACTAAGGAGAACCATGTTGGCATAACACCACCAAAAGTAACAGAAGAATTACTGGACCTTCCACTTAATATCCCGAGAAAGTTTACCCAGTTAGATGAAAGGGTCATACATTACATTGACAAATTTAAAATAGTAGAAATAAAAGAAATAATGGCTAACCTTGATGTGGAGTTTACCAAAAGCAGTTTAGGGTTTGAAATCTATGGAGAAAAGAAGGCAAATGTCCAAACATTAGATGATCATTTAATGAGGTTAAACTCACAAATAGAAATAAGGAAAGTTGAAAATGTACCTGATTTGACAGATGATGACTTGCAGAGGATGGAAGAGAAGTACAAATGTATAATAAAGATACTGAGTGATAAAGAAGAAGATTTTAAACAGTTAGTTGAAGCTGATTTAGCAGATGAAGCAGTATGGTGTGTAAATGGTATAAAAGTATCAGTTGCCATGAGAGATGCTGACAGTCTTACATGTGATGTTATAGTCATTCCAATGGTGGAAGAAATATCAGGTATACTAAATTTTAAATTATATTAAAAGCGGAAATAGATTTAGATTTGTTACTTTAAACATTATTTTTCCCTGCCACATTATCACAAAGGATGTAGTATCATTCTTTATTTATCTGTCTGTCATTAACACATTACTCCTTCAAGACCCTTTGCCATGAAAACTGGGCTGTGCTAACGTAGACCTTCTAGGCCCACTGCAGATGATTATTTTAGAGAAAATTATTTTTCTACACTGAGAAAGCATGCGATTTAAAAGATTTAAAGTGAGATACATGTTTTTTGGCATTTTATGTTAAGTTTAGATACCAGTATTCTTTTGATTTTGATTAAGATCATGTAAGATTCTAGATACTAGAATAAATACCTTTATATTTGTCTGAATAAAAGGAGATGTGGGGTAAACCTCAATGAGACAATAACTCAATGACAAAAATATCCCAAAGATATCTTGTGTGTTAGATCTTTTCCATACTAAGGATGGTGATAACAGCCTGATATCTACTGCTAACTTTTGTCATGTGTTTGTTTGCGGCCAGTATCATCCAGCTAGAAATATCATTTAATTGCTTTCTTACAATTGACCTTTTTTGTCATAAAATTTCAAACATGTTCAGTCTGTTCTCATCAAGGAAAATATATGGATTTCTCACCAAAAGTACTGGTATATATTTAAAACACAATCTTCCGAATTTCTTCCACAGCTTGCAGATAACGATATTGTTCATAATAACATTAGATACCAATTGGTATTAAGCTTGAACAGAGAAAAGATTACCATGTATGGTACTTTATATGACATTATAATGTCAAAATATAAATCTATTTTCATAAACATTACTCTGCTCCTTTTATTTACAGGAAAGAAGTTTGTTTACCAAGAAAAATACCAATGTGAAGAAGTCCAAGTTGCTATACCCTTGTATAAAGAAGAATTAGGAAAGGAAAAACATGACCTTACCCAATTATTGGTGGATTTGTTGTTTGACCTGAATAGTCATCAGTACAATACAGTGGCATTGCCAGTCAAAACATTTAATAAATGGCCATCAACAAAACTGACAAAAATAATGCTAGTAGCATTAAAAGAATACTTACAAAAACCTGACCAGAACAACATACAAAAGATATATGTATGTAGCACTGAACCAGAAGTTTGTCAGAGGGCTATCTCTGCCATGGAGTATGCAATGCCAGACTTAAAGAGAGATGGTTTAACAGCAGGTATATTTAATACTAAGTACTTCTAATTGCTAGTTCATGCACTTGTAGTTAGTCCCCTACCGACAAAGTGGAAGGGGACTTTAGGTTTGCACTCCTTCAGTCTGTCTGTCTGTCCATCCGTCAGTCCGGCAAATCAGTTTTCCACACTTTTTTTCTTCATGCTTTAAGATATTGATTTGATATTGGTGTATTGTTTTATTATGACAAGTTACAGATCAAGTTCGAATTATTTTCCCCATCTGATGATTTTGTGCAGAGTTATGGTCCTTGGACTTAGAAAATTCACTCAAATAATCAGTTTTCTGCACTTTTTTTCATCATGCTTGAAGATATTGATTTGATAATTGGTATATAGTTTCATCATGACAAGTTACAGATTGATTTCGAATTTTGTTCCGGTCAGATGATTTCGCGCAGAGTTATGGTCCTTAGACTTAAAAAATTCACTGAAGTAATCAGTTTTCCACACTTTTTTTCGTCATGTTTGAAGATAATGACTTGATATTTGTTATGTTGTTTACACCATGACAAATGATAGATCAAGTTAGCATTTTGTTCCAGTACAATGAATTTTTAACCAGAAGGGGACTATGTATTGCCTGAAGACATTTGGTTTTCAGACAATAACTTGTGTAGGTATAAGTGTATGGATCTCTGTGAATTGTACCACAAGATTCCATACCACAAAGGAAGGTTTGGATTTATTTTGGGGGTTATTGTCCTAACTCTTTAGGAATTAGGGGCGAAAAACAATCATTTTTGTCGAGCCTGCGACTTTTGTCGCAGAAAGCTCGACATAGGGATAGCGATCCGGCGGCGGCGGCGGCGGCGTTAGCTAACTTCTTAAAAGCTTTATATTTTAGAAGGTGGAAGGTCTGGATGCTTCATACTTTGTATATGGATGCCTCATGTTACGAAGTTTCCGTCAGTCACATGTCCAATGTCCTTGACCTCATTTTCATGGTTCAGTGACTACTTGAAAAAAAAGTTAAGATTTTTTGTAATGTTAGATTCTCTCTTATTATAAGTAATAAGATAACTATATTTGGTATGTGCGTACCTTGCAAGGTCCTCATGCCCGTCAGACAGTTTTCACTTGACCTCGACCTCATTTCATGGATCAGTGAATAAGGTTAAGTTTTGGTGGTCAAGTCCATATCTCAGATACTATAAGCAATAGGTCTAGTATATTCGGTGTATGGAAGGACTGTAAGGTGTACATGTCCAACTGGCAGGTGTCATCTGACCTTGACCTCATTTTCATGGTTCAGTGGTTATAGTTAAGTTTTTGTGTTTTGGTCTGTTTTTCTTATACTGTATGTCATAGGTCTACTATATTTGGTGTATGGAATGATTGTAAGGTGTACATGTCTAGCGGGCAGGTGTCATCTGACCTTGACCTCATTTTCATGGTTCAGTGGTCAAAGTTAAGTTTTTGAGTTTTGGTCTTTTTTTCTAATACTATGTGCAATAGTTCAACTATATTTGGTATGTGCGTACCTTGCAAGGTCCTCATGCCCGTCAGACAGTTTTCACTTGACCTCGACCTCATTTCATGGATCAATGAACAAGGTTAAGTTTTGGTGGTCAAGTCCATATCTCAGATACTATAAGCAATAGGTCTAGTATATTCGGTGTATGGAAGGACTGTAAGGTGTACATGTCAAACTGGCAGGTGTCATCTGACCTTGACCTCATTTTCATGGTTCAGTGGTTATAGTTAAGTTTTTGTGTTTTGGTCTGTTTTTCTTATACTATATGCCATAGGTCTACTATATTTGGTGTATGGAATGATTGTAAGGTGTACATGTCTAGCGGGCAGGTGTCATCTGACCTTGACCTTATTTTCATGGTTCAGTGGTCAAAGTTAAGTTTTTGAGTTTTGGTCTTTTTTTCTAATACTATGTGCAATAGTTCAACTCTATTTGGTATGTGCGTACCTTGCAAGGTCCTCATGCCTGTCAGACAGTTTTCACTTGACCTCGACCTCATTTCATGGATCAATGAACAAGGTTAAGTTTTGGTGGTCAAGTCCATATCTCAGATACTATAAGCAATAGGTCTAGTATATTTGGTGTATGGAAGGACTGTAAGGTGTACATGTCCAACTGGCAGGTGTCATCTGACCTTGACCTCATTTTCATGGTTCAGTGGTTATAGTTAAGTTTTTGTGTTTTGGTCTGTTTTTCTTATACTATATGCAATAGTTCAACTATATTTGGTGTATGGAAATATTTTATGATCTATTTGGCAGTCACACAGGTTTTATTTGACCTTGACCTCATTTTCAAGGTTCATTGCTCAGTGTTAAGTTTTTGTGTTTTGGTCTGTTTTTCTTAAACTATAAGCAATAGGTCAACTCTATTTGCTGTATGGAAGAATTGTTAGCTGTACATGCCTGCCTAGCATGGTTCATCTGACCTTGACCTCATTTTCATGGTTCATTGGTCAATGTTTAGTTTACTTGGTTAATGTTAAGTTTATGTGACAGTTGTAATAAAGCTTTATATTTAGGACTATCAACATAATATCAATGATTAGTAAAGAAGGCGAGACATTTCAGCGTGTGCACTCTTGTTCTTGTTTCCGGACTATAATTTGTACCACAAGGTTCCATACCTCAAAAGGAAGGTTGGGATTGATTTTGACCCCTTTATGGCCCTAACCATTTAGGAATAAGGGACCAAAAAGGGGCCAAAAACAATTCTTTTCTAATACTTTGTATAAATTTCTTGACCAATTTCATTGTCTTTAATTCTTGGGGTTCTTTAATTTGCTGAATCTAATCATGTACCGATATTTAGATTTTGGATTTTGGGCTCCATTTTTTTAAATTGATGTCCAAAAGGTCCAAAATTAAACTTTGTTTGATTTACATCAAAAATTGAATTAATGGGGTTTTTTGATATGCTGAATCTAACAGTGTATTTAGACTTTTAATTTTGGGCTCCGTTTTCAAATTGGTCCACAATTAGGTATAAAGGGTCCAAAATTAAACTTTTTTTTTGTTTGATTTCAACAAAAATTGAATTCTTGGGGTTCTTTGATATGCTGAATCTAAACGTGTACCAGTATTTAGATTTTGGATATTGGACCATAATAGGTAAATGTCCAATTTCAAATTTTTAAGTTCTTAGACCACATTCTTTCTGTGTCAAACCTACATTGACCTATGCTGTGTCAAACATTTAATCACAATCCAAACTCAGAGCTGTATCAAGATTTAATGTTGTGTCCATACTTGCCCCAACTGTTCTGGGTTCGACCTCTGCGGTCGTTTCAAGCTATGCCCTGCAGAGCATTTTATTTAAAGATGAATTAGGATCAGAAGTTACTGTTAACATGATTCTGTTAAATGTAAACAATCATTATAAGGCTAATATTCTGTTCGTTTCCACATTTGATGTTTGGGGAAAAAGGGACTGTGGCTTGAAATGAGACAACATTCCAAAATGTATTCCTTGTGGTTCTTTATCTTGGCAGTTACTGGAAGGTCTTCAAGTGGAAATTCTGATTCACTTTACAGGAATAATATGACGGGTGTTACATGTGGAGCAGGATCTGGTAACTCTTCCTGAAAACTTGAGATCATTCCAGTTTTTTGGTGGGGGTCTTGTTGCTCAGTCTTTAGTTTTTATGTCATTTTTTTTGGACAATTGTTGTATTTCGTTGGTTTTTTTTTTAAAGGCAGTTGCTGTTATTTCTAGCATGAGACTACCATACTTGTGACCTGGATCAAGAGGTCACCATGCCAAACTGGTCAAAGTAGATTCTTCTTCTGCTATGTTAAATATCCTATGTTTTTTTAGTTTAAAACATTAGATTTAAAACAACAGTTTACTTGTGAAGTTTTCAGAATATTTATTTATATATGTATTTTTCATATTTAGGTTATAACCAAATAACTTCTTAAATTACGTTACATGAATTATGAAAAGTGGAAAAGTGCCTTTTTTATCATAGCTATTTTGTTCTTTATATTTTTCAACATATTATCAAATATATCAGTTGTTGATTTATTATTGAAATTCAACAGAACAATCCCTTTAACAGTATTTTGTTCGAAACACATCTGTTTCGCCATAGCACCTAATAAATTTTGATAAACCTTGATCTGGGCCTTCACACATTTTGCTGTGAAATTGCATAACTGTGTCATACTTGTTAAAGTACAAAATTTGGTAGCTTAGCCCATTTATCATTATTTTATGTTATCAATCCTGTCTTTACATTTGTTTGAATTCTCTTGCTCTTTTCATTTATTTGGGTTTTTTTTTGCATTACTTGATAAACACTGCACTACAAATGTTAATAGTTGTGTATACTAGAGACATATTGTATTATATGTCTCTGTGTAAACAATAAATATATACATACCTGATATACATTTCAGTAGGAAAACTTAATACATATAGAGTTCTTGTTTAGATGCATCCAAGCAGTTGAGTCTATCATTTATTCATGACTTTCTTTTCTTTTGATAATTGAATAATTTTAAATGTCACTGATAGACCATAATTGCTGTGCAAATGTAATATCCACAAAACATGCATCTGTTGATCATCAGGTTAATTATAATTATTACTCCCTAGGAAATAATTACCATTCCAAGGAAGTATCTGTATTAAATTCTAATCTTTAAGAAATGATAATTTAGTGTCATGAGAATATATCTTCCTGGTGTTTAATTACTTTTTAAAACACAATTTATAGTTATTGCAGTTTGTTGAGGAATCACTTCCTGTTTCAATGTAAAAAAAATTATAAATTACAAAATTAAAGTCTATATGTCTTTTCAATACAGTGTAAATAGTTAATATTAAGTGACATAAGTTCACATTCAGAGCAGGAAAGAGACCTTCCAAATTAGATAATGGTCAGAATGGTGATGTGTTTGGGTCAATTCTTCTCTTATTGCTACAAAAATACAAAATACAACATCAGTGTCTGGATTTAATGCAAATTCTATCATTAGATGGTAAGATTCAATAGTGATGGTAGCTGGTTAGCGTAACTCCAAAATTTCCCGCAAGAATCAGATTACTAGTAACATGCTTTTCGCGGTCTATAAGAGGAATTAAGGTTCCACTAAAGTCAAAATATAGGACACTTCATAAACATCTAAACTTTGCCTGTATATTTCATCCTATAATGAGTAAAGTCCTAAACTATGAGAACATATGTTCATTTAAACATACTTAACATATACACACTGTGTAAATTGTAAATAAACTTGAAATTGTTATGCTGTGGCCAAACCGGTTCTTGGGGTGAACACTAAATTTTCAAAAAATCTGGAGGCCTGCGAGACGACTTAATTTGTTTAAAATTGGTATGGACGAATACTGTTATATCTAATGCAGGGCAAGCTCATGTTGATTTTTCAGAAAATGTATTGATTTTCGCGTTTCAGTTAATTTCATGTATCTAGGTGAACAAATATCGAAGGTACAATACAGAAATTGGACAAATATGCCATTAAAACATATGTATGTGACAAATCAACATGAGCTTGCCCTGCATTACATGTAACAGTATTCGTCCATACCAATTTCAAGCAAATTAAGTCGTCTCGCAGGCCTCCAGATTTTTTTGAAAATTTAGTGTTCACCCCAAGAACCGGTTTGGCCACAGCATAATAATTTCAAGTTTATTTACAATTTACACAGTGTGTATATGTTAAGTATGTTTAAATGAACATATGTTCTCATAGTTTAGGACTTTACTCATTATAGGTTGAAAAATACAGGCAAAGTTTAGATGTTTATGAAGTGTCCTATATTTTTACTTTAGTGGAACCTTAAGTCAGAGTCTATGGTGCTGAATCAAACTTTTGGTAACCCTTTGGATGTTAAAAGAATATTTCCCTAAAGAGTTCCTATCATAAATTATTTGAGAAAAACTGTGAACTGGTCCTCATAAAAAGATGAGTGTCTGGCATAAGTTTTTTTTTCAACTAGAGCATCATTGGTATAAAGAAAAGTACATTTTTTTGCAGTTGTTGTTTTTGGGGTTTTCATAGCCTTGTGTGAAATACATTTTCAGTCTATTTTTATTGAGATACTACAAAATTAGAGAAATATTTCACATAGCTAACAAATTCTACATAAAACTATTTATTTGATTGGTAGAGGTCTTCTTAATGTTTTAAACATTTGTTTATTTTTAATTAAAGTTGCAATAAAGAAACCAAGAACAGATAAACATGACCATCCAAGTATTCAGCCAGCAGATGCAACTCCAGAAACAGAAATACATGAGGTCAACACAGAAGATGCCACCCCCAGTCCACCAGTAATACAACATATCAAGGATGACATACCAAAACTACAAGAGGAGATCAAACCTAAAATCATTGTCATAAAAGATTTAATTGCAAAGCAGAAGGTCAGTTTTACATTATTTGGTCCTAGTAATGTAAATTATTTGAGATAAATTAGGTGATTGAAAATATAGTTTGGATTGATAAGACTCAAAAAATAAAATGTGCTATGCTTGAATTTTGAACTATGAACATATTTCTAAATTTCTTGGAAATTGAAATGTCATGCAAGATTCTCCATAATTTTGAGCCTCTTAGTCATGTCTGTTTTGTCCAATCTAAGCATGGAAAAGGAGAAGTTCATTGTTTTAACTTTGTTCTGTCAACTGGAAATAACATGTCTTGATAAAGACATTTCTGAATTCTGTTTACCCAGTTGTAGGAGATATTCTATATATACTTTTAGCACTGATCAATTTACAAGGGTTCTTTAATTGTAAAGTGTATATATCTTTCAAAGAAAATCACTTGAACTTGACCTCTTTTTATGTTTCATTTGTTAACTTTAAGTTTTTGCACTTTTGTAAGTTAATCAGTTACAATGACTAACAGAAACACCATAGTTGGTCTATTAATTTGTTGAAAGGTTTGCATGATCAATGTGATAGTGGTCACCTGACCTTGAACTCATTTCCTTGGTTCAATGTCAAGCTTTTGTGCTCAGGTTAGTTTCTCACATGCTTTGAGTAACAGGTCAAATATGGAATGCGTAAGGAATCACTCCAAAATAAAAATTTAGTTTTCCTACTAACATTTTTACTGATTTTGAGATGAAAGTCATCCATGTACAAGTGTTTCGAATTATGATAATCAGCTAATAATGAAATTTGTGTTAAAGGTTGATGTTATTGTCAATTCAACATCTCCAGACTTTGATCTAAAAAATGGGGCAGTTTCTAAGTCCATTTTGGATGCTGCAGGAAAGAAAATACAGAAAGATGTGAACAAAAGTTCACAGGACATTGTTCCTGGTCAGATTGTAGCAACTGGTGGACATAAACTGCATTGTAAAGCTGTATATCATGGAAATTTACAGGGGTATGATAAAAATGCACACCCAACGGAACAAAGATCTGTTAAGGTTAGTATTAGGGATGGCTTATCGTTTAGAATTCATCAACCCATAACTCAAGTAACTAACTAACTGATTTTATGGTTTACTTGTAGAGATCATTGTTCACTCGGTATATACTTTTTCAAGAAAACAAAACAAGGATTAACTTATTTACATATATTTAGAAATTAAATAGTTATATACTAACAAATTTAATATATCAGGGTTTAAGCTAGAATTTTGATGTCTTTAGTCACTTTTGCGCTATACAAAAAACCAATCTTTTTTGAGTTACAGCATAAGACTAAGACAGTTATTGCATGGGCTTAAATACATTCAAAACACATGTTTTGATGTGTTCTTTCATTTGATTTTTTCAGCTTTTCATTAGTACTTTACAAATAGATATATAACAATAAAGATTAAAACAAAATAGCTGTTATGCTTAGAAAAGATAAAAAGTTATTTTTTGACATCTAAAGCAGCTACTATTGTTTAAAAAATGTTAACATTGAAAAGCTACTATTTGCATGAGAATAAATTTGCAAAGCATCTTTTAAGTATGTTTGATCTGATGAAATCTATTTATAAAATAATGCAACTCTCGCATTTATATCCTTTTTAATTATCTCCCCTTGATATTAAAATAAGACTGGCGTGTAAAAGTTATCTCCCCTGGCAAAATCACAAATTCTTTGATTCTTAAATAAGTGAATAAAGTTTCATTATATTTCTCAACCAAGAATATAGAACATGTCTTAAACAAATTCATTTCCAAAGAAATGATGATGGATTTTCCCTTTGTCAACATGTGCATATTTCAAAATCATTTTGTACAGACTTATAAAACAAGCAACAAATCCAACATGGCAGCAAATAGATGTGCAGGTTGATGATCTGTCTACCAATGTCTAACATATGACAGCCTTATTTACAGTTACATTACACTTCAGTATGACTTACATTGAAAATAGGTTTCAAGAAGTACATACTAAACAAAGTGTAAATATTTTTTATAAATTGTACAAATCGAGAGTACATGTGATTCAAGTCTTTTATAAAAACTAATCCTTGATACTGATTATTTTTTTATCATTCAATAGATATAGGAAGATGTGGTATGAGTGTAAACTGAATTTGAATGGAAATATGCAACTTTTATTTATATATCTATTTTTGTCTGAACTGAAAAAATCATTTCAGATTTTGACAAGTTTTGTCAGTGGTTGCTTGATAAAAGCTCATAGGAAATCCTACAGAAGTATTGCATTTCCAGTTCTTGGTGCAGGTGCACTTGATTTTCCACCTGATGTTGTTGCTTCAATGATGAAAAAAGTAGTTGAAGATTTTGGAAAGAAAAATGAACATACCACAATAGAAGAAGTCAGAGTGGTAGTATTCAAAGATGATGGAATCTTTACAGTGAGTTATCACAATTACCAATACATTTCAAGAATTAAGCACAGTGTTTTAAGTAAAGTTTTTCTGAGAGTTATAATTATGTATTTATATTTATAATTGATAGCTGTTTTTTACAAATAAAGGTGTATACAGTGATTGATTTATCTGAAACTTTTAACACAATGTCATGGACCATAAAATGCGGATCAAGTTCAATATTGGTGGCATTTACCATTAATAGTTTTTTTTTCTGAAAGCAAGGAGTATCTAATTCTAGTTTCATATGATTCACAAAAATTATCAAGGTCCTGTTTATATTTCCTTGTTAGGTAAATTGATAAACCTATAAATAAGAAGTTCACAATTAAATGTGGAAGTGTCTTTAGTATATTACAGGTCAGTAGTATTAAGTGAACTCAGTAGTTTCTCTTTTCTTTTCTTTAGCTAGTCAATCAGTTCATTAAAAGATAAACAATTTGATAGTTATTGTATTTTTTTGTTAAATTGATGAAGGCTTCAAATAATATGTTATATTTAAAACAGATCTTCAGAATGATGGCAGAGATATACAACAAACCAACACAAGTTGAATTATACCAAGAACCTGTAGATCAACCTTCTGCTGTTGCAGCAGCAAAAGCTCCAGAGCCACCAAAACAGGACCCAACAACTTTACTCAAGGATCTACCAACACAAGGACTAAGCCTTGCCCTTAACAGAGTAACATTATCAGCTGGTCTGGGTGATGTCACTAAACTTGAAGGATTCGACTGTCTGATATTACTGTGGCCTCAAGATGAGATTAAATTAACTCCAGTTGGTAAGTGAAGTGTGTAAAGGTTAATGAATACTATTGTTCAAATTCTCACTTCATTGAACAGTTGTTCAGACTCTTTATCTGTATATTGAGCTGATTTTTCATTCAGAACTATTAGTTTATGTTGAGATACAGATCAAGTTAATTTTTCTTTTAAGATGACATACTTTTCATGGAATAATGGCCCTTGGACTATGAAATTTCATTTAATAAAGCTTGTCTAGATATTTTTATGCCCCCGCCGTAGCGGTGGGGGCATTAAGTTTTACCCTTGTCCGTCTGTACGTACGTACGTCCCAAAATTGGTTTCCGTTCTCTAAGTTGAGTTTGCCTCAACCAAATGTTATGAAACTTATACACAATGCTTATTACCACAAAACACAGATCAAGTTTGAATTTTGGTGGCGTCACCTTAACCGTTCTAGAGTTATGCCCCTTTATAAATGGAAAAATTGCAAAATTTTTAGTTTCCGTTCTCTAACTTAAGTTTGCCTCAACCAAATGTTATGAAACTTATACACAAGGCTTATTACCACAAAACACAGATCAAGTTTGAATTTTGGTGGCGTCAATTTAACCGTCCTAGAGTTATGCCCCTTTATAAATGGAAAAATTGCAAAATTTTTAGTTTCCGTCCTCTAACTTAAGTTTGCCTCAACCAAATGTTATGAAACTTATACACAAGGCTTATTACCACAAAACACAGATCAAGTTTGAATTTTGGTGGTGTCACTTTAACCCTTCTAGAGTTATGCCCCTTTATAAATGGAAAAATTGCAAAATTTTTAGTTTCCGTCCTCTAACTTAAGTTTGCCTCAACCAAATGTTATGAAACTTATATACAATGCTTATTATCACAAAACACAGATCAAGTTTGAATTTTGGTGGCGTCACTTTAACTGTTCTAGAGTTATGCCCCTTTATAAATGGAAAAAATTGCAAAATTTTTATTTTCTTCTAAATATCAAGTTTTTTTTTAAATTGGAGTTATCTTCCTTTGGCCATGATTATAGTTGAATCAACTACAATCAATGCTTTATACAGAGCAATGTTTAATTTTGACTTCCACTGATAAAACACAGATCAAGTTGAATTTGGGTAGTGTCACTTTAACCATTATTGAGTTATGCCCCTTTATAAAAAGAAAAATTGCTGAATTTTAGTTTCTGTTCTCTACTTAAGTTAGCCTCAACCAAATGTTATGAGACTTACTCGCAAAACTCAGATCAAGTTCAAATTTGGGTAGCGTCACTTTTACTGTTCTTCAGTTATGTCCCTTTATAACTATATGATATGCAAGCGGGGGCATCATCTGTGTCCACATGTGGACACTATCCACATTTATTTTCAATGAGTGGGGGCTATATCATGTTCACCTTGTCCTTCTGTTCATCCAATAAATATTTCCGTCACACTTTTATTAAGTACTTTTGAAAAGAATGACTAGTTATTTGGTCAGTAGCTTGATAGTGATGTGTTGTAATGTTAGTGTCCTGGTCGAATCTGTCAGACACATACTTCTTGTTTGACAATACTTTGAATTTTGAATATGGTGAATGCACTTAAATTTTTTTAGACAAACATTTCTCCAGTGCTACAGATTGGAATGAAACCAAAGTTTGTCTGATTTATCTATAGGTTGTCTGCTATGAAGTTTGTAATTTTTTTTTTCTTCCAGAGTGATTGACCAACATGGCCTCCTTGGCTAAAAATAGAACATAGGGGTCAAACTGCAGTATTTGGCTAATATCTGGAAAACTCTAGCAATTAAATGAAAAATTACAATGGTAAAAATGGTCAGGCCAGCAAGCTCTATCTGCCCTGAAATTGAAAAAAATTATTAACCTGTTTTGATTGTCCCTGAAATGGTGATTTTAAACTTATTTGGCAGTTCTTGAATATTGTTTATAAAGATACAAGCAAGGTTTAAAGGTTGCCAGTATAAATACTGTTGGATAGTGGACAAATTTAATTCTCAAGAAGACTCAAAGTAAAAGGAGGGGCTGTACAGAATTTTAGTGTAAGTGTAAACTCTTAGAGGTTCAAGGCACATATATGTTGAATATATGCCGCACGACCCTATGTTTTGACCTTTGCAAAAAATAGAAGTGCATATGAACTTTCCAATCCAGGTCATGATTTTTTACGAAACTTCATAGTTAAAGTGGCATAGTATTGGCAGTATAAGGAGGTACTCTGAAATTATAGGAAATCTGACAAGACGTTTTGGAGTTGTTGCCACTGAAATGTTGATTTTTACTGTTTTTTTTTAGTAATGACTCGACTCCATGCATCTGTCCTTCGTTCCATGTCTTTCCAAAAGACATTGGGCAGAAAACTTTTGTCAAAGATTTCTTGGCTTCTATGATAGGAAATGATTTTATATTTTGTCTACAGCTTGATAATGTTGAGTTGTAGCGTATAAGCAATATTTAGGTCCAACATCTTGGTAAAGATAAACCAGTTTTTCAGGCCAGATTAACAGTGTTTTATATTTGGCTTTTGTTTATTTGCCTCATACTACCCTCTTTATGAAAGTATCTGCATATAATTTCAGATAAAGAAGTCATCCTTAAATCAGTTGGAAAGTCCTCTTTAACTGAGTGGGAAAAAGACAGTAAGTATACAGCATGAACAAACAGAAGTCTGTAATGTTAAATGATAAATAAGAACTTTTCTATGTAGTGTTAAATTGAAACATAAGATTAATGATCGCTCATTTCTTTATTTAAGATATTAGAATGTGACTTTAAATGAATAGAATGTTTTGCATATTATGCTTTTGTCTTGCAGAGGAAATATTAAGTGGAAGTAAGATACTTGTGACCCCTGGTGGTTTTCTGCCACAAAAGACCATTATACATGTTTATGTAGAAAACCTATGCCTACAAGATGCTTTCATGTTAGGATTAGCAAAGGCAGAAGAAATGAAAATGAAAAGCACTGTTATTCCAGTTAGACCAACAGGTAAGAAAGTAAATAATTAGTTTTTGCAACTTTCATTTGTATATTCATTGTAACTGTTTAATCATGTTTTAACTATGCCCATGTGCACACTAGTACTTGAGCTTATGTAAGTAACATTGTTCTATCAATATTTTTCTAATAAATTTTGTATATTCAGTTTTTATATTGTTTTGACAGGCTAAATCATTTCTTTTATCAACTGTTTTACCCCATGCATATATTAATCATTAAAAAATATTTTCAGATTCCTTAGCTAAAGATGTTGGAGATTTTTCAGCATGCATATACAGAGCAGTCACTGAAATGAATAACAGGTTACATATAATGAGACATGTGAAAATTTGTATTGGTGGGAAACATTTGTGTCAACCTATCCTAGCTACACTTGCTAAACTGCAAGAAACTGGTGGTCAGCATTTTGGTAGGTTTCCGTTTTAGCCAGAATTGAATTTTTAGACATGTAAACTGTGAATTTAAAGTTTTACAATAAAATTTAGAACAAATGGGAATAAAAAAAGAAATTAATTTACTGTTTTTATATGTAAAATGTGTTGCAGACAGAAAATTTAAAATATACTATCTGAATTCTACATACTGATACAACAAATTGAAGTACTTTAAACTTCAAAAGTACTTTTGTAAGTTTTAGTTTTCATTTCTGATTGATAACAAGCAGTAGCTATATATCATTTCTTTTTTTGCAAGATAGAATTATAGACAAGACAGTGAGCATGTTACAAATCTGTCTCGTGAATAATCAGATGATGAATTCAATAAAAATTAAGGCTATTCAGTTTACTTTTATATTTGGCATTGGTGCACTTGTAAGTTTTAAAAAGTTGTTTTTATACGACCGCAAAAATTTTTGCGGTCATATATTGGTATGACGTTGGCGTCGTCGTCGTCGTTGTCGTCGTCGTCTTCGTCGTCGTCGTCTGGCGTCGTCCGAAGACACATTGGTTTTCGCACTCTAACTTTAGTTTAAGTGAATGGATCTCTATGAAATTTTACCATAAGGTTCAATACCACAAAAGGAAGGTTGGGATTGATTTTGGGGGTTATGGTACCATCAGTTAAGGAATTAGGGGCCAAAAAGGGGCCAAAAATAAGCATTTTTGTAACTTCCAGACATAACTTGTGTGTTAGTGTATGGATCTCTCTGACATTGTACCACAAGGTTCCATATCACAAAGGGAATGCTGGGATTGATTTTGGGGTAATTGCCTCAAAATATTAGGAATTAGGGGCCAAAAAAAGGGGCAAAAAACAAGCATTTTTCTAGTTTCATGACAATAACTTGTGTGTAAGTGTATGGATCTTTCTGAAATTGTACTACAAGGTTCCATATCACTAAGAGAAAGCTGGAATTGAGTTTGGGGGTAATTGCCCGAAACGTTTAGGAATACGGGGCCAAAAAGGGGCCAAAAATAAGCATTTTTCTAGTTTCCAGACAATTACTTGTGTTCAAGTGTATGGATCTCTCTGAAATTGTACCACAAGGTTCCATATCATACAGGGAATGCTGGGATTGATTTTGGGGGTAATTGCCTCAAAATTTTAGGAATTAGGGGCCAAAAAAAGTGGCAAAATACAAGCATTTTTCTAGTTTCATGACAATAACTTGTGTGTAAGTGTTTGGATATTTCTGAAATTGTACTACAAGGTTCCATATCACAAAAGGAAAGCTGGAATTGAGTTTGGGGGTAATTGCCCGAAACGTTTAGGAATTGGGGGCCAAAAAGGGGCCAAAAAACACATTTTTCTAGTTTCCAGACAATAACTTGTGTTCAAGTGTATGGATCTCTCTGAAATTGTACTTCAAGGTACCATACCACAAAGGGAAGGCTGGGATTGAGTTTGGGGGTGATGAATCATAAGATGGTTCAAAAAATTTGGGGGGGGGATTTTTTTTTTTCCTTTTTTTTTTCTTTTAAAAATTTCCATTTTAAGTTGGTTATTTCTGATTTATATTTAAAAGCAAATAATAATGATATGGTAGGAGATACACACCAAACAGGATGTGTAAATTATTATATAATAAGTATTGTGCAATAGCAAGAAATTTTCAATTGCACAGTATTGCACAATAGCAAGAAATCTTCAATTGCACAGTATTGCGCAATAGCAAGAAATATCCAATAGCACAATATTGCGCAATAGCAAGAAATTGTCAATTGTGCAGTATTGCGCAATAGCAAGAAATATTCAATTGCACAGTATTGTGCAAAAGAAGATACTTCGTATAAATTGCTTATTTCTTGACCTATTTCAATGGGGTTTTATTCTTGAAATCTTGGGGTTCTTTAATATGCTGAATCTAACCGTGTATTAAGTTTTTGGATTTTGGGCCCCGTTTTTAAATTGGTCCACATTGAGGTCCAAAGGGTCCAAAATTAAACTTTGTTTGATTTCATCAAAAATTGAATTATTGGGGTTCTTTGATATGCCGAATCTAACCGTGTATTTAGATTCTTAATTTTTGGTTCCGTTTTCAAATTGGTCTACATTAAGGTCCAAAGGGTCCAAAATTAAACTAAGTTTGATTTTAATAAAAATTGAATTCTTAGGGTTCTTTGATATGCTGAATCTAAACATGTATTTAGATTTTTGATTACGGGCCCAGTTTTCAAGTTGGTCCAAATCGGGGTCCAAAATTAAATTTGTTTGATTTCAACAAAAATTGAATATATGGGGTTCTTTGATATGCTGAATCTAACCATGTATTTAGATTTTTGATTTTTGGGGCCCGATATCAACTTTGTCCACATTGAGGTCAAAAGGGTCCAAAATTAAACTTTGTTTGATTTCATCAAAAATTGAATTCTTGGGGTTCTTTGATATGCTGAATCTAACCATGTATTTAGATTTTGGATATTGGACCATAATAGGTGAATGTCCAATTTAAAATTTTTAAGTTCTTAGACCACATTCATTCTGTGTCAGAAACCTATGCTGTGTCAAATATTTAATCACAATCCAAATTCAGAGCTGTATCAAGCTTGAATGTTGTGTCCATACTTGCCCCAACTGTTCAGGGTTCGACCTCTGCGGTCGTATCAAGTTGCGCCCTGCGGAGCATTTTATTATAGTACTGTGTAGCATGACAGTATCAGATAAATAGAACAACTTTGTCTTAAGAAATACATTTATAAACCGAACAGCAGTAATAATGTTAAAATTACAAATATTTTTTTTATAGATCAGACAAAGGCCACTTGCATTGTAGAAATAACAGCTTTAAAAGATGACATGGAAAACATAATGTATGAAATTAATCCAAAGGCAGAAGCTGAAGATCTAAACAACCGAAAGGTATCACATAAAATGAATAAGCAATCTATAAAGTTTTCAGGATCATGATGAAAAAATGGTAGAAGAATACAAATAAAAAAATATGTTCATTTGAATTTTCCTCTGTATATATAATTGTTGTTAAATTTGAAAAACATATTTCTTTGTAATTGAACTGTAATGGAATAGACATTCCTTTATCACATTAGTTCTAAATGGAAAAAATATTCAGAGTATTAAATTATTTCATAGGAATAATATTACATTATTTGTTCCTTATGGAATCAAGAGAATGGAATATTTGTTCCAACAGGAAAAGATTAAAATATCATTGTTTAAAAGTTTTGTGTAGTTTACATGTTTATTAATTTCAACACTTGCAGTATAAAATTGAAATTACACCCATACAATTATATCTGTGTGTCAACAGTTTATTTAGCTTGATAAAAGTTATGATTGATCATTAACATTTTTGGACTAATTGAAGTCTTAAAAATAACAAAGCCAAGCTATGAAAATCTTAAACAACATATGTATATTTTTTGTTAACTAATACAGGATGCTAGAATGGCTGATGAGGAAGATGTAAAAAGCAAAACCTTAACCAAAGATGACATGGAACAGTTTAAACATCCATCTAAAAGAGTAAGATTTTTAGCAAATATCCAGCAATTGAAATATTTTGTAAGAACATAAATCTTTGTGACAACAGTGCTATAAAAGAAGAATTGATGTATTTCAGATGAGTAATTATATCCTGCAATAAATTAAATTTGGGAGGTGGAAACTTTGAAATATTAACATAGCTACCATAAATTCTGATATACATTTTTAGGCTTATGTTATATGATGACAATTTACTTAACTTAAACAGTGGTTTTCAGTCATTATTTTGTTGAATTAGCATAGTCTTCAGTCTTCTTCCAAACCAAGATTAAATCCGGAGGTAGATTGTGATGACGTAAAGTGTTGTTATTAAATATCTTTTTGGCAAAACTTATGGTAAACACAAATACTAATTATCTAGGAGATATATATGAGTGGCATATCTTCTTTATTTTTCAGTTCCTAGTAAATTTATGTGCAGAAATAAGTCCAGATGTAATACAAACAGCCTTACAGACAAACCAGTTAGAAATATTGAAAATGGGACTAGAAAGAATATCAGAAAAGGTTAAGATCTCTGAGGTTGATGGAAAATGGGTAGTATATGGATCATATGAACAAATAGAAATGTGTCAAAGTTACCTACAAGTTGTTACAGAAGATTCAACAGAGCCAACTGATGGAGAAATTATCATAAAAGTAGATATAACAAAGAATTTATATCAGGCACTGCTGTTTTTAGAGAAAAGAAAACTTTCTGAAATAACAGGAAATGCTAATTTGAACTTTATAGATGATGCTGGATTGTTAGAGATTTCTGGACATACAATACCAGCTAATGTTGAAAAACAAATTCAGGAACTTGTAAGCTCATTCCAGGCAAATATGATAATGGATATGGTAGAGGTACCCTATCGTCTAGTACAAAACAGCTCTGTCTTAAATTTTATTCTAAAATTGCAGATAGACCACCCAGATGTGTATATTTATACGAATGAAGGGAAAGGGGCAGAGTCGGCATTCCCTGTATATCTTGTCAGTTTGAAACGTGAGGACTTGGCCAGTGCTAAGAAAAGCATTCAAACTGAATATTTAAAAACATCAACTAGAGCTGGAAGGTTCACTCAGTCACAAACAAGCGATACAAATACAAAGTTTGGGAACCCAAATAAGTTTAACAGAAGTTACTCTCTTGAAATTAGGAAGCCATCTCATAAGACATATAAGACAGAAGAAGGACTTGTTATTCACGTCTATATGGGCAACATTCTTCAACTTAATGTTGACTGTATTGTAAATGCAGCCAACAGCCATTTAATGCACGGAGGAGGTATTGCAGCTGTCATAGCAGATGCTGCAGGAAAAGCCTTCAATAAAGAAAGTTATGAGTATGTTAAACGTTATGGTGAAGTCAAAACAGGGCATTGTTGTGTAACACATGCTGGAAACCTTCCTTACAAACGTGTAATCCATGGAGTTGGTCCACATTGGTCTAAAGGCAAGGCTAACGAATGCTGTGACTTGTTACAGAAAACCATTGAGCAGTGTATACAGACAGCTAATGCTCATCAAATGACCTCTATAGCTATACCGTCTATTAGTGCAGGTAATTATGATAGTAGATAAGCTTTATTTAGAGTTTGTATGGTTTAAAAAACAAAAAGAAATAACCTAAGCTCTACTAAGCTTTTAACCAACATAATTGACAATATGGTATATATTATTAATAAAAATAAATGTTACAAGAATACTGTTTTTTTTTTTATTGAAGATGTTTGAGTGTTTTTTAGCTCACCTAGCCCAAGGGCCAAGTGAGCTTTCCTCATCACCTAGAGTCCATCCTCTTTGATTGTCCATCCTCGTTGTTAACTTTTACAAAAATCTTCTCCTCTGAAACTACTAGGCCAAATTTATTCAAACTTGGCCACAATCATCATTGGGGTGTTTAGTTTAAAAAATGTGTCTGATGACCCTGTGCACCCTCTTACATGGAGGACATAGCTTAAAATAGCACATAGGGGTAAAATGCAAGTTTTGTCTATTATCTTGAAAAATGCTTTAAAAAGAGAAAATCTGACTTGCGTAAAAATATTCAGAATGTTGAGATCTACCTTCTGTCTATTTACATCAAAACCGTCAGATGCCTTTCTTATAGGCTTTACTGCCTTTACATTTTGAATTTATCAGCCTTTTTTATATTTTTGCCTATTATCTTGAAAATTATCATAGATAGAGAAACTTTAAAAGCAAAAATGATCAGCAAGACAAGATCTTTAACTAAGTCAACATGCAGAAATCGTCACTCTACTTATTGGAGTTATTGTCTTTTGATGATGATTTTTACCAATTTTTATACGACTGAAAAAAAATTTTTGCGGTCGTATATTGGTATGACGTTGGCGTCGTCGTCCGAAGGCACATTGGTTTTCACACTCTAACTTTAGTTTAAGTGAATGGATCTCTTTGAAATTTTACCATAAGGTTCAGTACCACAAAAGGAAGGTGGGGATTGATTTTGGGGGTTATGGTACCAACAGTTAAGGAATTAGGGGCCAAAAAGGGGCCAAAAATAAGCATTTTCTAGTTTCCAGACAATAACTGTGGAACGGTGTATGGATCTCTCTGAAATTATACTACAAGTTTCCATACCACTAAGGGATGGTTAGGATTTGCTTTGGGGGGTTATGGCTCAAACCGTTTAGGAATTAGGGGCAAAAAAGGGGGAAAAACAAGGTTGTCCTGGTTAATGGACAAATACTTAAGTACAAAACATAATTTTAAGCAGTGTAAGGGAGATAAATCAAATACATCATTGAAATTATCTCCCTTACACTGCTTTTAAATTATGTATAAAGTAATGGTTAATGAACAATTAAGATAATTTAAAACAGTGTAAGGGAGGTAATCCAAATACGTTTTGGTTACTTCCCTTACACTGCTTTTAAATTATGTTTAAAGAAATGCATATTTATAAAGGAAGACCAGTAAAAATATCTGCATCTTTTTTTTTTACAAAAATATCCATATGAAAGATTTGACACTATATTTGAAATTCTATTATAAAATAGATTAAGTTAGCACTATGGTAAATTTAAATGGGTAATTATGGTTGCAAACTCCATTGGAAATTTGAATTGAGATTATAACCATATCTTGAGGGAAAGAATTTATTTGGGGAAAAAAGGGGGGGAGGGGGGGGGGGGGGGGGGGGGGGGGTAAAAAGAAATTGTGGGGGTCAATTTTTTCTCATTTCAGATTTCAGAAATTAAAAAGAATTATTCTTCAAATATTATTTTTTTTTCAAATTTCAAATATTGAAAAATTTCAAGAAGTAATCTTTAATTGCACAGTATAGCGCATTAGATTTGTTAAATCTTTGACCACATTTATTTATTTGTTATGCTGAATCTAACCGTGTATTTAGATTTTTAATTTTGGGTCCAGTTTTCAAATTGGTCTACATTAAGGTCCAAAGGGTCCAAAATTAAACTTTGTTTGATTTTAACAAAAATTGAATATACGGGGTTCTTTGATATGCTGAATCTAAACATGTATTTAGATTTTTGATTTTTGGTCCAGTTTTCAAGTTGGTCCAAATTGGGGTCCAAAATTAAACTTTGTTTGATTTCAACAAAAATTGAATATATGGGGTTCTTTGATATGCTGAATCTAACCATGTATTTAGATTTTTTATTTGTGGACCCCGCTATCAAATTGGTTCATATTGAGGTCAAAAGGGTCCAAAATTAAACTTCGTTTGATTTCATCAAAATTGAATTATTGGGGTTCTTTGACATGCCAAATCTAACCGTGTATTTAGATTTTTAATTGTGGGTCCTGTTTTTTAAATTGGTCTACATTAAGGTCCAAAGGGTCCAAAATTAAACTTAGTTTGATTTTAACAAAAATTGAATTCTTGGGGTTCTTTGATATGCTGAATCTAAACATGTGTTTAGATTTTTGATTATGGGCCCAGTTTTCAAGTTGGTCCAAATTGGGGTCCAAAATTAAACTTTGTTTGATTTCAACAAAAATTGAATATATGGGGTTCTTTGATATGCTGAATCTAAACATGTATTTAGATTTTAGATTTTTGGCCCAGTTTTCAAGTTGGTCCAAATTGGGGTCCAAAATTAAACTTTGTTTGATTTCAACAAAAATTGAATATATGGGTTCTTTGATATGCTGAATCTAACCATGTATTTAGATTTTTTATTTGTGGGCCTGCTATCAAATTGGTTCATATTGAGGTCAAAAGGGTCTAAAATTAAACTTTGTTTGATTTCATCAAAAATTGAATTATTGGGTTCTTTGATATGCCAAATCTAACCGTGTTTTTAGATTTCTAATTTTGGGTCCTGTTTTTTAAATTGGTCTACATTAAGGTCCAAAGGGTCCAAAATTAAACTTAGTTTGATTTTAACAAAAATTGAATTCTTGGGGTTCTTTGATATGCTGAATCTAAACATGTGTTTAGATTTTTGATTATGGGCCCAGTTTTCAAGTTGGTCCAAATTGGGGTCCAAAATTAAACTTTGTTTGATTTCAACAAAATTTAATATATGGGGTTCTTTGATATTCTGAATCTAACCATGTATTTTGATTTTGGACATTGGACCATAATAGGTAAATTAAAAAAATTCAAGTTCTTGGACCACATTCTTTCTGTGTCAGAAACCTATGCTGTGTCAAATATTTAATCACAATCCAAATTCAGAGCTGTATCAAGCTTGAATGTTGTGTCCATACTTGCCCCAACTGTTCAGGGTTCGACCTCTGCGGTCGTATCAAGCTGCGCCCAGCGAAGCATTTTATTTTTTGTGTTTTTGCAAACTATAAAAGATAGATAAACACTTTAAATGGCAAAATTGATAAGTATGATAAGATCTACAAATAAGTCAACATGGATGGAAATCTTCAGTCGACTCCTTATTGGAGTTATGGCTCTTTAATGACGATTTTTACCAAATTTTTTTTGCGTTATTACCTAATATCTTGAAAACTATACTAGATAGATAGACACTTTAAATAGCAAAAGGAATCAGCAAGACAAGTTCTACAAAAAGGTCAGCGTATATGAAATTGTCAGTTGTCTTCTATTAGGATTTATTGCCCATAAATGACAATTTTTTTAATCCTATTTTGTATTTTTGGCAAAAACTATAGAAGATAAAGAGAAACTGTAAAGAAAAAATGATCAGCAATAAAAGACCCAATGAAAAAGAGATTTTAGTCATGAATTATATTCTAGTCTACAGAGATTGTCCATTGTGCATAAACCTAGGTGAGCAACACAGGCTCTTTAGAGCCTCTAGTTGTACATTCCAGATATATATCAGAAAAATTACACTGAGAAAAATATATTGCAAACTATTTAAAAAATGTCTTATATAAATATGTTTAAAGGTTAAATAATTTAGTTGTTTCAAGTTTCAAACTCACTGATGTAAAGAAAATGGTCCTGATCCCAATAGATTCTGGTTTTGTTTTCAATCATTGTTATTGTGTTATTAAATATTTGACAAAATTAAATGAGGAATCATATTTTTCATGTAACTTTAGATTCACTTAGATAGGTTCTTTGATGTTTGACAAGTCTTAAATTAAAATCCTGTATTGCTAAAATTAAAGCACTTTCCTTTGATTACTTTTGTGTATGACATTTCCGAATGCAACAATTATATTGTAATGATTATCTTGTTCACTATTTTGTTCAGTTCCTGATTATAAACATAGTTAAACATGACTGTAAATAATTTGTAAGTCACCTTCCAATGTTTATCGTTTTAGTTGTAAATACATATTATGCTGTTTTTAATTGTAGGTCTATATGGAATGCCACCAGAACTATGTGCTAAGTCTTATGCTGTAGGTGTGATGACAGTCAGTGATAACAGAACCGGGCTCTGGTCCCTGAAGGAGGTCCATTTTGTTGACAACAAACCTGACATGGTATTCATAGTTCAAAAAGCTTTTTCTGATATCTTTGAAAGTTCTGAAACAAGGCGACAAAGAAGTGTTGAAGAAAGTCTGCAAACTTCTGTAGAACAGTTTAAAGGGGATACAGCTATTATTGATAAATTGAAAAAAAATCAATCCTTGACAAATGCTGAAGAAATTGTTCAAAGGAAAGCTACTGTAAAGTTAAATACACAAACTGAAAGTAACAATTTCACCATTAGCCAAAGTCCAATAGACAATTATATCCTTCCAAATAGTTCTGACCTACCTGCATCATGGAAAGTTACTATCAAGACAGATTTAATAGAAATTGAAACAGGTCCAAGCATGAAAGTATATTTGTATGAAAGTGACTTTGAAAAACAGATTATGGAATCAATAGCAATTGGCAAGGATATAGATTATGGCCAACGGAGTACCGTTGTACAGTCCTTAAGACGCAGGACAAATGTTAAAGCAAAATTGGACCAACTGAAAATTCAGATACCAAAGCCAACAGTTGGAACTGTTGCAATGTTTGAGGCAGTTACAGATACTTACCTTCAAAAAGTGTTTGTAGTCTTTACACCAAAATATCCAAGGAATGAGACACCAGTTGAAGATAAGAAGTTCCATGATAACTTGTATGGTTGTTACTTAAAGATATTTCAGGAGGTTGCCAACACAAAAGACACAGAGTTTCTTGCAGTTTCATTTCTAAAAACAGGTATGATTATTTAGGAAAGAATCAAGAAATATGGTAAAAATATAAAGCTGTTGTTTTTATGTTCCAAGATAGTAGGTTAAATTTTGTAATGCAAAGTGAACAATGTTGCAACTAATTTGGCGACAGCAGGGTGTTTGCAATGGCGTTAAGTGGTTGTATAAAGATTTTTATTTATTTTAGAATGAAAAGGGAGCTCGACATTCCATTTATTGAATAGAGAAGGCTTATGCAAATGTTTGCACCTGTCCTAAGTCAGGAATCTGATTACAGTAGTTGTCTTCTGTTTATGTAGTTCATACGTGTTTCTTGTTTCTCGTTTTTATATAGATTAGATCGTTGGTTTTTCCGTTTGAATGGTTTTACACTAGTAATTTTTTGGGGCCCTTTATAGCTTGCCGTTCGGTGTGAGCCAATGCTCCATGTTGAAGGCCGTACCTTGACCTATAATGGTTTACTTTTATAAATTGTAACTTGGATGGAGAGTTGTCTCATTGGCACTCATACCACATCTTCCTATATCTATTTATGGACTAAATGTCTTTCTGTTAAATGTTCTTGACCTTATTTTCAATAAAGGTCAGTTTCTCATTTCTTTGAATAAAAGATCAATGTAATATGGTACATTAGGTCCAAGGCCACAGTTATCGTCCTTAGGTTTTCGTTGTCTACGAATATAGTCCCTAGTGTGAACAGTGTATAACTTGAATTTTTTTTTTATACACTTTTCCAATTTATTTCTTGATATTTTATGCATGAAATATTAAGTAAGGGGATGAAATTACATGTTAAAAAAATTTGGGTGCTGAATCTTTATGTTAAGTAGTGATTTGGTCCAGTTAAAAAAGGTCAAAAATTAGAATGTCTGAAGCTGTCAAACTGAATTTTAGCCCCCCTTAACACAGAATTGTCAATATTTTGAGTTAGAGCTGGTAGAAGTTTCTATAATTTTGATATTATTTGTATCAATAGTAGTACACTACACTCTAAAAAATCTTTTTGAGATAGAGCAGGTGCGATTTTTTTAATTTGAATTTATTGTCTAAAAGCAATGCACTACAAAATAACTGTGTTCTCGGGCCATATACAACTTTTGCACACTTGTTACATGTGTTAGTTAATTGTATCTTTATGAATATATGTTTCATTATAGGTAATAGAGGTACATCATTTGAAGAAGGTGTTAAAGTGTTCCTACATGCAGTGGATATGTTTACAATCAATAAAACCCCAGAATGTAGGCTAAAACAAATCCATCTTATTGTAAATAAAGACACAAATGCACTACAGAAAATCAAACTAGTATTAGAACAAAACTTTAAAGACTCGGGTCAATTAATACACATTGATGAAAAAGCTAATAAAAAGATTTGGAGAATTGTTGGATGTAAGAAAATAAATAGTGAAATGCCTAGGAAAGAAGAGGTGCCTTCAGATGTCAAAAATATAGTTCAAAAACCTGATAAGAAGGAAGATGAACCAGAGGAGAAATCAAAACCTGAAGATTGTGCAATCTGCCTAGAAGAAATACAAAATGATACCAAGAAAACGTTACACAAATGTAAACATGTGTTTTGTAAGGAGTGTATAGATGAGTGTTTCAGACATAGACCAGTTTGTCCAACATGCGGAATGGTATATGGTATTGTCAGAGGAACCCAGCCAACTGGAACGATGAAAGTTGAACATAGACCACAGTTTCATTTACAAGGACATAAAAAACATGGCAGTTGGGTGATAACTTACACCTTTTTCAGTGATAAACAAACTGTAAGTTCATGAACCATCATATATTTAGGAACATAAAGTTAAAAGGCTTAAGAACTAGTTAGATTTTTCGTGTTAGAAATGATTTCAAAGAAACAAGAAATGTGAATTTTAAGCAGTGCAGTCGACATAGGCCTGATTTCACTTTCATTGTCTTTGTGACCTGAATTGTATCAGATTGCTAATATGTAGGTTTTAGGTTGTTATATTTAATTACCAGGTTAATGAATGTTTGATAGTTGACAAAAAAAACCAATGCAGATGAAAGACCTGATGCAAGCCTTAAAGCGTGTCCTTCTCAATAACTCATTCTTTATATTCATTAGACAAGTTGATTTTGTTTTCCATGTTTACCTGTTAACCAATGGTTTCTGCCCAAATGATGCCTAAACTAATTCAGTAAAAATCAGTAGTCTTATTTTAAGTGATAAGCATTTAAAAGAAGTGTATAAAAAGTGTATAAAAAGTATTTACAAAAATACCAAACTGCAAGGTTAATTCTAAAAGAGGGAATTCTATAAAACAAAATCAAACATTAGACTGTGTCAACCAATGAAACAAATGGAAAACAATTGTCATATTCCTGACTTTGTACAGGCATTTACCAATGAAAATGGTGGGTGAAACCACAGATCAACTTTGCATTTTGGTGGCCTCACTTTTACTGTTCTAGAGTTATGCCCCTTTACAAATGGAAAAATTGCTGAATTTTTCGTTTCCGTTCTCTAACTTAAGTTTGCTTCAACCAAATGTTATGAAACTTATACACAATGCTTATTACCACAAAATGCAGATCAAGTACCAATTTGGGTAGCTTCATTTTTACCTTTCTAGAGTTATGTCCCTTTAAAAAAGGAAAAATTGCTGAATTTTTTGTTTCCGTTCTCTAATTTTACTTTGCCTCAACCAAATGTTATGAATCTTATACACAATGCTTAATTAACCACAAAACACAGATCAAATTTTAATTTTGGTTGCGTCACTTTTACTGTTCAAGAGTTATGCCCTTTTACAAATGGACAAATTGCTGAATTTTTCGTTTCTGTTCTCTAACAAAAGTTTGCCTCAACCAAATGTTATGAAACTTATACACAAAGCTTATTACCACAAAATTCAGATCAAGTATGAATTTGGGTAGAGTCACTTTTACCGTTCTTCAGTTATGTCCCTTGATAGCGTAATAAGCAAGTGGGGGCATCATCAAATTGTCCCATGGACACATTCTCCATTTATTTTTCCAGGAGTTATGTCCCTTTGAACTTAGAATTTATGCTTAAATATACTACTGCTACAGTTTGTCATCACAACTACTCTGAAACCACACAACAGAATTTCATAAAACTTTGTAGATGATAAGGACATACTATACATACTATGCAGATGTGCATATCAACAGGAAATCATGATTGTATTTTTATGCCCCCGCTTGCATATCATATAAAGATATAAAGGGACATAACTGAAGAACGGTAAAAGTGAACGGAGGGGGCATTAAGTTTTACCCTTGTCCGTCTGTACGTACATACGTCCATCAGTACGTCCCAAAGTTGGTTTCCGTTCTCTAACTTTAGTTTGCCTCAACCAAATGTTATGAAACTTATCCAAATGCTTATTACCACATAATACAGATCAAGTTCGAAATTGGGTTGCGTCACTTTTACCGTTCTTTAGTTATACCCCTTTATAAACATAAAAATTGCTGAATTTTTCGTTTCCGTTCTCTAACTTTTGTTTGCCTCAACTAAATGTTATGAAACTTATACACAATGCTTATTACCACATAACACAGAACAAGTTTAAAATTGGGTGGCTTCACTTTAACCGTTCTTGAGTTATGCCCCTTTATAAACATAAAAATTCCTGAATTTTTCGTTTCCGTTCTCTAACTTTTGTTTGCCTCAACTAAATGTTATGAAACTTATACACAATGCTTATTACCACATAACACAGAACAAGTTTAAAATTGGGTGGCTTCACTTTAACCGTTCTTGAGTTATGCCCCTTTATAAACATAAAAATTCCTGAATTTTTTGTTTCTGTTCTCTAACTTTAGTTTGCCTCAACCAAATGTTATGAAACTATTACACAATGCTTATTACCACAAAACTCAGATCAAGTACAAATTTGGGTAGCGTCACTTTTATCGTTCTTCAGTTATGTCCCTTTATATCGTAATATGATATGCAAGCGGGGGCATCATCAGTGTCCCATGGACACATTCCACATTTATTTTCTAGAAATTATACCCATTTGAACATAGAATTTTGGCCTAAATATACTACTGCAACAGTTTGTCATAGCAACTCCTCTGAAACCACACAACAGAATTTCATGAAACTTTGTAGATGATAAGTACATAATATGTAGATGTGCATATCCACAAGAAATTTTTGTCAGTTGACTTTTGTAGGAGTTATGAGTCTTTGAACTTAGGAATCTAGTGAGATTTTGTTTGCCCAGTGTCAGTGTGGAGAGTGGGGTATGTGAGCATGCTCTCAAAGGTTCTTTAATTTGGTTTAATTAAAGTGACAATAATGGGGATTCAGCAACTAAAACTGTAAACAAACATCACAGACATACAACACAACTGACTAAAAAAATCAAACAGACATTAAAAGAAGTGTAAATTTTCTTTTGTTATTTAGTATACATTTTCTACTCTTCTAGATTACAGCTGTGATATATGTTTTACACTTAATATTGTTGATTGATATCTGTAAATAGTTCTAAAAGTTTTGTATCTTAAGGCTGAACATCCAAACCCAGGAAAATCCTACAGAGGGACAAGTCGTACAGCATATCTACCAGCCAATGAGAAGGGTACCATGGTGATGAAGTTACTGAAGATAGCATTTGACAGGAAGTTGGTGTTCACTATAGGTCATTCCAGGACTACAGGAGAAGAGAATGTTGTTACATGGAATGATATACATCACAAAACAAGCATGGGAGGAGGTCCTCAAGCGTAAGTTAACATTGAATGTGATTGACCAGTTGATTTACTCACTTTTTTTGCAATATTGTCTGCATATTAACACCTTGACTTTTGAAAATTGCATCATAATTTTTGTACATTTGATATTTTTTATCTTTGAAAATAACCATGACATAATAGGAATAAAAGGAAAAGTGAGGTATACATTAATAAGACAGCAACCCCAAAACAACAAAAATATCTAAAAGACATCTAGAGGGTAATGTACAGCCATAAAAAATAGACAGGTGTTTATGCTTATAAAAATTTTAAAGTTTTGGTGGGGTTTTTTCAGGTTTGGATATCCAGATCCAGAGTATCTAGACCGGGTGTTAGATGAGTTGGCAGCTAAAGGTGTTACCAAAGAGGATTTGAGAGACTAGGCTTCAGTCAGAAAGTATTGATGTTTGTGTAAATATGTTATGACTTTTGAATCTGTTATATATCATTAGATGACTTCAATATTTTTCCTTTATTTATAGAATTTTTTGACATATATACAATCATGAACTGTGTTTTTAATGTCTAGGCTAGCAGAATATTTATGTTCACTTGGATGTAAAGTTTGGCAAGAAGATAATGAAATATATTATAGACATTTAATGTGCACAAACTTCCTGTTATTTTTATACAACTGCAGAATTTTTGCAGTCGTATAATTTTATATTGTTGTCGGCATCGTCTTTGTCATCTGAAGACATTGGGTTTGCAAACAATAATTTGAGAATAAGTGTATGGATCTCTATGAAATTATACCGTAAGGTTCCATACCACAAAAGGAAGGTTGGGATTAATTTGTTGGGGTTATTGTCCTAACTGTTAGGAATTGGGGCCCAAAATCAAGCATTTTTCTTGTTTCAGGCCAATAACTTGTGTATAAGTATAAATAAGAAGATGTGGTATGACTGCCAATATGGATCTCTATGAAATTGTACCATAAGGTTCCATATCTCAGAAGGAAGGTTGGGATTGATTTTTGGGGTTACGGCCCGAACCGATTAGAAATTAGGGTCCAAAAACACGGATTTTCTGGTTTTCAGACAATAACGAGTGTAAGTGTATGGATCTCTATGAAATTGTACCACAAGTTTCCATACCACAAAAGGAAGTTTAGGATTGATTTTGGGGGTTATGGCCCTAACCGTTTAGGAAAAAGGGGCCAAAAACAATACTTTTGTAATACTTTGTATAAATTGCTAAGTTGTCTCATTGGCAATCATACCTCATATACCTTATTTTTATATTATAAAGTCTTGAATTCTTGGGGTTCTTTGATATGCTGAATCTAACCATGTATTTAGATTTTGGATTTTGGCCACGTTTTTGAATTGGTCCACATTTAGGTCCAAAGAGTCCAAAATTAAACTTTGTATTGAATTATTGGGGATTCCTTGATATGCAGAACTGTGTATTTAGAATTTTAATTTTGGGCACCATTTTCAAATTGGTTCAAAGGGTCTAAAATAAACTTTGTTTTATTTCAACAAAAATTGAATACTTGGGGTTCTTTGATATGCTGATTCTAACCATGTATTTAGATTTTGGATATTGGACCATAATAGGTAAATGTCCAATTTCAAATTTTTAAGTTCTTCGACCACATTCATTCTGTGTCAGAAACCTGTGCTGTGTCAAACATTTAATCACAATCCAAACTCAGAGCTGTATCAAGATTGAATGTTGTGTCCATACTTGCCCCAACTGTTCAGGGTTTGACCTCTGCAGTCGTTTCAAGCTGTGCCCTACAGAACATTTTATTTATAGATGAACTAGGATCAGAAGTTACTATTAACATGATTCTGTTAAATGTAAACAATCATTATCAGGCTAATATTCTGTTCGTTTCCACATTTGCTGTTTTAGGAAAAAAGGAACTGTGGATTGAAATGAGACAACATTCCAAAATGTATTCCTTGTAGTTTTTTTATCTTGGCAAGTACTGGAATGCTCCATTTTCAAATTGGTCCACATTTAGATTCAAAAGGTCCAAAATTAAACTTTGTTTGATTTCAACAAAATTTGAATACTTGTGGTTCTTTGATATGCTGATTCTAACCATGTATTTAGATTTTGAATATTGGACCATAATAGGTAAATGTCCAATTTCAAATTTTTAAGTTCTTTGACCACATCCATTCTGTGTCAAATATTTAATTTAAAAAATTTAATTTAATAATTTAACATTTATTAATGTTACATTTTAGTTGAGGGGGATAAAAAAAGCAGGATTACAATATTCTGCAGCCATTCAAATATGATATGGTAATTCAAATTTAGAACTTGGTTATTTATAGAAGTCATGACATTTTGTTTATTCTTATTTGTTATTAAATGTAACCATTAATTGATCTGTGATATTGATTACACTGATTGTTGTTAAAATTTAATTTTTAAATATCTGTTGTTGTTTTCTTTGCTTTTTTTGTTAATTTTGTTTGAAAGGCAATGTGTGTATGTATGGTTAACTTGTTATAGTTATAACTTTGTCAAAATTTCATGAAAATTTAGCGAGCCAAATCCATTTTAGTACAAAGTGGTAACCCTTAGCACAGTTTGAGGGTTTAGACAATCATTTAAGGTGTCACATTGAATCATATGGATTAGTTTTGATGTTTAAGAATGTTGCAGATATGATAGACTATGCCTTTTTCAAACTGGTATTGCATTACCATTAATATACCAGGTGATTTGATGGAAGTACTTTAAAGGAGCTCTTTTGTGAAAGCATAGATTTGATTCTAAAAATAAAATTATCATTTTGTACAGTTATTCACTTTCATGGGAAGTAAAACTGGTTTATTGCAATGAAGAACAATTTGAGCAGATATTTACTTTTTTAATTAGCAATTCATGTATTGCTGTTATGGAAAGGAGGTGATATGTTTTGTAGTTTAACTGTTGAAGTTGTGATTAGGTTTGTTTCAGGGAAACCTCTTATGGTAAGTGAATATTTGGTATTTGCAGTTGTTTCAGCATTAGTAAATTTCAAATCTTCAAGAGAAATGCTTGTTTTTTTTTATGAAATCGGTAGATTTCACAATATGTCCATAAAAGAACGACGCCATAGTCAAATGAAATCTCATTATAAACAATCTTATTAGGAATAAAAGAAGAAGTCAGGTATATGTCAATGAGACAGTAACTCAATGACACAAATAACCAAAAGATCTAGAGGTAAATTAAGGTTATTTATTTCTAACATACTTCTAAACAACTCATTTAATAACATTAAAATATAACCATATTGATGTAATTAAAACTTTTGTATTTCTTTTCATTGCTCTACATTGCAGCACAGAAGCAAATTAAATTGTATCAGATTATAATTTGGAAGTTAACTTTAGTCTTTTTGGAAAGACTAGACTGTTATTGATAAAATTGTTAACAGATTCATCATGTTTGTAACAGGTACATTCTTTTAGAAAAATTGCTGTAAAGGGACCAATTCAACATAAGGGCAGGGAAATTTTTTTTCAATAGCTTTATTGGACATGATGAAACGTTTTTCAGACATGGAAAAAGATTGTGTATAAAAATACGGAATTAACCATTCAAAGTGAAGGAGATAATTCTATATTTACTTTAAAGGTTGTGGTTTTCAATGTTGTATACATATATTTTTCTTGTTTTGTTTTTTTCGAAATCATTAGTCATTTGTATTACGGTAATCTTGTTCAAAACAGATATTACATATGTGATTTGGTAGCAAAGTATTGTATTATTTTTCAAGTACCGGTATTTTAAATAAAACAATAATTCCAATCATTTAGATGTTATTTTAAGATTTATACTATTGGTTAAATATTACTTTTTATACTGTAAATTCAGAAATTAATGTGTGGATTTATTGTTGTGATTTTTAGCTCACCTGGCCCGAAGGGCCAAGTGAGCTTTTCTCATCACTTGGCGTCCGTCGTCCGGCGTCGTCCGTCGTCGGCGTTAACATTTTACATTTTGAACTTCTTCTAGAGAACCACTGAAAGGAATGAAACCAAACATGGCATGAATGTTCCTTATGAGGTGCTGACCAAGTGTTGTTACTTTGTAGCGGATCCATCATCCAAGATGGCCACCAGCATGGGACTTAGTTTAACATAGGACCCTATGGGAAATACATACAAATGTCTTCTTTTAGAGAACCACAGAATGGAATGAAACCAAACATGGCATGAATGTTTCTTATGAGGTGCTGACCGAGTGTTGTTACTTTGAAGCCGATCCATAATCCAAGATGGCCGCCAGCGGGGGACTTAGTTTAACATAGGACCCTATGGGAAATACATACAAATGTCTTCTTTTAGAAAACCACTGAATGGAATGAAACCAAACATGGTATGAATGTTCCTTATGAGGTGCTGACCGAATGTTGGTACTTTGAAGCCGATCCATAATCCAAGATGGCCGCCAGCGGGGGACTTAGTTTAACATGGGACCCTATGGGAAATACATACAAATGTCTTCTTTTAGAGAATCACTGAATGGAATGAAACCAAACATGGTATGAATGTTCCTTATGAGGTGCTGACCGAGTGTTGTTACTTTGAAGCCGATCCATAATCCAAGATGGCCGCCAGCGGGGGACTTAGTTTAACATTGGACCCTATGGGAAATACATACAAATGTCTTCTTTAAGAGAACCACTGAATGGAATGAAACCAAACATGGCATGAATGTTCCTTATGAGGTGCTGACCAAGTGTTGTTACTATGAAGCTGATCCATAATCAAAGATGGCCGCCAGCAGGGGACTTAGTTTAACATTGGACCCTATGGGAAATACATACAAATGTCTTCTTTTAGAGAACCACTGAATGGAATGAAACCAAACATGGCATGAATGTTTCTTATGAGGTGCTGACCGAGTGTTGTTACTTTAAAGCCAATCCATAATCCAAAATGGCCGCCAGCAGGGGACTTAGTTTAACATGGGACCCTATGGGAAATACATACAAACGTCTTCTTTTAGAGAACCACTGAATGGAATGAAACCAAACATGGCAAGAATGTTCCTTATGAGGTGCTGACCAAGTGTTGTTACTTTGAAGCTGATCCATCATCCGAGATGGCAGCCAGCGGGGGACTTAGTTTAACATAGGACCCTTATGGGAAATACATACAAATGTCTTCTTTTAGAGAACCACTGAATGGAATGAAACCAAACATGGCATGAATGTTCCTTATGAGGTGCTGACCAAGTGTTGTTACTATGAAGCCGATCCATAATCTAAGATGGCCGCCAGCGGAGGACTTAGTTTAACATAGGACCCTATGAGAAATACGTACAAATGTTTTCTTTTAGAGAACCATTGAATGGAATGAAACCAAACATGGCATGCATGTTCCTTTTGAGGTGCTGACCAAGTGTTGTTACTTTGAAGCTGATCTTTCTTCCATGATGGCTGCCAGATGGGGACAATGTTTAACAAAGGACCCTATGGACAATATATACAAATGTCTTCTTTTAGAGAATCACATACTGAATGGATTGAAACCAAACATGTCTCTGAATAGAAACTTAGGTGTATTTTTCAGCACCACCAATATTTTTGGTTTAAATGGGATCAGGTTACACAGGCGAGACATATTTCTGTGTTAACAGTTTATTAATTATATTTTAAGTGTTGGCAATTATGAAAAACCAATGTAATGTAATAGTTACTAACCAGAGTTATTATACATAAATGCACGTGCCTTTAATACATTATTTTAAAAAATAAACCTCATTTTTTCATAAATTTTTTTAATTTCTTTTATTTTTATGCCTTTTGAGTTAATATTATGGTATTCAATTTATTTTCAAATGCATGTTATTGTATAGTTATTCTTTGTTCCTCTGTGTAGATTTAGCTGACATATAGAAGTGGGTTAAATGTTAACAGTAATTTTTTATTTTCCGTACGGTGAACTATAATTGCTAACTACTACTTCATTAAGTCTGTGGTGGAGAGTTGTCTCATTGGCAATTATACCACATTATCTGATTTTTCTATAACATGAAGCCTACAATTTCAGAAAGCTCTTATTTGTAGTTTCCTATAAAAATGCCGAAAACATTGCATACATAGCCAGTATGTGTTAGAATATATAAATATTCAGTAAATAGGAAGTTGAGGTTCAATGAACCTTTAACCCTAACACACAGTGTAGCATGTTCACATGAACCCAGATAACAAATTTCAGCAACCTCTGATTTGTAGTTCCTGAGCAAATGCAACAGAAATTTCATGGGTCAGCCAGGGGTAAAACAGTATATCCCGAAAGAGAGAGGGTATATAAGTGATGAATCTAAAAATATGTCATACTGTGGTTTACTTATATTTAGTTTGGGACCAAAAATCAAGCTTTGACTTGCAACTTTGCAGAGAAAAATGCAACAACAATTTCCCATATTCTTATTTGTTCATCAATGTTAGCTCTTTTAAGGGAAATGTGTGTATGTGGCAAACATGAAGTAGATAAATGACACATCTGAAAATAAGCCACAATGTATAGTTAACTGATATAAAATGTGTATAAAATTTTGAAAAGCTGTGATTTGTAGTAGACCAGAAGCTGAGAAAAATGCTGCAAACGTTTCTTATATCAAGAAGCTCTGATCAGTGGGATATCCAGTGAATGAAAACAAAAGAAAATTCATTCTTATGATAGAGTCGAGAAAGTCAATAATATAACAATACCGGTGACGATACTGATCAAAAGTTATTTCTAAATAATAATTGTACATTTTAAAGAAATTATTTATTAAACTGTATTATTAGAAATATACAGGCAAATACATGATGTTTTATGTTCAGTATTTATCGAGATAATTGCTTTAGAAGCTTGTGAAACTGAAATTTAAAAACTGCCAATCTTTGCTGCATATTGATAATAAAAATTGGAAAAAAACATGTACATACAAAATCGAAAGATCTTTCGGGTCACCAATTTTCTGAGTGTTCCAAAAAGTCCTTAGCATGTTACAATTTCCCAAAGTATGCTTATTTTTTCACACCTAAGTTATCGAGCACACCGGTCTGCTCTTGTCACATGTACATTCAATAGAGAACTATTGTCTTTTCGTGAATATAAACATTTAAAAGTGTCTGAGCGGGTTAAAATTTTTATAAAGTAGGTATCTTTCTACTATTTTGTATACAATTTTAAGAAAAGGTCGTCTCGAGTTTTGTACAAGTATTTACGGTCTTCTCAATCTATTCACATTCAATGTTTACATTGAGATAAGGTCTGTTTGATTTTGCTTAGTAGCTTAATTTCAAAAGTGCCAATCTTTGCTGCATATCAATCGATTCCTTTGAAATTTTTTCCCTGACTTTCTCTGATCTAGCTGTATATATATACGAATAATTAGAATGTTCCAGAGAGGTATACAGACAGTAAAAAAATAAATTGAAGTTGGTACTCCAGGAATTTATTCGCATAGCAACATTTTAAACCAATTTTACTCCAAACATCTTTAGCCTGCTGCACTCGTCGTTTGCTACTTAAGGAGGAAAATGAAAGCATTGAGTGGAAGTTTTGTTTTTATTTCAATTTATTTCTATTTTTACTATTTACCAGAACTTTTTTCCGTGAATCCATAATTGATAGCATGCTTGCTAAAATGGGACAAACATTGAGAAGATCTTGTTTTCAGTGTTTACAGGGGAGGTAATATTTTGTCACTAGATTTCCCACTGTGATCAGTATTTGCAGATAAAACATCATGAAAATTAAATGAGTATCAATGTAAAGAACAATGTATGTGGCAAACCATAAGTAGATGAGCTACGGATATGAAAATGTGTCACGCCATATTGGTATCCAAATATGAAACTTGGTACAAAATAAAAGCTCTGATTTGTAGTTGCTGAGAACATAACCTTAAATGTTCTTATAAATGCATCGGTGTATTAAAAGAGCATACATGAAAGCTACAAACAAGAGGTAGACTACCGGTGTGTCAAAGGTATAGGTTACCAATGTGAAGCTTGGTACCAAATATCAAGCTTTGATTTGTAGATGCTAAGAAAAATGTGAAAACATTTCTTTACATGCATCATTGAGAAGCACATACATTTATGCTGTAAACAAGAAGTAGACAAGTGAAAGATCTGGGAATGGGTTGCCTGTTATAACTTACCAATATGAAGCTTGGTACCAAATATAAAATTGCTGAGAATTTTACAGTATACCCGATTTCCCTTTGAGTAGGGGTTGGTTTAATTAAGGGCCTCACCAAGATGAATTTCAGTAGTAAAATAACTATCCAAAGTTTGTTTTGCTTTTTCTTTTAATATTTTCCAGTGTTGTATTTTGTGATATTTTAATTCAGAGTCTGTTCTTGTCTGTTTTATCCTTTTCTTGAGAAACTGAATGTTTCTAATGCATCTCATATACATATCATAAATTTTTATGCCCCCGCCATAGCGGAGGGAGCATTAAATTTTACCCTTGTCCTTCTGTACGTAGGTCCCAAAGTTGGTTTCCGTTCTCTTACTTTATTTTGCCTCAACCAAATGTTATGAAACTTATACACAATGCTTATTACCACAAAACACAGATCAAGTTTGAATTTTGGTGGCGTCACTTTAACCGTTCTAGATTTATGTCCCTTTACAAATGGACAAATTGCTGAATTTTTCGTTTCCGTTCTCTAACTTAAGTTTGCTTCAACAAAATGTTATGAAACTTATACCCAATGCTTATTACCACAAAACACAGATCAAGTTTGAATTTTGATGGCGTCACTTTAACCGTTCTAGAGATATGCCCCTTTACAAACGGAAAAATTGCTGAATTTTTCGTTTTCGTTCTCGAACTTAAGTTTGCCTCAACCAAATTTTATGAAACTTATACACAATACTTATTACCTCAAAACTCAGATCAAGTACAAATTTGGGTAGCGTCACTTTTATCGTTCTTTAGTTATGTCCCTTTATAACTTTATATGATATGCAAGCGGGGGCATCATCTGTGTTCCATGGACACATTCCCCATTTATTTAATTATGCCCCCGCAGTAGTGGAGGGGGCATTAAATTTTACCCTTTTCCGTCTGTACGTCAGTTAGTACATCCTGAAATTGGTTTCCATTCTCTAACTTTAGTTTGCCTGAACCAAATATTATGAAACTTATACACAATGCTTATTACCACAAAAAACAGATCAAGTTTAAATTTTGGTGGCGTCACTGTTACCACAACACACAGATCAATTTTGAATTTCTGTGGCATTACTTTTTCCATTCTAGAGTTATGCCACTTTACAAATGGAAAAAATTGCTGAATTCTAACGTTAGTTTGCCTCAACCAAACGTTATGAATCTTATACACAATGCTTATTACCACAAAACACAGACCAAGTTTGAATTTTGGTGGCGTCACTTTTACCGTTCTTCAGTTAGGTCCCTTTATAACATCATATGCAAGCTGGGGCATCATCTGTGTCCCATGGACACATTCCCCATTTATTAAATATAAATAATTATGGCTTTGAATGAGTAAATATGTGCTTAAAAAGCCATTTTACTCCTCTGAATGCCTTGTTTGATGTATTCCGTTTAAATTATGGAGAATTAAGTCAGGTCAACAACGCTTATTATGGGAAAAATCTCCCAAAAATTCTGGCAGGTGTGCATTCAGCTGTGTTATAGGGTTAGAGATTTTTGATGTAACAATTTGTTTATGAACAAGAAATGATTGTAACAGGATGCTGTTACGAAGTCTCCCAAACGAAGCTCCCATAATTCGTAATTCCCAGTGTCGCCTGACATTGGACAAAGTCCAGTGAAAATTGGTTTGGTCCAGTAAAGTTAGTGCATTAGTGATGCCTGGGGACTAACCCTGTATATCATTCAAATCATCTTGGCATGACAAACCAGAATATATATGGTTGAGGGGTGGGGATCTTGACCATTTACAAGATACTAGAACATTGGGGGTGGGGGGAACCCCTGGGGACTGACCCTATACATCATTCAAATGTTCGAGAAACGACGAACAGGAATATATATGGTCTAGGGGTGGGGATCTCGACCATTTACAAGATATTAGAACATTGGGGGTGGGGGGAACCCAGTGGGGACTGACCGTATACGTCATTCAAATGTTCGAGACATGATGAACAGGAATATATATGGTTTAGGGGTGGGGATCTCGACCATTTACAAGATATTAGAACTTTCTCAAATGGCAGGAGGTCGGGATGACCCCTGGGGACTAACCCTGCATATCATTCAAACCATCTTGGTATGACAAACCAGAATATATATGGTTTAGGGGTGGGGATCTTGACCACTTACAAGATATTAGAACTTTCTTAAATAGCAGGGGGTGGGGGTGACCCCTGGGGACTAACCCTGTATATCATTCAAACCATCTTGGTATGACAAACCAGAATATATATGGTTTAGGGGTGGGGATCTTGACCACTTACAAGATATTAGAACTTTCTTAAATAGAAGGGGCTGGGGGAGACCCCTGGGGACTAACCCTGTATATCATTCAAACCATCTTCGCATGACAAACCAGAATATATATGGTTTAGGGGTGGGGATCTTAACCACTTACATTAGAACTTTCTTAAATGGCAGGGGGTGGGGGTGACCCCTGAGGACTAACCCTGTATTTCATTTGATGTGCTTTATCATGACAAACCAGAATATATATGGTTTAGGGGTGGGGATCTCGACCATTTACAAGATATTAGAACTTTCTCAAATGGCAGGGGGTCGGGATGACCCCTGGGGACTAACCCTGTATATCATTCAAACCATCTTAGCATGATGAAACCAGAATATATATGGTTTAGGGGTGGGGATCTCGACCATTTACAAGATATTAGAACTTTCTCAAATGGCAGGGGGTCGGGATGACCCCTGGGGACTAACCCTGTATATCATTCAAACCATCTTAGCATGACAAACCAGAATATATATGGTTTAGGGGTGGGGATCTCGACCATTTACAAGATATTAGAACTTTCTCAAATGGCAGGGGGTCGGGATGACCCCTGGGGACTAACCCTGTATATCATTCAAACCATATTAGCATGACAAACAAGAATATATATGGTTTAGGGGTGGGGATCTCGACCAAAGATATTAGAACTTTCTCAAATGGCAGGGGGTCGGGATGACCCCTGGGGACTAACCCTGTATATCATTCAAACCATCTTAGCATGACAAACCAGAATATATATGGTTTAGGGGTGGGGATCTTGACCACTTACAAGATATTAGAACTTTCTTAAATGGCATGGGGTGGGGGTGAACCCTGGGGACTAACCCTGTATTTCATTTCATGTGCTTTATCATGACAAACCAGAATATATATGGTTTAGGGGTGGGGATCTCGACCATTTACAAGATATTAGAACTTTCTCAAATGGCAGGGGGTCGGGATGACCCCTGGGGACTAACCCTGTATATCATTCAAACCATCTTAGCATGACAAACCAGAATATATATGGTTTAGGGGTGGGGATCTCGACCATTTACAAGATATTAGAACTTTCTCAAATGGCAGGGGGTCGGGATGACCCCTGGGGACTAACCCTGTATATCATTCAAACCATCTTAGCATGAAAAACCAGAATATATATGGTTTAGGGGTGGGGATCTTGACCACTTACAAGATATTAGAACTTTCTTAAATGGCATGGGGTGGGGGTGACCCCTGGGGACTAACCCTGTATTTCATTTCATGTGCTTTATCATGACAAACCAGAATGTATATGGTTTAGGGGTGGGGATCTCGACCATTTACAAGATATTAGAACTTTCTCAAATGGCAGGGGGTGGGGATGACCCCTGGGGACTAACCCTGTATATCATTCAAACCATCTTAGCATGACAAACCAGAATATATATGGTTTAGGGGTGGGGATCTCGACCATTTTCAAGATATTAGAACTTTCTCAAATGGCAGGGGGTCAGGATGACCCCTGGGGACTAACCCTGTATATCATTCAAACCATCTTAGCATGACAAACCAGAATATATATGGTTTAGGGGTGGGGATCTCGACCATTTTCAAGATATTAGAACTTTCTCAAATGGCAGGGGGTCAGGATGACCCCTGGGGACTAACCCTGTATATCATTCAAACCATCTTAGCATGACAAACCAGAATATATATGGTTTAGGGGTGGGGATCTTGACCACTTACAAGGTATTAGAACTTTCTTAAATGGCAGGGGGTGGGGATGACCCCTGGGGACTAACCCTGTATTTCATTTAATGGGTTTTATCATTTAGAACATTTTCAATTAAAAAGATTGTGTCTATCACAAACGGTTTTCAATTTATAATCATTTGAAAATTTAAAAAAATAAAATCCCATAGGGTTCTATAGTAAAACCCTCTTTTCTTTTTGCCCCTCAAAGTACCCCTTTATAAACCCCATTGCACAAACAAAACCCTGATTGCACCACTAGACATGTTAGTCTAACATATTGTGAAACCCTAAGTTAATCTGACAAGCGGTTTTGGAGAACGGGTGCGGACAAGTTCAAATTTAAAAGCGGCGGAAGAGGAAGAGGAAGAGGAAGAAGAATAATAATAATAATAAGAACTGAGCAAAAACAATAAGTCTTCCCAAACTTCGTTTGGGAGACTTAATAAGGAATGTCTTAGCTTAAAACGAGAGAAATTTACTAATCCGCTATGAAATGAAGCCTTATTACTATCACTTATTTCATGTTAACCTTGGCAGATGTCCCCAGTTGACCAAGAACTGGTTACACTAATGGAGCAACCAATTTCTCCCATGGTTTTTGGTGGAGTTTGTGTTGCTCAAGTCTAGGGTGTAGTGTTGTATGGAATATTGCTTGTCTATTGGTCCTTTTTTTTTTGACCAAGGTATTGTATGCCTTAAACTTATGGTTTTTTATTACCCAAGTAATATCTTCTCCCTCTTTTCATTAATAGAAACAACTTTTAAAATTTGGTATGAATAAGCTAAAACTTTTAATCAACTTAAGTTTCCATAGTGTACAATGAATTGTATTTCCTATGTTTTAATATTGATAACACGACTAAACCATCAACACAAGATGATGTGGCTCACATTGGTCTTTCCTATTATATGACCAACACAAAATGTGAGATAATTGTCAATGAAGCAGCAACCCAACAATGTAAGTTATTAAGACATCTACAGGTCATCATAGTGATTGTTGCTTGATCACATGTTCATGTCCCACAAAAGGTATTACCGATATATGTTACAATTTTATCCTACTTTGTACTACACCAACAATTTAAGTGGGATTTTAAACATGCTTTGCATAGTATGCAAGAAGAGATGTAGATGTCATCATAAAGTATTGACTAATGGACAAACGCTCACAACATACCGCATGTCTAGTTTCATTCAGTTTTAGTAGTTTCATAAATGTTTTTTAATGTACTATTTTTTAAAACTATGTTTTGTTGTAACAGTCATATGGAGTTCCAGAAAGTCGATTAAAAATCACTTATTAATAACAACATGTTTAAAAGTAAAGTGATCAAAAAGAGTTTTTCTCTTATGTTCTATGTAAAGTAATGGTGGCTACATTGGTTGGTTGATGGCTTCTTTTGATATAAATTTAATTAAAACTACAAGAAAGTAATGAAGACTAATTTCAAATGAAATAGTGGGTTCAGGTTTGATTTTGGAAAACTGTTGCAGGGTCAGTGAGCTAATATAAATCTTTTATAACAATAAAATTAGAACATGACCAAAGGATATCAATTTCTTTACATAACTAAAAGCATGCACAGGCACCCAGAAATAAATAAAATAAACGGCAATGTTTAAAAAACTTTAACAACTAATAACTTGATGAAAAACTACAAGGTTTGCATGATTACAGAAAATACAAATGCTGATGCTGCATTAGTTGGAAATGTGTTGCCATAACTGTTACATTAATTAGAAAATAATAAAGTGTTATATCTTTTGTATGTATAAAATTTAATTTTAACCTATTGACAGAAATAATTTAAATTGTCTGTCCATTACATGTAAATAATTGCAAAACAGTGACATTAGTTATGAAAATAACACATAATGTAAAAAAAAATATTCAGATTCAAAGGACAATGTTTTCATGAAGTACAATTACAAAGTTATATGAATAGGTTTAATATTTTACTGCCTTTGATAAAATCAACAATTTTACATGAATATATACAAAATCAGAACATAAGACATTTTAGCTCACAACTTTTATAAAGACAAATACATTTCATAGCTGAGCATCTAGTAATTTGCATAGTTTTTACCCAGGTATATATATGATAATGTTTGAGAGCTATGTCACTTTCCTAAGATTAATCTAAAAATTAAGTCTTCCACGAGTCCTTGCCACAATTTTTCAATAAATGGTGCACTTCATGGACCACATCTACATTTATAAAGGTTCAATTTAGAGTTAAAAAAACAAAACAATTACCTTTTTGCATATTAAAAAAGTCAGTAAATTTTCATCAATATCCTACAAGAAAAGTAGGCATAAGATAGCTTACAATGATACTTTTCGTTTAAATTCTATTTCCAAGGGGCATAACTCATGGGAAAATGTGGAAGTTAGAGGGGATTTGATTTTTGAACATCAGTCCTAGTACATGTATGGTTGTATGTCCATTTGATGTATGCAAATTAACAAAGATCGTCCCTTCCTACCCTCCCACATTCATTTAAAAGATTACACTCAAATGGAACTATTTACTAGAGTAAGTGTAAAATGAGGAAAATTATTGAATTCAATGTCTAATGAGCTCATTAAATTATTGTTCCTAGAGTTCCAAAGTCTCAAATATTATCAGCTAATCCTTGGCTTGATCTCAATCTTTTTCTTTTAACGAGTGTAAATAATTAGTCCCCATAAATTAAGATTGATACAACTTTAAGATATATAAAATAAATGTAAAGCTCTCTAACAATACAGGAATACAAAATTATTTTCACCATACACCCTAATCATACTAATCAAATTCAAACAAGGCATACAGACACATTTAATAAACACTGGCATCAATGTCTCAATATCAATATGCAAAAACTCCTCAATAACATCCCTTTCATACTGTTTAATAATGTCAATCATCAATTCCATTACCACAAAATCTTTGCTGCCCTTTTATATATCGTTGAATTGTTTGTATATTTAAGATCTACAGGTTTTTAGTTCATTACTGTTTGCTGTTGACATATAATCTAATTGGTGTCACAAATCCTCAGTAATTCTGTATCTCAATTCCATTATAACATCCTGCGAATAAAAAATATCAGAATAACTTTTGAAATCAATTATTTAAGAGTAAAGAGATGATTTAAACTGTTTAGAGCAGAAATGCTTCGACCTTATAGATATATATATTCTTGCACTCATCAGATGTATACTAATTTTAATGAATGTTTTTTTGTTTATTTTTAATGGAAAGCTGTAAATAATAAACTGAGATGTCAAGTTCTACAATTGTTGATGCCACCGAAACCAATGCTTACGCCAACACCTGAAACAGTACGTCTAAGTCTTGATAAAACCTAGAAATTCAGGTTACTTGAAAGATAATTTTTTATAGAATTTCAATAACAACATTGATTTCAGCAACGATATCAGTTTATAGATAGCTGGTTTAAAATTAGCATACATATGAGCAGTTGAAATATGTATAAATTTAAGTTTTTTCCACTCTTGAACTTGTAAATTAGATACCAGTTTATAAGAAAAATAAGTAGAATTTACATAAATACTATTTCAGTTTACTTAGTTCTGCTCAAAACAACTAACTTGAGTACATAGACATTATTCGAGCATTTCAAACAGTCCAAACATTCAATCTAAAGAACTACCTGTGTCGATCACCTTGGTCTATGTGCATATTAAACAAAGGACACAGATGGATTCATGACAAAATAGTGTTTTGGTAGATCTTACTTTACTGAACATTCTTGCTGCTTACAATTATCTCTATCTATAATGAACTTGGCCCAGTAGTTACAGTGGAAAATATTTTGTAAAAATTTACAAAAATTTACAAAATTTATGAAAATTGTAAAAAATTGACTACAAAGGGCAATTACTCCTTAAGGGGTCAATTGACAATTTTGGTCATGTTGACTTATTTGTAGATCTTACTTTGCTGTACATTATTGCTGTTTACAGTTTATCTCTATCTATAATAATATTCAAGATAATAACCAAAAGCTGCAAAATTTTCTTAAAATTACCAATTCAGGGGCAGCAACCCAACAACGTGTTGCCTGATTGGTCTGAAAATTTCAGGGCAGATAGATCTTGACCTAATGAACAATTTTATCGCTGTCATATTTGCTCTAAATGCTTTGGTTTCAGAGATATGAGCCAAAAACTGCATTTTACCCTATGTACTATTTTTTAGCCATGTCTGCCATCTTGGTTCACGGGCGGGGTCATCGGACACATTTTTTAAACTAGAAACCCTAATGATGACTGTGGACAAGTTTGGTTAAATTTGTCTTAGTAGTTTCAGAGGAGAAGATTTTTGTAAAAAATTACAAAAATTTATGAAAAATGGTTAAAAATTGACTATAAAGGGCAATAAGTTTATCTCTATCCATAATAATATTCAAGATAATAATCAAAAACGGCAATATTTCCTTAAAATTACCAATCAGGGTCAGCAACCCAACAACGGGTCGTCAGATTCATCTGAAAATTTCAGGGCAGATAGATCTTGACCTGATAAACAATTTGCTCTAAATGCTTTGGTTTCAGAGATATAAGCCAAAATCTACATTTTACCCCTATGTTCTATTTTTAGCCATGGCGGCCATCTTGGTTGGTTGGCCGGGTCACCGGACACATTTTTTAAACTAGATACCCCAATGATGATTGTGGCCAAGTTTGGTCAAATTTGGCCCAGTAGTTTCAGAGGAGAAGATTTTTGTAAAAGTTTACGGACGACGGACGCAGGATGACGGACGACGGACGCCAAGTGATGAGAAAAGCTCACATGGCCCTTTGGCAAGGTGAGCTAAAAAGGAACAAATTACAATGATTTGAAGAGAATTTAGTGCCTTATATGAAGTACTTGAAAGGAAATGAATAGCATATTCAATAAAAGAACAGCCCCTCTGTTGCACATATTTTATCTATCAAAGTGCAATACTGAGGATTCATTTATTTTCGTTGGCACCAATTTTCATGGATTGAGAAAAACTTTCATGTTCGTTGATATCTAATTTCGTGGTTTTGCCGAAGTCTGCATAAGAGCCTATAGGAAATTTGTCATTCGTTGAACATTTAATTTCGTGGTTCACCTATACCCACGAAATCCAACGAATAATAATGAATTTACAGTAACTAAAAAAAAATTTTTTTTTGTTCTTTAAAACTTTTTATAAATATCTTAAGAGAAATGAACTTCAGTTTTATCACCTTTGTTAATGATTGTTTACTGCTAATTAGTGGATTTAAGATAATTGAACAAATACTAGATATTTGATACAGAATGAAATGTCCACATGTTATCCATTTGTAATGTTTATGTACAGCATGTACACTTGAAAAAATTTATTTCAGTAGGCATAACATAAAAAATAAAATCTTAAACAATTTTAAAGGCATACATACAGTTTTGACTTAATTGGTTTTGTTTCACAACTATGAGTATGAAATTTAAAGAAGAATCAAAGAAATTTGTACTTTGAACATAACAAGATTTACTTCCTGTTTTACCTCTTGTATTTTATAATCCTCCTGACATAGGAGCACTCAACAAATTTATTTTTAACAATGATGGAGAAGAAAGTAACTGTTTATACCTTCTGCAATATATTATTGCATCAATGTAAAATGATCATCTACAGTCTCGCCTGTTATATTTATAAAACTCCTTACTGAGGAGCACTTTGGTGTGCACTTAAAAATACTTTTATGTAACAATTCAAATGATCATAAATAACTCTCAATAACATATATACTATATGTTTGAACAAGTAATTTAAATGTAGATAAGTTAATTACATTAAACAATCAATTTTGCATGTATAACTCCATGTTTCAAAACTACTTGTTTATTTTTATAGACTGGTATAAGTTATAAAACATTGAAATTTCTGATGATTATTTTTTCCTTACCAAATGTACAAGTTTGTTTAGATTAACATCGAAATGATATGCTTTGCTTCATGGTATGATAATTTGATAAAAAAAAATTCTTACTGGAACCAACATCAAGAACACATTAACACATAATTTCTGAATATGGTTTAAATACAACTTATGTTCTCCAGCTGCATGAGCCTAGCAATATTCAAGGTAATTTATACACTGTCCAACAGTGTCCTTAAAATCTGAGTTATAACGCCCTTTCAGACAACTAGCACCCTTCTGCCCTGAGATTTAAGCTGGAACACTGTGAAGGCTTGAGAGAAAATGCAATGCAATTTCCAATATACTTAATATAACCAAGGGACATAACTCTTTTAAAACATAATTGATCAACACTGATTTTCGAACTTGTCCGAGACATTGCCGATATAAAACCTATGATATAAGTTTCATAAAAATCTGGCAAGAATAGTACACATGAGAGCGCTTACAATGCAATTTTCCATATAATGTATACTTCAAAGGGGCATTTCTTGTTTGAAATTAATTGATTGGCACTGATTTTCAAAATTGTCAGAGACATGGCTGTTCTAATCCTAAATCTGGCAAGAATTGAACATGTGAGAGTGCTAACAAGACCGGACTGACAGACGGACGGACAAACGGACTGATAGACGGACAGACAGAGGGACAGACACCTGGTATTTCTATGTCCCCTGCAATGCATTGCACGGGGAACAAAAATTATATTGATCTGAAAATATTGTATCTTATATCAAGTACCAACTTATCAATGAATATCTATTTATATCCTTTCATGTAATGCTGAAAGGTAGAATTGGGGTCTGTATGTAGGGATTGACTGCAAAATATACACTGCAGTGTTGTCTGTTGCATCCTTTCTTCTGCCTGTAAGAATGACTTATCATCAATGGTTCCTGATTAACTATCAATATCATATAATATTTGGTGTTCCTATCAATACCAGACTGATGAGAGATTGAAAAGTTAAATATGTTTCTACAATGCTGGACAAAAACATGAAGAACCACTACTGTATGTTTTAAAAAAAAAATCCTATGTATTCTCTCACCTCTCCTTCATAATATTGTTCTCGAACTTTCTCTAAAGAGTTATTAGCAGGTACTAAATGAAAGGCTGTAGGCGTTGGATGGTATAAATCAATCTGTAATATAGCATCAAGAAACCATTCAAAAAATATTATATATCATTTAACTTGATTCGCATGTGAAAAACTACTAACCAAAGGCTAACATTTATAATTAAGCTGCAGTCATTATAGAAATTTTATCAGTTTCAAACTCACAAAAATTATCTCATCACAGCAAACATAAACACGTACTGACATAATTTGTCCATTTAAATTGTCAGATACTTTACACTTAATGTTTTTATTTTGTGTTTCTTAAACATGCTTTACTGTTTTAAAATATGAAATTAAATGATCCTACATTGTCATATCTGGTAGCCTCCCCCATTATAAAGGTTCACAATCAATTACAAATTACACCATGGTAGGTACCAAAATTTATTAATAAACTGCTTCGCTGAGCGCAGCTGGATACGCCCGCAGAGGTCCAACCCTGAACAGTTGGGGCAAAAATGGACACAATATTCAAGCTTGATACAGGTCTGAATTTGGATTGTAATTAAATATTTGACATATTACAGGTTTCTGAATAAATGTAGTCAAAGAACTTGAAATTGTTTATATGAATTGAATTTATATTCAATTAAAGATTTCTTGCTGTTGTGCAATACACTGTGCTGTTGCGCAATACTTAGTAAATCTGTTGTCAGACTATAAACAAATAAAGTTCAATTAATTCTCAATGTCATATTAGAAATTTATGAAAATCAAAAGGGAGCTTACATCAATAGATATAAACAATTCACCAAAGTTTCATGAGAATTGCTGACAGCATTTTTGAGTTATTGTCCGAAAACTGGAAAATCCCCCCTTTTTTAATGAATAAAACCCCATAACTCAGAAATGTAAAATGTAAAATTTATAAAATTCTAAAGGGAGCTTACTTAAATAGATATAAACAATTCACCATAGTTTCATAAGAACTGCTGAAAGCATTTTTGAGTTTTTGTCAGAAAACTGGAAAATCCCCCTTTTTTATGAATAAAACCCTGTAACTCGGAAACGTAAAATCTAAAATTTATAAAAATCAAAAGGGAGCTCATGTCAATAGATATAAACAATTCACCACAATTTCTTGCAAGTTGGTGAAAGCATTCTTGAGTTATTGTCCGAAAACTGGAAAATCCCCCTTTTTTTAATGAATAAAACCCCATAACTCAGAAACGTAAAATTCAAAATTTATAAAAAACGAAAGGGAGCTCACGTCAATAGATATAAACAATTCACCAAAGTTTTATGCAAATTTGTTAAAGCGTTTATGAGTTAATGTCCGACATGTTGACGACGGACGGACAGACGGACGGACGGACAGAGGTATACCATAATACGTCCCGTAAACGGGCGTATAAAAATGGATGGTTGCATGCCCCCAATGGATTTAATTCTGGAACAGTCCTTATCATTTTTCAGTCAAATATGCTGTTTTGAAAACTTGATTGGAAAAAATGTGCCAAAAAACAAGAAATCCAATTGATTTTACCAGGAAACTAAGGCATTTCATTGTCCAAAATGTAAAACCATTATTTCTATCTCATTAACTTACATGATAAAATTTTTCTAATTGTAGCTTTCTTCTAATGAATGTAGCAATATTTCCAACTGTGGCTTTACATGTCACTCGTAAGAACTTTTTATCTAATTCTACCTGTAAAAGCTACAAAAAAGAAAGATAATTTATTATAGAGTTTACCATTTTTTCATACTTTTGTGACTATATATTTTTTTTTAAATCCAAACAATGACAAATTTATATAAATTGAATTTATAAAATATCATTCCATATATAAATTCAGCGTTTAAAGCTAACTAAAGAGTAAACTAAACCCACATTAGTATAGATAAAGCAAAATTCCATGTTTTGTTATGAGAAATCCTCTAAAATCATCCAGATCAAATCTATAATAGAAGATAATGGCATTGGGTAAGAAAGATTTTGTCAAAGTTCCACTTAAATTCAATCAGTGATTCAGGTTGAGTTGTAGATAAGAGATGCTTTCTACCATTTACATATTTTGACGAGTTCACGTTTTGCTATTGGAGACCTCATTAACCATTTGGATTATAAAAAAAGGTTGAAGGATACAATTCCATTTAGATAAAATACATTTTACATCTACTGCTTCCAGTAAAAACAAAAATTATCAGTACTGAGAATGTATTAGATATCTAGAAACCAGACTACTCAACTGCTTTTTACATTTTGTTCTAATGTTAAGCTGTTACCACTGTCTCAGGTTAGGAGAGGGTTCAGCACTCAAAAAAATCTGTAATCCCTCCATATTCTTTATATGCCTCCTCCCTGTAGTCTTTAGTCTAGTAGTTGTTGTGTGGGTGGTGTTTTTTCCTTATTTTTTGTTTTTTTAATGTTATTAGCTTAGATCAGGCTATTAAATGTTTCTTTTGAACTGTTTCACATTAATTATCTTTACACTAGTCTAAGTCTTTTTTACCTCACTGTATAGGTTTTTCTCATTGTCAAAGATCATATGGTGACCTGCAATTGTTAACATGCTTTTTAATTGGTTTTTGGTGAATAGTTGTCGCTTTGGCTATTATACCACAGTTCCTTTTTTTATATTTACAATGTTCATTTAAAATGTTTAATGAAATATACACTTACTGGACAGTCTTCCATATTACCATCTCTGAAAGTAAGATAGTTAAATATGTAAAAAATGGCTGATTGTAACTTGAAATATTTGTTGTTTATAATTTGAAAGGCAATATAAATGTTAATATAATTATTTTAGGGAGCAATCATTTCAACAGTAACAAAGAAATTGGATATCTACTTATTTCAACAAATAAAAAAAATCTACAGAAAACCACAATTATACAGAAGATATGAACCAGTAGCTATAACAGCCAAACATTCTCAAATTTGTACACAAACTGATGCACATATCCTCAATGTTTAAACCAAACAATGTAGAAATTTTGAAGGCTCTTTGTTGAAAACTGTAGGAGGAGTTGATTACAAAAAATTGAGAACATTGCTAAAAGAAAATTCACTTTCTGGAAAATCTGCCTAAAATTCTCTTAATTTATACTGAATATGAGGTTCATATCTTCAATGTTTATGCAAACCTGCATTACAGTTTTAAGGCTTTTAGTTACCAGCTGAAGTACATGTTGATTAATAAATAAAATGGGAACCCTCAATCAATCAATCATGCATAGTTTAATTTAAATTTCACCATCTGGAAAATTGGCAAATATTCACCAAATGAGTTCACAAAGTTAGGTGCACATCTTGAATTTAAACAATTGTTCAAGAAAAATTTGAAGGCTAGGCATTGATGATTATAATAAAAGTGCTTGTGAAAACTACAGATTATGATGTGCAGCAAGTGTTCTAACCCATGACCTACTACACTTGAGGCAAACACCAGACCATTTTTAGGCAATATTTTGAATTGAGTTATCTCCCTTTGTTCATATTTGTAGGTATAACAGAGAGATTCATTACATAATGCACTAATTCTGCGACTTGTTTATTTTCTATGTAATGGTTTCTTGATAGCTATGTTAATAAACAAACATCAGTTTTTTAATTGAATTTCTAAATTTATATTACATGTATTAATAAATTGCTTGAAAAAGGGCATGGATAGGATTTTAAAAATGTTCACCTTACTGCACTATGTTGTGTGTACTCACAAAATATAGGCAGAGATGATGGCTGAAATATAGTTATCCATCCAGCAAAACTGAATAATTGGTAAGCAAAAGTTCTTTGGTTCTCTTTTAATACTACAACACTTATCAATATGCATGCAATTTGTAACTATTCATTTTAGTGACTTAAGAAAAGTTCATTTCCAATTGGTGCTGTTATTTTTTTGTTTTAATTCCATCATCTTTGTTTATTGAATCATAATAAGAAATACTTGGAAATAGAAGTGAACAGTTTTCCTTACCCTTCATACTCTAGCTGTAATGATACAAAATTTGTATTAAAATATTTTTTAATCTCTCGTCTTATCTGTCTGCTATTCCCTCTAGAATGTGTTTTCTTTTTTCTTTGTACTGGGAATGAGAAGGGGTCATGACCATGAGCTGGGGGAGTAGTGGGTGGTGGTGGAGGCAGTGTCAATTTTGGTAATATTTTCTCTGAAAATCATAAAAAGTTTTAAAACATAAAGTATAAAATGTCATTAGTAAGACTGCCATTCTGAAATAAACATTATTCAGCAGTAGATCTGAAAATATAATAATGGTTTCACACACTTTCAAATACTTTTTTCAATATGGCAATTTTTAATGTAGTTATACATATAAAGTAATTCATTTATCCTTACCAAGATACTGGGATATTTTCCAAATATTTCCTCAGACACTGAAAAATGGTTAAAGTATATGGGGTCAGCCATTTTTTACCCGAAACCATCAGGCAAACTTCCTTTCTAAAATGTCCATTTATAGCATTATTTGGAGAGGTTTTCCATATAAAAACTATGAATTTCTAAATGTACACCATTTTCAGTTATCAAATATAAATTTCTCATATAGAATCTGTAGTATGTTATATCATAAAATCATATTATGGAAAAATCTAAGAAATAAAATCTTAAAACAAGATGTAATTTTAATAGATAACTTTTGGTTCATTTTTGCCATTGAGTTTCTGTCTCATTGATGAATAGCCCTTATTTCCTTTCATTCATACTTGAATAAGCTGCCCAAGATTGGTAACAAGTGAACGGCTAAATTCTTTAGTGAATAATTTACTGTAAATTCAGAAATTATTGTGTGCATTTATTATTGTGATTGTTGAAGAATGGGCGTAAATGCAAAATTAATTATTGCGATTTCAGGAAAATCTGATACAGATATATGTGTCAGATACCAAATGTGAGGTCTTATTATAGTGATACTCACCCAGTTGCATTATTCGCATTGATAAAAACCTCGCAATAATTTCTGAATTTACAGTATATAGACGTCAGAAAGCATCAGAAAAGGCTGGCATTGTATACACATTTAAAAAACTCTTTCAATATTAAGCAAATCCATTAATTATCCATATCTTTTTGCATTCTTGCATAGCGGCTTTGTCATTTCAGCTCGACACTGAAATCTTCAAATATTTTTCATATATTTCTGGCATATAAATAATACCTCCTGTTTTTCTTTCATGTTCTTCATAGTATTCTTTTTCTCTTTTTTGTTCCTCTGAAAAAAAAGTAAAACTAAGTAGGCAATAACATCAGTTTAATGTGAGTAAGGGTATATGGCATTAGTTCATAGATGACTTTCAATATTGACCAAAAATACAAAAATAATTTATAGTTATTGATGTACTAATTCATACCTATTGACGTTTTGTTTTCTTTGAAACTTAATGACATTTGTTTATGTATGTTGTCATTAGAGATTGCTTGGGTGTTTGAGTGCTCTTTTTGTTCAATATTCTAATATGACGTTCTTCTTTCGCTTTGGAAGCAAAGCCATGTTCTAATTCCAATAAAACATGGGCTGCACGTTATTGACGTCACAATTGAAACTGCAACGTCAACTGTGGTTTGAATAACGCCAGAAATCAAAATGAACATTTGTTTCGGTGTTGCTCGCTAGGAAATTAAATAAAATCATACTAAAAGTAAGTTTACATGTATCTGTTCATTTTTTTTATTGTGAAACGGTTGATTTTCTATAATGTTTTGGCTTCATCAAATCAAAATGAATGCCTTTTGAACCCGTATTATAGGTCTGCTTCGAAGTACAAAAGTTCTAAATTTTCCTATTAGAATCGAAATAATTCTATAATGCCATGCTCTATGCTAATTTTAACATGGGTAGGCTAACGCTCAGTATAAAGATATTGACAAATATAATGCCTACCCATGTTCAAATGAGCATAGAGCATGATATGAAAGAATTATTTCTTAAACAAACAGTAATGGGGTAACTCAAGAACATTGTAAGTTATGCCACCCAAATTTGAACTTGATCTGTGTTTGGTGGTAATAAGCATTGTGTATAAGTTTCATAACATTTGGTTGAGGAAAAGGAAAGTTAGACAACGGAAACGGCAAATTCCCCAAATTTTCCATTTATAAAGGGACATCTCAATAATGGTGAAAGTGATGCCACCTAAATTCGAACTTTATCTGTGTTTGGTTGTAATAAGCATCATGTATAAGTTTCAGAACATTTGGTTGAGGCAAACTAAAGTTAGAGAAAGGAAACCAATTATGGGGCATACCTACAGACGGACAAGGGAAAACCTTAATGTCCGTGCCACTCTGCCGGAGTATAAACACACTGAACTAAAATAATCATCAGTTCTTTGATTAATAACCATACCTTCAGCGACATTAGGAAGTAACCTGTAGACTATATCCTGTATTGTACTGTCATGCCTGAAAATTAGTTAACATTGTCAAATCAAAGAGTTTCATACAAAGAAAAAGAAAATTTATGGATTTTTTAACAAAAGATTTCCACTGATCATGGAACCATGAAATTGAAGCCACTTAAGCCTTTTGACATATATATTATGTGAAGCATACATCTTGATTCAATGATGGATGAGGTCTTAGTCTGAATGTCCATTTACTTTCAAACTACATTAAACATAATTTAGAAATCTATCCTTAAAGATTGCTTTGATCATCTAAGCCTCAGATAACAAAGTATCCATACAGAACATCACTTGGGTTAAAAGTATTGTTAGAACCATTAATCTTTCCTAGTGAATAATTTTATCAACCTTTATTAATAAATATTCTGGAGATTGGATTTTTGTCAATACCCAATATAATAAATGATGCGAGTTTCTATTTCACATGCAGAATAAACATTAAGGGAAATCAATCTTTCCTTGCAAAGGTTTATCTAGAAAGAGCTGCAAACTTGATCAATGCAATCTGGTATGATTAACTCTCAAGAGCAGATATCCTGAGTGATACATATACATCTGACAACTATTCTGTTTTAATCAACACCAGTATCTGGGTAAAACAGTTATCTATATTTTAGTAAAAACAGATGTTCACTCCAAATTTTCAGTCAATTTTTTGGGTTCAAGGTCAGATGAATCATTGAAATTTGTCCTACTATCATTTGCTAGATTTTGGGAAGTCTGCAAAAGTGTTTATAGGATGGATTTCTGTACCGCATGTAGGACAATTCAGGCTACCTTCTTTTACCTGCTTAATATTTAAATTAAGACATGTAGGATGGAATTCTGTTTCATGTGAAAGATAATAAAGGCAACCAAGATTTACCTACCTGATATTTACAATAGGATCTGTAGGATGGATTTCAGTATCACATGTTGGACAACTAAGGCACTTTTCTATATGTCTCACAATGCATGTTTTGCAAACTAAAAAGATATATTTAGCTATGATACATTAGACATGTACTCCTAAGATTCTCCTAAAATATTTAAAAACATAATAACCATTCCCTTTTTTCTAGGGCAAGACTATACTTACGTCAGGTTACTATAAACATGACAAAAATGCCTTAATTAATACTGATATGCTTCAATCAGGCCTTTGGTGTTCTTGTTTGAATTGTTTTACATTTTGTCATTTCAGGGTCTTACATACACCAATCTCAAGTTCTTTTTTTAACGAGTTACGCCGTTTGACACAAGGTCAATCGGCTTAAATGATGTTATTGAACAATCGACTCTTATTATGACTTAATAACATAAGCATTGCGACATCAGAAATGTACAGGAAACTGCATGAATATGAAAGTCGTCCATAGCGTACTATACAGTATAGGCTTTGCTCATTGTTAAAGGCCGTAAATGACATATAGTTGCTTACATCTATGTTATTTGGTCTCTGGTTGATAGTTGCCTCGTTAACAATCATAGTATGATACCACGTCTTCTTATTTTTCATATTGTTCAAATAGTTCAAAGAGAATAACTAATAAAGAAAAACAAAATTTATCAAAAAGTTGATCTTTCAGAAAATGGTGAACTAAAGAAAATGTTCACTGATGATCAGATCTATGTTAAAGAAAGTTTAAAGATCATTTGAATGTATAAGTGACATGTTATAACCGATTAAAATTCTAATGAAAGATTCAGGGATAGTTCCTACAATGTATTATAAATTAAATAAATGGGGAATGTGTCCATGAGACACAGATGATGCCCCTGCTTGCATATAACGTTATAAAAAGAAATAACTCAAGAACTGTAAAAGTCACGCTACCCAAATGTGTACTTGATCTGAGTTTTGTGGTAATAAGCATTGTTTATAAGTTTCATAACATTTGGTTGAGGCAAACTAAAGTTAGAGAACGTAACGAAAATTTCAGCAATTTTTTCGATTTGTAAAGTGGCAGAACTCTAGAACGGTAAGTGACGCCACAGAAATTCAAAATTGATCTGTGTTTTATGGTAATAAGCATTGTGTACAAGTTTCATAACATTTGGTTGAGGCACACTAAAGTTAGAGAAAGGAAATGAAAAATTCAGCAATTTTTCCATTCGTAAAGGGGCATAACTCTAGAACGGTAAAAGTGACGCCACCAAAATTCAAATCTGTCGTACAGACGGACAAGGGTAAAACTTAATGCCCCTCCACTAAGGCGGGGGCATAAAAATGTATAAGCAAATACAACATTTGAATAGATAAGTGATAAATATATATTTTCAGCTTACATGTATGCATGCATTCTGTAATGGTTGAAGCTTCATACAAGTATCCACCACACAAGGCACATGTGATATAAGTATTTATAGCACACAATCTCACACTGACTGGTTCCTTACTTAAACTTGGACATACTGGAATTTGAGCTAGCTAAAAATCGAAATTTGAACAATAAAGATTTAAATTATGATATTAATTTCTTGCAACAATTTTTGTAATGTCTCAGTTTATAGATTCAAAAAAATATCCATGGAAATGAGATGTGTAAATGCTAATTCAACTTCATACAAGATATCATTGGTTTACCATAAATGTTTCATCTTAAAATGACCTAATCACAAAGTAATATGTTGTTGCAATCCATCTGCCATTATAACAGCACGCCTAAGTCTTGCTTTCTCAACTTTGTCGAGGCAGGACAAAATTGAAGAGGCCATCTTGAACTCAAGTGATCACTATAGATCTCTTAAAATTGAAAAGCTTTCATGTAAAAATGCAATTCACTGCATGAAATTCAATAATGGCATTGACATTTTACGGAAATAATTTTATTATAATCATAACCACATTTGAATACCTTTTTGTGATGTAGCAAGCAATGAAAAGGATGGCACAATTTTTTCTCCTTGATATTATATATATATTTTTTTAATTATAACTTTCGATACAGAATAAATTTGGTGTTATATATATATATAATACCTGTGAGTATCCTCTTGTTTGACATGTATTAACTTACTAGAATTTGTTTACCTGCCATAGCCTGAATAACTCAGATTACTCAATGCCTTATTACTAGTAAATATTTTGACTACCTAGTTAGCATTGCACCAATACTATAAGAATAAAAAATAGTTCTTTAACAATATTACTGAAACAAATTTTCAAAGGCAAATCTAACTATGTCAAACAAATATTTAAATACTGTTTTAACCACCTGTTCTTTCAAAGATAATTTGGGTTCTGGTTTTTCCTCAGACTGGCTGTTGTTGAGGATTGTACTACAAGATGGTTGTTCTGTGTCTTCGTTGTTGAGATTGCTCTGAAATTTTTACATTAACAACTATTACATTATTTAATTCATATGTTAAGATTCATACTGTTTATCTTTTTTTAAAAAAAAGACATCATATTTAATGTTTATTTGGACACACTTAATAAATTATTAATTGGTTATAAAAATTCAACATGTTCAATGCAACAGATTATCTAGTTAAACAGAAATACTGATAAGAAATCTCATGTAAACTATTTCTACGCCTGGCTTAACTTCAAATGAAAGCATGTTTATATTGTTTATCTATTGCATTTTTTCCTTTCCAAGGTAAGAAGAAGTTATGTTTAAAAGGGCAAGGTGAGCTAATAATAAATGTCCAGAATTTACCTCTGTAGTATTTAAATTTTCATCAACCTTTTCATCCTTTGAATTGTCTTTTTGTTCAATTGAATCTACACAAAGTTTAGTGGGTACTGAATCACTTCCACAAATATTGTCTTCAAAATGTAAGTTGCATAGTCTTGTATGGTCGGATATCAGAACATCTGGTTTTGCTTGTTTAATCTTCCCTAACCAAGCTTCTCTTCTGTCATCATCAGTCCCTGGGAGACAATGAAGTGATATCTTTTCTTCATTTATTATCTGTTCTTCATTTTTAGCACACAAAACACAGCACAATTTACCTTCACATTGTTCCTTTATCTCTGATGATGTTTCACAAGTTTCCATTTAACTGAAATATATATTAACTTAATGTATCAGTTATAATTTATAAACCATACAAATGCAAATTATGAACAATGGAAAAGGGCCATGCATAGGCAACAGATAACATAAAGCTGAAATCTATAAATACAAATTCTACAATAATACCCTACCTGCCTACTGACAACATGAATGATTGTAATTCAACATTTGTCCACTAGAGATAGATCAATTTTTAAGATTGAAAATTTTAGTATCAAATGCAGACAAATATCTTAATCATTATCATGATTATGGTAAAGTATAGAATCCTTAATTGTAAATATAATTGCATAATTATGATTTATGTATTTTCAATTTGTTCATGTCTGTTTCTAGACATTAATATATTTCTCTCCCAAAATTATAATATTTATAACAATACATGGCCAAAATGACTTTACCAAGTATGGCCAAACTGGTAGTATTCCTGAAACAACTGTGGCTGAAACAGGATGAGGATTACTATCAGAAATAAATTTGCAGATTAGTTACTATTTTAACAAGAGTGCACACGCTGAAATGGCTCGCCTACTATACTGACCATTGATTTTATGTTGATAGTACAACATATAAAGTTTTACTACAAGTATCACATTAACATTTATGATCCAAGAAAATGAGGTCAAGGTCAGATAAACCAAGCCAGAAATACATGTACACTTTTAATACAATCATTCCATACACAGAATATAGATGACCTACTAGTATTGCTTATAGTATAAAAGAAACAGACCAAACTATGGAAATTCTATACTGACCAATGAACCACGAAAATGAAGTCAAGGTCAGATGAACCCTGCCAGACAGACATGCACAACTTAAAATCACTCCATGCATCAAATGTAGTTGACTTATTGCTTATAGTATCTAAGAAACAAAGTTAACCAGGAAAACTGAACATTGACCAATCAACCATGAAAATGAGGTGAAGGTCAGATGATACCTGCCAGACAGACATATACACCTTACAATCATTTCATACACCAAATATAGTTGACCTATTGCTTAAAGTTTAAGAAAAACAGACCAAAACACAAAAACTTAACATAAGTAATGAACCATGAAAATGAGTTCAAGGTCAAATAAGATCTGCCAGACTGACATGTACATCGTAAAATATTTCCATACACCAAATATAGTTGACCTTTTGCATACAGTATAAGAAAAACAGACCAAAACACAAAAACTTAACATTGAGCAATGAACCATGAAAATGAGGTCAAGGTCAAATAAAACCTGCCAAACTGACATGTACATCGTAAATTATTTCCATACACCAAATATAGTTGACCTATTGCATACAGTATTAGAAAAACAGACCAAAACACAAAAACTAAACCATGACCACTGAACCATGAAAATGAGGTCAAGGTCAGATGACACCAGCCAGTTGGACATGTACACCTTACAATCATTCCATACACCAAATATAGTAGACCTATTGCTTATAGTATCTGAGATATGGACTTGACCACGAAACTTAACCTTGTTCACTGATACATGGAATGAGGTCAAGGTCAAGTGAAAACTGTCTGACAGGCATGAGGACCTTGCAAATACGCACATACCAAATGTAGTTATCCTATTACTCATAATAAGAGAGAAATTAACATTACAAAAAATCTTAACTTTTTTTTCAAGCAGTCACTGAACCATGAAAATGAGGTCAAGGACAATTGACATATGACAGACGGACACTTCATATCATAAGGCATCTATATAAAAAGTATGAAGCATCCAGGTCTTCTACCTTCTGAAATATCAAGCTTTTAAGAAGTTAGTTAACACCGCCGCCGGATCACTATCCCTATGTCGAGCTTTCTGCGACAAAAGTTTCAGGCTCGATAATAATTTGGCAAAATAATTTTAGATCCTGAATACTTTTAAATGTTATTATCCAAAAAGAGCATCTACAATGTATGCTTCTTTTTTATTTTATTTTTAAAATGGTGTTTTAATTTCTTATTTTAAATTATATCATTAGCATGATTAGTGTTCCCCAAGGAAAACATTAAAATGCATAAATATAATATTTGCAATTAATAATAATAATAATAACTTAACCCAAACAGGAAGACGTCTAAGTAACTGTTTTCTCCAGATTGGACTAAATTGCCATAAGGCGTATCTGGTTAGTCAATAAGATTGAGAATGGAAATGAGGAATATGTCAAAAAGACAACAACCCGACCAAAGAGCAGAAAAAAGCTGAAAGCCAACAATGGGTCTTCAACGCAGCAAGAAAATCCTGCACCCAGAGGCGGGCCTCAGCTGGCCACTAAATAAAAATGTGTACTAGTTCAGTGAAAATGGACGTCATACTAAACTCCAAAACATATAAATGAACTAAAATTAAAAAACATACAAGACTAATAAAGGCCAGAGGCTCCTGACTTGGGACATGCACAAAAATATGGCAGGGTTAAACATGTTTTGTGAGATCTCAACCCTCCCCCTATACCTCTAGCCAATGTAGAATAAAGAAATACACAGCAATACGCACAGTAAAACTCAGTTTAAAAGAAGTCTGAGTCCTATGTAAGAACAGGTAACAAAATGAAACTAAGCAAAATGACAATGATACATAAATTAACAAAGGACTACTAGCAGTTACTGACATGCCAGCTCTAGACCTCAATTAAGCTGATTGAAAGATTATGTCTTCATCATATGAAAATCAAGCCTTTTCAAACTAATTTTTAAAGTTTGTTCTTCACAAAGGGATTACCCTCAAGCTCGTTTTTTCGTTCGATCAGTAAGCCTGTCCATTCCATGAACATAACGTTCAAAGAACGGACTAACTGGACAAACGAAAATACCGGCCAGCACCGTAGTCTATTGGATTCTGGTGAATAGTTGTCTCATTGGCAAACATGCATACCTCCTTATCATTATAAATTTGTGGTATGCTATTCATTAATCTGGTCATTCTTGTTTTACATCACAACAAACCTTTCAACTGTTGTTTAACATTAAAACACGGAAAAGTTACATTTTGTAACTGACTTTTTGAATGCAGACGCCATTGTAAACTTCCGCCTATCATAGGTTTTGTTAAACCTATCCTCATTGGCGATTTCATGAGATCTGTCTGAAAACAACCAATGAAAGATGATTTAAGATATTGGCGAGTTCTTAGTGAATGGCGAAAATTGTTTGTAAAGATGGTGAGCACGTGGCTTTTAACTTTTTGAATACATGCATATAACTGATGAGCTAATTTTATACATAACAAATTTAAATACAAAACTTTGCGTAGGAAATCTTTGATTCCAAAATGTCAATGCTTAGACTCTCCTATTTTCCCTAAATTTATCCTTGTAAGTTGTAGATAGCTGAAAATTATCAGCACTGCTAACAGGCCAACTGGACATGGGGTCTGATTTAATTCAAGCGCTGTTTAATAGTACATAATCAGCTGGTATACTTGTGCCGTACAGGATCAGTTCTCCCCAATTCTGTTCGCACCTACTTGTTTTGGTCAGGGTTGTTTCCCTCTCTCTAAAATTGAATGATTTTGACCTGATTTAAAACAAAAATAATGATAATGTGGAAGTAATTAAGCACGTGGCTTTTAACTTTTTGAATACATGCATATAACTGATGAGCTAATTTTATACATAACAAATTTAAATACAAAACTTTGCGTAGGAAATCTTTGATTCCAAAATGTCAATGCTTAGACTCTCCTATTTTCCCTAAATTTATCCTTGTAAGTTGTAGATAGCTGAAAATTATCAGCACTGCTAACAGGCCAACTGGACATGGGGTCTGATTTAATTCAAGCGCTGTTTAATAGTACATAATCAGCTGGTATACTTGTGCCGTACAGGATCAGTTCTCCCCAATTCTGTTCGCACCTACTTGTTTTGGTCAGGGTTGTTTCCCTCTCTCTAAAATTGAATGATTTTGACCTGATTTAAAACAAAAATAATGATAATGTGGAAGTAATATCATTTTTGCCGAGCTGGCAACATTTATCAGTTATGTCGCGAAAAATACTAGGGATCCTAAATTCTGTCGTCCTCGTCATCAGCTTTTTGGTTAAATAGGTTCAATATGTGGTTAAAGTTATTTTTAAACATCAATAACATTGTCAAATCTTCATGTCATCATGGAATTTCATACAGTATCCAGTGCAAAATTTAGAAAATATTTGTCATTTTTCCGTATTTTACTGATAAATGTACTTAATTTTTTTGGTAACAAGTAGATACAGTCTGGGGTTAAAGTTTGTTACAAATCAATGACTTTGTCAAACTTTCATACAATTTTATGATATTTTGGCAGAAGCTATTTTATGATTAAGAGATAATGTCTGAAGCAAACTTTAAAAAAAATATTTTTTTCGTTTTTAGTATTTTTCTGGTAGATAGAAATAGATTTTTACAGGCAGTCTGGGATTAAAATTTTTTGACATGATAAATATGTAAACCTTCATGGATTGTTATGAAACTTGTAAAAATCTTCAAGACCAAGAAATAACAACTAAAGAAAAAGTTTCAATTTTTTTTTAAATTCTGTATTTTACTTATAAATGGAATCAACATTACACTTTTATGCTGACAGGAGCAATCACAGAGCTTCTTTCAAATTTTGATGGCCCCACAACAAAGTTGGCGAGGCCATATAGTTTTACCCTTGTCCGTCATTCCGTCATTCTGCAACAAACCATTATACAGACTTTTTTTTAAACGCCTTCATACATGTCATATATTGGGCTGAATTTTGGTATGTGAGTTAACCATGATGAGTTACAGATCAAGTTTAAGTTTCGTTCCGCTCTGCTAATTTTTGCCATAATTACGGGCTTTGGACTTTGATAAAATGTTGAAAATCACAGTTATACGGACTTTTTTTCTAAACGCCTTCAGATAATGGACTGATTATAAGTATGTGAGTTAACCATGATGAGTTACAGATCAAGGTTAAGTTTCGTTCCGCTCTGCTTATTTTTGCCGAAATTACCGGTTTTGGACTTTGATTAATTGTTGAAAATCACAGTTATACAGATTTTTTTTCTGTACACCTTCAGATATTGGGTTGATTTTTGGTATGTGAGTTAACCATGATGTGTTACAGATCAAGTTTAAGTTTCATTCTGCTCTGCTGATTTTTGCCGTAATTACGCTTTTTGGACTTTGACTTGAAAATTGATGAAAATCACAGTTATTCAGACTTTTTTTCTATACACCTTCAGATTTTGCGCTGATTTTTGATATGTGAGTCTACCATGATGAGTTACAGATCAAGTTTATATTTCGTTCTGATATGCTGATTTTCATGTCGTTTCAACACATCTTCAGTACGTCCACTTCCTGTTTGCTGATAGTTTGAAATTTAACTACTCATTGATCAAGGAAATGTTTCATCAAACTAGTATTGGTCTTGAGAGCTGGATACTATCCATGCATGTTTGTGTCCACATGTGTTGTTGAAATTGCAGATTTTAAAACTTTATGGGACGGTTCCATTCGTGTCATTCCGACACATCTAGTTTAGATTATTATACATGTATATAAGATGTACCTATTATGAAAATTGATAAAACGCTTGAATATATATGCTATCATGAATAGATAATTGTTATAATTTTATCATTTCAGGCTCAAGTACTGTTTATTTTATATGAGCATGCCTCAGGGTATGCCCTTTTTAGAGTGAAAGAATTTGAGGAGGTATCAGTATTACAGAGTCAGGTAGAAAAATGTGTAACAGATCTCAGCAAGTTCCAGTCTGTTGTCAAACTAGCAGCTTTCTCACCTTTCAAAAGTGGTACCAATGCACTGGACAACATAAATAGTGTTTCAGAAGGTAAAAAAATTGTCAAGCATTAATTTCAATTTGTCCATGTTTATATGTGTTTCCATGTTGTGTCTGTAAGAAGGCAATATTTTCACAACAGGAAATGAATTCTATACGAATGGAATTGTCAAGCATTAATTTCATTACATTTTCAGTAAAGTTGTCTTCTGTCTTCGTTTTCCTACATTTCCAAAAGAAGTATATATATTTAAATTATTTCCTTCATCAGATTTGTAGATCTGAAATAAGAATTTTAACAAATACATCATTGATATGTCAAAATAAACAATGACATTGTACTTTGCTATGCTATTACGCTTTTAGATTCAACAGTAATATACTTCCTTTGAATTGAATTACACAATTCTATTTTCATTTAATTTACGAGAGAGAGAGCGTGAGAAACTTAAAAAAAAGAGGGGGGGGGAGTATAATGTTTTTGAATCATAATGAATATGAGCACTACTGTAATTATGATTAGTTGCTACATGCAAGTGTATGTTATCTTATTTTATCTTTCCAGGTTTAGTGCATGAAGATTTACAGATATTCTTAGAGAGCAATGTACCTAAATCTTCTAAGAAACAGAAAATCATTTTAGGTGTTGCTGATGCTAAGATAGGAGCTGCCATTACTGAAGAACTTAAAATTCAATGTTCTCAGACTGGAGCTGCCCCAGAAATCATCAGAGGTTAATTTTTTATGTTTTATCTTAGTCAAGATGCAATATTTTAAACTTTGGGTTTTGCTCAATATCAGAGTTTTTGTTTCAGGGGATATTTTGGTGTTTTTTTTATATGATCCTCTTTATTAATTAACTTTAGAAAATGCTTTATGGAGAGAGAAATCCCTCTCTTGAGATGGAATGGGGTTCACAAGGATAAATCATTAAATGTCAAGATCAGCAAATTATACAAAGTTTTCCCCAAAAATTGATTGTTTTGCAAGTGTTGAATAAAATGAACAAATAAATAATTGTTTTGAGTTGAATTTGTTTTGCTGGTACTAAAGTTTGTCAGAAATGGGAAAATGAACACCTGTTATTTGATAATTGATACATTTGTACCATTTGTCATTAATACAACAATTAGTAATTATTCTGTGATGTTACATATATTTCAGGAATCAGAGCTCATTTCCATAATTTAGTCAAAGGTTTAACAGATCAATCAGCAGGAAAAGCACAACTAGGTTTAGGTCACAGTTACTCAAGAGCAAAGGTCAAGTTCAATGTCAACAGAGTTGATAACATGATCATTCAGAGTATCAGTTTGTTGGACCAGTTAGACAAAAATATTAACACCTTTGCTATGAGAATGAGGTTGGTGTTTTGTTAATATGGTTTTTGTACACACTTATTTAGTGGTATAAATATTTTCAAATGAAATTCTTTGAAATTTTTCACATTATATTCCCTTTAAGAATTTATGGCATCTCATTTTAAATGAATTGTCTGTTCATTCTGCTATGTTTTCTTTGAATGGTCCTGATGGTATATAAATATAATCACTTCCAAAAAAGAGAGATAATGAGTTGAGGTCTTAGACCTGTTGTAAAAATAAGTTACAAAATGAGCTAAACATTTGAATAATGTTTGGGAGGATTCAGGGGAATCTAAAAAAAAAATTGATGGTTGTTATGATTCAGGAGTATCTAAAAAAAATAGATACAAGATTAGAAAAGTAGTCACTGTTTGCAAGAACTGTTAGACTCGTCAAAGGATATCTTTCTTTTAGCACTGTACTTGATGCTCCAGTCGATGAGTAGTTCACTACAACTGAACATAGTTTTGAGAATAAAAAAAAACAACTTGGAAAAACAAGAAAAACAGCTTCAAATTAGAAATCGCATTTCTTATTGTTGCTGATATAAACAGATAATCAGAGAAAATTTCAATGACTGATCAAAATATGAGACAATTAACTGAATATTAAACCATTATTTGGCCATTGCTTTCAGTGAGAGACTTTTCACTTTTTGTATTGAAGACAGGTGAGCAATGCATATCCCTCCATTTTTTCATATCAGGATGTTTTGATGAAAATATAAGTAATTGTGCATCTGTAGATATTACAAATATTTTATTGTATTGATATTGTATGCTGACAAAGAAACTATCAATTGATGTTTTTAGAGAATGGTATTCCTACCATTTCCCAGAATTGGTGAAAATAGTTAATGACAACTACTTGTATGCTAAGGCAGCGAAGTATATAGGAAATAGGAAGGAGTTTACAGAAGAAAAAGTAGAGGAATTAGAGGAGATTGTCATGGATAGTGGGAAAGCTAGGGCCATTTATGATGCTTCCAGATCATCTATGGGTATGTATTTATGTATGCAATTGCTTTTAGAAATGCTATTGCAATTAATTGGGCACATGTTAATCTTTTAATTACAATTTATATGCTCCCACCATAGGCAAAAGGGGCATTAAGTGTTACCCTTGACCATCTAGAGTCTTTCCGTCTGGCCGGCCATCCTTCCCTCTTCCCATTTTCGTTTCCGCACTCTTAACTAAAGTTTGCCTCATCCAAGTTTTATAAAACTCATACACAATGCTAAGAACCACAACAAGCAGACAGAGTTCGATTTTGGGCAGTGAGTTGTTTACCGTTCAAGATTTATTCCCCTTTATACTTGGGAAATTGCAAAGCTTGAGTGGGGGCATTCGTGTCCTTATGATAATCATGTAATAAAAGACTGCACAAAGCCCCTCTTAAGACATTTTTTTTTATCAAAATGCAGTCATCATTCGGCAAGTTTTTCAATTGTTACTTTTTCATTGCAATGCATACACCCCTGTTTAGTTGGTGACATACTCAAATATGTAAAAGGAATAAGTTATTTGATATAAACACGACATTCATGCTTTGGTTTGATATTGAGAGTTATTTTTATTTATTTAGGTATGGATATATCACCTATAGATCTGATTAACATAGAGAGTTTTGCCAGTAAAGTTATTTCCTTGGCAGAGTACAGAAAAAGCTTGGCAGAATATCTAAGGAACAAGATGAAACAAGTAGCACCAAACTTGGCCACACTTATTGGTGAACAGGTGAACAAATTAAATTTGATAAATAAAAATTTAGTGAGATAAAATATATAACTTTTTATTCATCTACATAAGTCATTATCAACTTTTTTATGGTTATGAATTAGGTAGATATCAGATTTGTTTATTAAGCATCAGATTTACCAGAAAAAGTAAATCTAAATACAAGAAGAAAACAACAATTCAACTCCATCATGTATATGTCTCAATTTAGGTAGATTCACTGTATACCGCCATCTTTGATTGTACAATAGCAGTACACAATTGGTCTAGTTCTCTGCCTAAATCTGCAAATTTTGAGACAGATTTGCAATTTATGTGTAAAACTGTTTATTTTGTTTAAAGAAAAATAAATTTTTTTTAGAATCAATTTTTCAACTTGGCCGTTTAAGGGGAGATAACTCTTATGGCAAAAATTTTATACTGGAATGATAATGAAATTTTCATTTTTTACTTGTAGCAAGAAAACATTTTCTGTGACACCATTTTTTCATTTTATTTTCTTAAAGCATATTATAAAACCTATCTTCTCATAATTTATTACAAAAATCTATTTCACAGATTTCTTTATATTCACAAATAATGTGTTTTTTCATGAACAATCTATGCAAATTTAGGCACTTTTGCCAACTTGTAGTTTGAAAAATAGCATGGTGACCCATACTTTTTATTATATTTTTCAAAAAAGCATAGTAAAATCTTCATTTTGGCAAAGTATAAGAAAATTCTATCTGAGGAAATATATACTGATGATCGACCTTAACTTAATTCATATATTTACAGAGCTCAAATTATAACTTTAAACAATGTTATTAGGGAAGGGTGAGGCGCTTTTAAAATTCATTTTACAACATAGCTTGTTCCTCATTATAAGAGGTCTATTAAGTAAATATAAAGTGTTCACCTTTGACTTTGTTTATGTAGGTAGCTGTCATATTGGTTATTACACTACATCACCTTTATAATCTGTATTACTATTTTACATTATAAAGGTTGGAGCTCGTTTAATAGCTCATGCAGGAAGTCTAACTAATCTGGCCAAGTATCCAGCATCTACTGTACAGATCTTAGGAGCAGAAAAGGCTCTCTTCAGGTAAAAACTTATTTATGTTATCATAGTTTTGTTAAAATTTTTCAGTTTTATTTTATTTTTCTTTCTTTCTTTTTTTCTTCTTTTATAGCAACATTAATATTCTGTTAACAAACCTCAAAATATTTGTTTTGAATGAAAGTTGAGATCTGTCACTGTCAATCAAGTTTTCCTTTCATTTCTTTTGATATTGTTTTTTTTATGATTATTTTATGATTTTGATATTTATGCTAATCAGTAGTAAATAATTTGTCAAATATGACAATACTTCAAAATATTCCATAAAAAAAAATATGTTTATTTACTGAAAAGCCTGATGTGAGAATTAATTTACAGTGAATAAAATTAAAGATTGGTTGAAGTATAAACTGTAAGTTAATTTTTCTCATATTTTCAGGGCATTAAAGACAAAAGGGAACACACCAAAATATGGGTTGATATTTCATTCTACATTTATTGGAAGAGCAGGAGCTAAGAATAAAGGTCGTATTTCTCGTTACCTTGCCAACAAGTGTTCTATTGCATCAAGGATTGACTGCTTTACTGGTATGTATAAACAAATTATTGGACTAAATAAAATTGAGAATGGAAATGGGGAACATGTCAAAGAGACAACAACCCGGCCAAAGAGCAGATAACAGTCGAAGGCCACCAATGGGTCTTCAATGCAGCGAGGAAATCCCACACCCGGAGGTGGTCCTCAGCTGGCCCTAAATAAAAATGTGTACTAGTTCAGTGAAATTGGACGTCATACTAAACTCCAAAACATATAAATGACCTGAAATTAAAAAACATACAAGACTAACAAAGGCCAGAGGCTCCTGACTTGGGACAGGCGCAACCGAATAAGTCTGTTTAAAGGTTTGGTTAGCTTTTGAGGTGAATGCCGAAATTTTTGTGCTTTGTAAAGAATATTACCATAAAAGATTGGATGTGAAATACCTGAACGTATAAGATGTCTGCATGTTAATTTATATTTCTGAATGATGTCCTACAATGAATACCTAGCTTCTCAACATCTGTTTCACTTGTTTTATGGATAATTTAAACCTGACTAAAAATAAGTTATTTATTTACTGATTTCAAATTCACAACTATATAATGCTATGGTCAGTCGCCCATTTTGTTTTTGATCTGAATCATTTTTTGGGTTTCCCTTGCTAATACATGGACTTTTCCATAGGCAGGGGTATCATTTTGTGAGCTTTGCCCACAGTTCCTTTAGTTTACTTAGACTCCTAAAGGTACAAAAAAATAATACAACTGTACATACAACAAAAAATGATAAACTAAGGTTCTTTTATTTGTTCTGTTATAGAATTTCCCACCAATGTGTTTGGTGAACATCTGAAGCAACAGGTTGAAGATCGTCTGAAGTTTTATGAGACTGGGGATGCTCCCGCTAAAAATGTGGATGTTATGAAAATAGCAGTGGAAGAGGTACTATTATTATGAATTCAGAAGTAAAATTTAACCTGTGAAGGGGATCTATGACATGTCAAATGTAGTTATCTCATCTTGACATATATTATTTTTACTTGAGAATTTTTTACACATTTCATGTGCATTCAGATAATTTTAAAACATTAATTTATTCATAGAAAATTACACATATTATGCATATTCAGTGAATTTGACACGCTAAGTGTATTCAGGGATTCTTTACAATTGAAACAGTAAATATGATAAAATACAGTGCGATTGTATAAAAGCATTCATAGAATGGGCTTACATCAAATATATGAAAGTTACATTGACATGAGGCCAAAAAAATATATATTTGTTTACAGTTACCTGACTACTTATGAGCGCTGACCCTAAGTCATTTTATTTCCATTATAAAGTGAAAAATTAATTAAACTCATGTCAAAAGCGAAGTTAGAGTTGCCTATAAAAGAAATCAATTGCCTGATACATCCTAATGTTCATAATCGTGAATATGACAGCTTTTTAAGGATATTTGTGACTCCTCTGATAAAATAAACACTTTGCCACCTTTTTTTCCAACCAATAACAAAGGGAAATAATCCAATCATTTAAAATACGGGTAAACTAGACCCATGGACAACTTTGACCATGGCAAGACGGACCTCAATCATGTCGCAAAAAATAAAAGAAAATAAAATGGAAATATCGACTACCCCTTTTTTTATAATGATGTAACCTTAAACAGACATATATTTTTTTTTGGCTTGAGCAAAAGCAAGTTATGTATGAAAGGTTGATCCAAATCAATAGTTCAGTGTAGCTTTTTATGCAGGTTGGAGAAAATATTTTCAAAATTAACTTTACTTGATTGTGTAGTTATTTATATGCTGCTTTACAGCAGTTAAATTTATCAATATCACAACCACATTGAACTAACTATGACAAGACACAACTAATAATAATAAATTTAATGTAATAAAGTAATGATTTATAAAATTTCAGGCCACAGAAGTTCAAGCTAAATTAGCAAAGAAAGAAAAGAAAAAGAAGAAGAAAGAGAAGCGAAAATCTGATGCAATGAATGACACCATGGAAACAACACAGGAAGTGGATACCACACAGGAGGAAGATGAACCTCCTAAAAAGAAAAAGAAAAAGAAGAAGTCACAGGATGAGGAAGCCCCCGAAGCAGAGATCTCTATGGAAGTAGAGCAATCATCTGCCAAAAAGATGAAAAAGAAGAAGAAAAAGAAACAAAAAGATTCCTCAGATAGTGATTGAAGGAATGTTTTAATGTTTTAAGAAATAAAAACTTTCAAGTATTCATTTGGACTGATATATTGTTTCTTCAATATATAGGGATGTAAACAAATGTTATATTAAGAAACTGTTAATTATTGTTAGATTGGCTCTAAACCATTGGAGACAAAATTAAATGACCAACTTAATGCTAATTTCCTCTGAACTTGAAAAGTAGAAAATTATAACAAATTTTTTTTTATAGTGAATGAAAAACAAAAGGAAATTAACTGATATTGAATAAAAATTTGTATTTTATTGTATCTTTTTATATGGCTAAATTTATAAACAAGGTTAAGGTGTAAATAGGAATTTAAAGTTAATAACTCTAAGCTGTTTGATGGAAATTCACGATATTGGAAACATTTTATATTACAAGTATGATTTATTGTATATATCATATATTTTACTTCATATATCATAATGTAAGATCAGAAGCATCAATAAATGTGGCAAAAAAATTGTGTTAATTCATCAGAAATGTATTTGAGACACCTTTAGTATGAGAAAAAATGTATAGTTCTGAGATTGGTTTATAAGCTCTGTTTACATCATATAGTCTTGTAAAGGCCAAGTAGTGGAAGAATCTTTAGCAAACTATTTGAGGATTAACATTGAGTGTTTCATAGTAAAATTAGTTGGAATGAATTATATTGACCAACTTATGAGGCAAGCAGCTAGTGATAGTATGATTACAAGTTATCTTTTGGAATCAAACTTGATACTGTAAATTCAGAAATTATTGTGTGCATTTATTGTTGTGATTTTTGAAGAATTAACAAAAATGCGAGTTTAGTTCTTGCGATTTTAGGAAAAGCTACATACAGTTACATGTATTTGATATTAGAATGCGAGTTCCAGGGCTTCCAAAATTATTTTTAGCCAGCCGGACATTTTATATATTATCTCGATTTCAATCCCTAAAGACTAAATAAAAAAAAAGCAATTATGGTATTCAGTTGCTGAGTTGGCCATCCCAATGATTGACATTAAAAAAAAACGATATTAAACTTTCTTTGATTCAAATTCAAAGTTCTGACGTAAACTGTTAAATTGGCAGTGCATCATTCGATTTGTGCAACATCAGCGTACTTATATCTGCCTCAGAATCTTTATTTGTGCAAAATAACGTTGTCAAAAACTTTACATTCGTAAAAATCTTATACCGGATGTTATCTTGACAATGGTAAAACATGGACCAGAGACGGATACGTAAATTCCATGTACGTTTGCAAAGCATGAATGAGTGTACGTAGCTCTTTCTACGTTATTTCTTCAAGAAAATATTCGAAATAAACATGAGATAAAGGTATCAATGACAATTTAAGCATTTTTTGAAGAAATTAAGATGCATAATTAAATTTCACACCTTTGCACATGCGCACATGTGTACTAGTTCAAACAGAAACATGTCTCTGGTTCAGACAAAGTGGTTATGATGATTTTTCATTTTCACCTTTTTAATTTTTTCATCAAATCATATTTGTAAACGTATTTCTGATAATTTAAATCTTTTTGACTAAATTAATTAGATGCAAACCGCTGAAATGTAAGAAAATAACTTTGAATAGACCGATCAATGTCCGGTTCAAAATAGTTTACCTGTCACCTGAACAGGTAAATTTCAGCTGTTCGACAACTAATTAGCCTTGATTAAAATGAGAAGGTATTAAAGTAGGGGTTGTTTTGATAGTACTTAATGATCATGTCACTTTTATGACTGGAAATGTGTGGCTTTTAAAGACAAAAGGTTGGGTCAAAAAGATCGCGAATTATGTTAAAATGACCGTCTCTTAAGAAAGCCTTGAAAACTAAAAAGTAGATGACCGTTTCATGCTTTGCCCAGCCGGACTTTTACCTGACATTATACAAATGTCCAGAATATATGACCGTTTTGGAAGCCTTGGCGAGTTCTTATTATTGCAATACAACATACTCAAGTAGTTGCATTATTCGCTTTAATAAAAACCTCGCAATAATTTCTGAATTTACAGTAGTTAAATCTATAAAGGCCATTAGGTGTTATATTTCTGTTCTGAAGGAGGGGGTAAAATGTTTTACTCTTGTCTGTCTGTCCATATGTCCTTCCATCCATCCATCTGTCAGCCCCAAGAATTTTTCATCCCATTTTTCTCTGGAACTACTAGTCCAAGCTTCCTGAAATTTGGTATCAAGTTTCATGTGAGTGTGTCATACTGTCATGATTTTCATGTTCATCACTAAACCTTGTTTATCAAATACTTAAATATTCTTACACATAATGAACACGTATGAATTTTTATATCAAGCTTCATGTGATCATGCTATACTATGTGATGCCTTTTCAAATCCATTGCTTATCAACTTCTTGTTAGCCAAATACTAATAGCAGGGTATATTTAGTGACCAATAGCTCACAGTTCAAACTTGTTTCCATTTGATTTGTTTCATCCTGGACACTAAAGTTCAGCCTAATCATGAAACCTGCTTCAGTAATCCAATGATCTGTTCATGTACACTTACAGAGGTTTGATAGTACATGCACTTAGTTCTCCAATATTCCAATAATCTGTGTAGTATTAAATTAGGGTACTTGTAAACTGGAATCACTGTCAGGTTAAGATATAGGAATAGGATTTAAATGAGTTCATCTTGCAATGAATCAACTACAGCACAAAATAATTTTGAAATGGCAAAAGCTCAATAAATATAGAAGCCTGAAGGTAAACCACCAAATCTTAAAAACATAAAACAATAAAAGCCGAATGACTAAAAATATCAGCCCAATATTTCAACCTAATGGTTTTTATGCCTCCGCCCTAGCAGAGGGGGCATTAAGTTTTTACCCTTGTCTGTACATCCTGAAATTAGTTTCCGCTCTCAAACCTGAGTTTCCCTCAACCAAATGTTATGAAACTTATACACAATGCTTATTACCACAAAACACGTATCAAGCTTGAATTATTGTGTCGTCACTTTTACCGTTCTAGAGTTATGCGCCTTCACAAATGGAAAAATTGCTGAATTTTTCGTTTCTGTTTTCTAACTTAAGTTTGCCTTAACCAAATGTTATGAAACTTATACACAATGCTTATTACCACAAAACACAGATCAAGTTTGAATTTGGGTAACACTACTTTCACATTTCTAGAGTTATGCCCCTTTTCAAATGGAAAAATTGCTGAATTTTTTATTTCTGTTCTCTAACTTAAGTTTGCCTCAACCAAATGTTATGAATCTTATACACAATGCTTATTACCACAAATCACAGATCAAGTTTGAATTTTGGTGGTTCTAGATTTATGCCCGTTTATAATGTTATATGCAAGCGGGGGCATCATCTGTGTTCCATGGACACATTCTCCATTTATTTTCAATGGTTGTTGAACAAAGAAGAAAAATGTCAAGCTCTCATAAGGACAGAATGAGTTCCCCCATCATCCAGTTTTGAAAGGCGAATCCTGTATTACTACACACGTTTCATCTGAATTAGCAATATTAATTTACGTCCCCTATGTTAAAGTAACTGGCACTATGCTGGTTGGTTGGTGGAGTCCTTGGATACAATTTTGAGAGTCAACACCTTAAAGAGGATGCAGATTGACTGAATGGTTTTAGAGAACTTTTTTTCAAAGTTTATGACAATATTAAACAAATCTCAAGTACATGCTGAGAGGAGCTAAAAGGACGAAATTATACTTCACTGATTTATATTTTAAAATTACTTAAGTTTTCAGTATATATCTATGCCATTAAGTTTATAAAATGTTTATGAACAAGACCAACATCTCAAATTATCTAATATAAGTATCTAACTCAAGCAAATCTTCCGATTTCTATTGCACCTTTGTCATATATAGTGCCTTGAAACTTCTCCAGATACACAGGTTTGTCTATTCAGAGTAAATTTTGAGATGAAAACACGGCCATTTTAGCCAAAGGGTCCACATGAACCTTAACTCTGTAAACAGGTTTTGTAAAACTCCATCAAACCCACTAATGAGATATTCTGCTTACAGGGGTAATAGACAAACACATTAATAATGCAGGAAATAAAATATTTATAATCTCGAGAAATAAAGCATGCAAAAATTAGAAAGGTGATGAAATTATAATTTAATCATCTGAATTTAAAAAGAAAACAATTAGTATTTTTGGAATGTAACAATTTATTATTTTTCAATAAATACATAGTATGCAAGTAAAATAAGGACAGAATGTAAATTCACATCAATTACTAGTATATCACAAGTCCAAATATCACAGAAAAATGTATACAAGTTAAACTGCTTTTTCATAAACAAAAATTGGTCAACACGGTATTCCTTGACAAAGAAAACACCACATTCTCTTAAGATATAATAAAATGTTTCTTTATCTTGCTAGTTAAGCTAGATCAACTGCAAAATTAAGTCCTTTTCCAATTGAAGATAAACCTAGTTTTGTTTGTAAATATTACAATGATTTCCAATAAGCAGTCATAACAAAGTAATTGGATTTAATATTGAGTTTTCTCTCGGTATTCCATATAATGTCACCGCTAATGTTCCACTTGAACTAATGCAGGGAATGTCCTCATTCTTAACCTCTCAACTTCAGCACGTAGAACAGCTACTTCCTGTGCCTGAGCTTTGGCTAAATCCACCAATTTCCTTCTTTGTACTATCTCCATGTATCTCTTGTCTTTTCCTGCATCTGATCGTCTGTCAGCTACAAACACACAAAAATACAACTTATGAAAAATTAAAATAATCACAAGTGAGATCATTTAATTTTGGACAAATTTCATCAACAAACTTATTCATGAAATACTTTCTTCTTATTTATATGCACAGTACTATTGAACAATAATTTGTTTGCTGTTTCATAATTATTATTTGTGCTTCAACAATCAATTCTTACTTTGATGAGACATTATTAAAGAATTTTGCCAGGTTTTATAGCTCAATTGGAAGCATTATTCTTTTTTTAATATAATACTGGAAAGGAAAATGTATGATAAGGTCCCTTGTTTTGCCGTTGAATTCGAAGTAAAAGTATTGTAAATCAATCAAATAACATCTTTAATGTTAACAAGACATTAATAAATTGGATACCATTAGTTATATTTTTTAATATAGTCTTGCACATAGGACATCAAACTTGCCATTCAGGTAAAAAAAAATTCTACAGAAAAGGAGACAGAAAGAAACTAGCGAAGTGACCTGCTTTAACAAAAATATTTATGAATTATTCTCACCATTGACTTCATCAATAAGCTTCCTCTCATTCACTGTGACATTGCGTTCCATCAAATCAGAATCAATGTTGGAATTATCAGCATCCTTTGCTTTGATTGTCCTATTATGTTCTCGCAATATTTTCTTTTGATGTGCCAACTTTTTCTCATGATGCTGAAATCAGATAAAATGTTTGTATCACACATAGCATAATTACATGGAAACTCTAAGAAATTAATATGTCCAGATTTTAAAAGAAATATCCCATTAATTTTTTCTGAAAACGTATTCCAAATAATAGAAATCTAGTAACTGAAATTTTTGTAATAGTTGGATCAAATACATGCACATTTTACTTAAATATGTACAAAGAATAACCTTTCCAATTTTGAAGTTGTCAATACCGATGATCTTTAATAGTCTCTGTTTTAAATTTATTTCCAAATAGTCTCCACTTGTGGGAGAATTGTCATAAAACTTTACTCAGTAGTTGTACAAAATTTGTGCTCGAAACACAAGACCAGGATTTTGCTTGCTTGATTTCTAAAGCTGAGAACAATAATCATACTCAAAATTTGTATGACCATTAGCCCTTGTAATTAACACTTGATGATGTTGAAGACAATATGTTAACCTAGATGCTATTTTTAGGCAGTTAAGCTGCCTTATGCGAGCACCCTAGATTTGTGTTCTACCCAATAAATGCTGAAATACGTGCCATTGTTATTATCTAGCTGGCTATTATGTTATTGATAACTAATTGGACATTTTTTTAATACTTTTATTTCTGGAATACAAAAAATATGACCAGAAAAACCTTAAATGATCGTCGAACTACCCAAAACTTTTGAAATTGCACATAGGAAGTAGTGCTCAATAGAAATACGTACGTAGTTTATTATCTCCTGTGCTTTTGGCTACGATGCCAAAGAACAATTGTATGAAATATTTCATCACCGAAAATCGGTAATTACAAGTCGTTTATATTTCCCAAATGGCAAAATGCGCAGGAATATTGTTCATGTACAACAAATCTCTATGATAGAGGAAATAAAGTTTTATAAGTGGGCGGTAATTTTTAACTTGTCTTGCCAAATAAGGTTGTTGTTATTTTATGAATAAAATGAGGCCATGAAACAGATGCGGAAATCGACGTTGATGGGATGTTTTAAGTAATGTGGACAACTCGTCCCCGAGACAAGTCGGACCGAATCCTGTTTGAGAACTTGGAAATGGTCGAGATCCCCACCCCTAAACCATATATATTTAAGTCTCCCAAACAAAGTTTGGAGACTTATTGTTTTTGCTCAGTTCTTATTATTTTTATTATTCTTCTTCTTTTTCTTTTTTTTTTTTTCTTTTTCTTTTTCTTCTTCCGCCACTTTAAAGATGAACTTGTCTGCAGCGGTTCTCCAAAACCCTTGTCAGATTTACTTAGGGTTTCATAAAATGTAAGATTAACATGTCTAGGGAAGCCATCAACCAATTGTTTGTGCATTGGGGTCTATTAAGGGGTATTTTAAGGGGCATAAAGAAGAGAGGGGTTTACTATAGAAACCTATGAGATTTTATTTTTTTAAATTTTCAAATGACTTTAACTTGAAAATTGTAAGTGATAGACACACGCAGTCTTCAGAAATGATCACAGAACAATAAAACAAATCAGATGAAATATAGGGTGTGTGCCTGGGGTCACCACCCATCCCCTTCAATTTGAGAATGTGCTATTATCTTGTAAACGGTCGAGATCCCCACCCCTAAACCATATATATTTTTGTATGGGACAATAAAACAAATCAAATGAAATATAGGGGAAGTCCATTGGGGTAAACCCCACCCCTTTCTTTTTGATAACTTGTAAACGGTCAAGATCCCTACCCCGCAACCATATATGTTCTTGTATGGGACAAAAAAAACAAATCAAATGAAATAAAGGGGAAGTCCCTGGGGGTAACCCCACCCCCCTTCTTGTTGAAAACTTGTAAACGGTCGAGATCCCCACCCCTAAACCATATATATTCTTGTATGGGACAATAAAACAAATGAAATGAAATATAGGGGAAGTCCACGGGGGTCACCCCACCCCCTTCTTTTTGAAAACTTGTTAACGGTCGAGATCCCCACCCCTCAACCATATATATTCTTGAATGGGACAATAAAACAAATCAAATGAAATTTAGGGGAAATCCCCTGGGGTAACCCCCACTCCCCTTCTTTTTGAAAACTTGTAAACGGTCAAGATCCCCACTTCTAAACCTTATAAATTATTGTATGGGACAATAAAACAAATCAAATGAAATAAAAGACGAGCCCCTGGGGTCAACCCCACCCCCTCCTGTTTCAGAACTTGTAAACGGTCGAGATCCCCACCCCTAAACCATATATATTCTTGTATGGGACAAAAAAAAACAAATCATATGAAATAAAGGGCGAGTCCCCTGGGGATAACCCCCACCCTCCTTATATTCTTACGCCCACCCCCCTTCAATTTGAGAATGTGCTTTTATCTTGTAAACGGTCGAGATCACCACCCCTAAACCATATATATTCCTGTTCGTCATTTCAAGAAGATTTGAATGACATACAGGGTTAATCCATAGGCGTCACTTATGCATATCACAAACCAATTTGTACTGGACTTTGCCCAATGTCAGGCGACCATGGGAATGACGAATTATTGGAGCTTTGCTTGGGAGACTTCGTAACAGCATCCTGTTACAATTATTTCTTGTCATGTATGGGACAATAAACAAATCAAATGAAATATAGGGGGAGTCCATGGGGACACCCCACCCCCTCTTGTTTGAGAACTTGTAAACAGTCAAGATCCCTAACCCCTAAACCATATATATATTCATGTATGGGACAATATAACAAATCAAATGAAATATTTGGGTGTCCCTGGGGTCACCCCACCCCCTCCTGTTTGAGAACTTGGAAATGGTCGGGATCACCACCCCTAAACCATATGTATTTATGTATGGGACAATATAACAAATCAAATGAAATATAGGGGGAGTCCCAGGGGTCACCCCACCCCTCCTGTTTGAGAACTTGTAAACGGTCGAGATACCCACACCTAAACCATATTTATTCCTGTTCATCATTTCAAAAATATTTGAATGACATACAGGGTCAATCTCCTAGGTGTCACATATGCATATCACTTTACTAGACCAAACCAATATGAACTGGACTTTGCCCAATGTCAGGAGACCATGGGAATGACGAATTATGGGGGCTTTGTTTGGGAGACTTCGTAACGGCATCCTGTTACAATTATTTCTTGTTTATTATAAAATTTTATTGATGCAAAAAATGAGTCTAGGTTAATTGAATTTACTTTAATTATTTATTAAATTATTTCTGGGCCTATAATAATTTTCAGTTATGGCTCATTTTAAAGAAAACATATAAATCTTTCAAGCAGTGTAAAGCCCGAGAATGTTTGACCAACTGTTTTATAATCACCTGTCATTTTATTCCAAACTTGGTATGGAGTAACATCATGCATATGGGGGTCATTTACATTGATATATGAGTTGCTTTTGAAAACCTTGATGAAATATTAATTAATTTGCCTTAATAATCAATTCTTGTAATGAACATAAATGTACAATATACGAATGTTTAATGTTTGTTCTTTCAAATCTTAAAAAAAAAATTGAAGCAACACTGCCACAGTTTTCATAATTACGTTTGCCTTGGTTTTTGGTTAACTGCCTACAGCGCTTACAGTGCTTTGATTGTTATGTTTTATTGTATGTTGTTGGGTTGCTGTCTCATTGACATATACAATACATCATCCTTTACTGATATAAAATATCCAAAATAGTTTACCTTGAGCTGTGTCAGTATTGTTTGTTCAAGTTTGTTGATTTCGTCAGCCTTCTTTGCTTCATACTCCTGGACATTATTTAGGAACTGCAAAAAATATTTTTACACATGAATACATTTTCCTTCAATAAGGGTTGTAACAAAAATAATGCTTAATGTATTTTTTTCATATCAGCTCTTTCGAACATTTTTACACAAATTTACTGTAAACTTTGTGAATTGTTTGGGTTTTCCTTCTGAAATCTTTAGCTGAAATTTGTGTTTGTTCAAGTACAACTAGGCCAAAATTAAATGGATTCAAAACCTATGTTCGGGGATTCTTCTTTTTTATATTGTTTTTCATTGTTCCAATTGATCAAATAAATGAAAAAGTAACATGAAATGTTATCAGCATATCAAGAAAAACTTACAGTAAACCTGTGACAACACACCTGATCTAACTTCTACAGAAATTTGTTTGTTTTTTTTTCATCTCAATTTTGACATTTCTTCTCATTATTTACTAGTATGATTCTTGGATTGAACAGAAATCTTATGATTCTTATATTTTTTGATAAAAAGTCCAGTATTCATTTTGACATGACATACAAGGACTTATACTTTTTTCGCTTCTGAATTTTTAGGGAAAAATTATTTAAAAATAACACATCCCTAGAAATACCCAGTGAAATCAGTTGTTTGTTTGTCTTTTGTAAAATCAACAAAAGTCTTCTTTCCATGCTTGATATTAAATAGCACAGAAATCAATCTCCTACACCAGAGATTAAATAAAATAATTTACCAGTTGAATTTCTCTGGTTACTTTCATGAATTGAATATCTTTCATCTTGTTCTGAAAGTCTTCCATTTCCATTAGCATTTTCTTGTGCTCCCTGTCAATTAAAAGATAAAAAATACTTTAATCAGTCAAAAATAACATATCTGCAAGTTAGATGACAGAATCAAAGGACCAGGTAACTATTATTGCAGATATTGTCCTTATATAGCAGTGCACCCATTACTGTATGACATCTGTCAATGTATTACTTATGATCTGTAATGTCACACATCTGATTTTTCTTATAAATCTATCTCCTTTTTGTCTAAATACTGATGTTATTGCTAGTAGATATTATTGCAGAATAAATTATGTATTATTTCTCAGTATTAATTTAACTAGAGAGAAAAAAAATTGCTGTTTTTCTTCTTTTTTTTTCAAGAAAAAAATCAAATGTAGACAATGTATAAATACTGTATATTAACCAAGATATAGAAAAGATACTCCAATTTACAATGCAAACATATCCATTCATCTATGTCGTGTTGCATTAGTAATAAATTATCCTGTTAATGTTGTAGAAGGGATATTTTTTGTAAAGACATATCGTTTTCTAACCCACATGAACATTGGTCATGTCTGTATATTTTGTCAAGTTTTTTGAAAGAATTCTAGATGAATGATACTTTATAAAATACATAATATCAACCTTGGAATTTTTCGAATGTTATATAATTTATTACCATTCAAGTTGTATAATTCCTTTTCTAAAGTCTTTACTTTCAACCATACTAGCAATTTTATCTTCTCCAAGTTTCTACAATTTAAGACATACAAAGTTATTTAGTTAATACAGTTTCAGACTTATAAAATGGTATTGAAATCATAAGTTAGTTGCAATATGAGGTGAGAATTATATAGACACTTCTTATAAGTTGATTTTTTAGTTAAAGTAAAATGCTTTATTTCAAAAATATAAAATATAATCAGGTTTATTCAAATGTTTTCATAATCCAAATGCTTAGAAAGTATTTATGAATCAAGTGTGGGATTAAAGTCAATCAGACAAAACAGGATAACACTAGTTTAAAAAAAATAGACAGCTTTGAGAACATTTGAAATTCAATATTGACAAATTGTCCAATTTTTTTAAGGAACTTGAAACTGCAAAAATAAAACAGATAAATACACTCACACAGAAACTTTACACATAATTCATTATCTGTTAATTCATTTACATTACCTTTCTAGACTGTAGGCAATTATAGTTTGATATATTGAATAGACAGTTGTAAGTTATTAAAGACCAAATGTCTTTTGAATTTTTGTGGTATTTGGGTTGCTGTCTCTACGACATAAACCAAAAATCTCCTTTTATTCAAGAGGGGGTGGACAGGGGGGTACAAAAGCTGTCCACCCCCTCATTCAATATTTTCAATATTAGAGGTATGCATTAGTCCCAGCTGTTAACCTTCTCCATTTAATATATAAATGGAGAAAAGGAGAATGTGTCCATGGGACACAGATGATGCCCCCGCTTGCATATAACGTTATAAAAGAGGCATAACTCCAGAACGGTACAAGTGACACCACCCAAATTCGAACTTGATCTGATTTTTAAGCTGGAAATAAGCATTGTGTATAAGTTTCATAACATTTGGTTGAAGGAAACTAAAGTTAGAGAACAGAAACGAAAATTCAGCAATTTTTACATATAAACGGGCATAACTCCAGAACCGTAGAAGTGACGCCATCCAAATTCGAAATTGGTCTGTGTTTTGTGGTAATAAGCTTTTTGTATAAGTTTCATAACATTTGGTTGAGGCAAACTAAAGTTAGAGAGCAGAAACCAATTTTTGGACATACGGATGGAGGGACGTACGGACGGACGGACAAGAGTAACACTTAATGCCCCCTCTGGTGACGGCAGGGGCGTTAAAATTCTCATTTACTTGGAACCTGTTCTCCAATTTGTTGTTCAATGTAAATTTGCTTTAAATGAATGAATATTTGTGTAAATTAAAGAGTTTATTCATACCTTGATATTTGTGTTAAGTTCTTCAACAACACTACGATGAATTAAAGCACTATTTTTGTAATCTGCTACAAAAGTGTTAGTATCTGTTTCAACTTGACCTTGTTTCAATAACAGCTGAACTTCTAAATTCAAGTTAACTCTTGCTTCATCATTCTTTAATCTGAAAGAGTCAAAATGTAAAACTTAAATGTGCTAGAGTTACAAAATTTGTAAAAATGTTATTTTCAACAAATTTTCATATTCTTAAAAATGCAAAGGCTAATATGTAATTAAGGCTTCTGTAATGACAGTACTGTTTTATCAGAAAATGGTGTGATTAATATTCCAGAATAAACACATACTTAGATATTTTCATCTGTAGATCTTCTATTTCATTTTTCAGTTGTTCATCTTCATCTTGCCGTTTTCTGTAAAATGCTTCCATTTCTGCAAACACTAATGCTTTTTGTTTTATCTGTAAAATATGAAAACAAATGCACTAAAAGTTTTATTCTCATTTCTACTTCTAAACACTCCAAATATTGATCAAAGAAGTTGCTTTTTTATTTTTATTGACAACTTTTTCAATTGTTCAAGTATGTTAAGCTTTTTGTTGCAAGTAGCAAGGCATTTATCAATAATAGATTCAAAGAAGGTATGACTTGTGGCCAAATTGACACTAAAATGAAACAATTTCAAAATGTCTCTTTTTGCAAAATGAAATGTTCAATCTATCTACGTTAATTAAACATTGTAATTTTGTTTAAAACAATTCATTTTCCAGGTTATACGGTAATAAAATGATCGTTTCAGAAAAAGTGCAAAATTATGCAAAATCTTAAATATTTGACTCACACACTCATTTAAAAATAATAGAGTCTACAACCATTGACCAAACAGATATTTAAATATGAAGAGGTGTATTTTGTAATTTTCTATTCACTGGTAAAATGTTATTTTGTACACTGGTTGTGCTCTTTCTTAATTTAGCCAAGTTGTCCTTGAAATTAGCTTCTTTTCACTTGAAATCTGAAAAACGTCCCTGATGACGTTACTTTAAAGATATCACAGTCAAATTTTTTGAAAGCTAAGCTAATATTTACATTTTCTGAAGTTTGAAGAATGTGATTAATAATGGTATCATTCATTTTATTTAAGTTTTTGGTGGATTTACAGGGCTAATTAAGCTCACCAGCTTACCTCTTATTTTAGTTTTAAAACACAGAAGGTTAAACATGTATACAGGTGCCCAACTCTCCCCTAACCTGGGACAGTGGTGTAACACCCACAGCATTAGAACAAACTGTAAAAATCAGTTAGAACAGGCTCATGAAAGGGGTTGAAAAGGGAAAATTGTTTTGGAAAACATATTAGAAAATTGTGAATATTACAGATAGATGTACTAACAAAGCCTCCAAATAACAGTATACCTCAAATTATGCTTCAAGTAATGTTATATAACTTACAAGGAATTCGTTTTCTATTTTGATCCTTCTGAATTTGCAAAGTCTTTCCCAAACAGACAGTTCAACACCTTCAGGATTATTGACATCTCTATCTAGATCATTGATGGCAGATTCTACAGAATTTTTGGCTTGAGCATGTTGTCTGGCAGTAGATGGACGGTCAGCAAAAGGATTGGGCAAACCATGGTCCCCTGTTGATGGTGCTGCAGGAGTATCAAATCCTTTCAGACGTGGAATCCTGTAGACAAACATATATCAGAACTAGAACATTCTTTAACTTATTAGTTTTATACATATTTTTATCCAAATATAAAAGTGTTTATAATGCAATATATCATTTGGTTTACTAGCTGTGTGCTTCAATAAGAGTCTACTCTAAAAGAATAAAATGAAACACTGTCTAAAATTTGTTAAGACTTCATCTATCTGGAGGTTTTTATAATGTGTTATATATGCAAGATTAATAGAATCATTGTATGTGACAAAAAAAAATGTCTAAAGTTTTACCCTTCCAACAAGTTCATATTTGCCCTGTAAGTCTGTTAAGACATAAAAATGAACACCCTAGGAAATATTAATCTTACATAATATTTAAATTAAAACTTACTTAGGTCTACGTCTGAAAAGTCTGTACAGCTGATCCTGTTGTAGTGCTGTTACATCATTAAACTCTCGTTTAAATGTTTTATCCATGGCTTTGTCTTCATATTGCAGATTCTCATAATCATTTTTGTAGGTATCTAAATGTTTCTTTGATTCAATCATTGCCTGTGCTGTCAGTGCCTGAAAAACAAAAATAACTGACATCTAAACATCTGAATAATCTTTTTATAAAACAAAAATTTAGACTAAATATTGGAAAAGTTTCAATCAATTATAAATCCAGATTTATGACAAATTTCATGTATAAATTTTACCTTCAAAGTTTTCTTGTGTTCAACAAGTCTGTTGAGTTCTTGCTCCTGTGTTTCTAACTCCTCTTCAACCAATAATGAGGCTCTCAGTCGGAGAATTTTCAATTCCTCCTAAAACGATATTAAGAGAATTAATTTTGTTTAATGTGTCTCTTTACATTCCAAAGGAAAGATGGAACCTTTATTGAATCATGTTTTTATTTCATTTGTTTTTGTTAACGACCATTAAAAAAGATTAAACTTCGATTTCAAATTTATAAGAGCATAACAGATTTAAATGCATCACATTTAATACTATAAAGCGTTAAAATCTTAGAATATATGAAATCTATATAATTTCTTTATATACTGAAATTTAGTAATGTAACAATTTATAGCAAGTTTTTTTTTTTAAAACAAACCTGATAGACCACCATCATAACTTTGATTTTCTTCATAAAGACCTGAGTTAACATGTCATCGAATCCACCCATACTATCCTGAATAATACTCTGTAATTTTCTCAATTCTGTTTCCAGTTGCTAGAAAAAAAATCAATAATCCATTATCAATAGTCCCAATGAAGGACAGAATGAATCTGTTAACACAATACTTTAGAATAAGAGTTATTATGTGAAGTATATTTTTAAACTTGTTTTGCAAGAACCTTGCAGATTAATTCTTATACAGTTAAATGCAACAGATCATGGTAGTTTTCAACTAGAAAACTATGATTAAACTGTGAGCTAGGGCTCAGTCATGATACCCACGCTTTAAGTATTTGGTAAAAAGGATGTTGATGAGTAAATAAGAGTGATGGATGTGAAGATGCATCACAAGGTTCAGCAGGGTAACTTGAAGCTTGATTAGAAATTTAACAAAAAAATTGATTTGTAGTTCACGAGAAAAATGCTACAAAATTTTATGTGACAGACAGACCTACAGAAACAGGGACAGATCTAAACTTGTATACCCCTTCCTTTGGAGCAGGGGTATAATAAGCTTACTATATAAATTCACATAACTGCCAACTATTGGAAACTTATGTGGGTAAAATTCATTATCTATATAGCAGCAGCTATAAAATATATAGACATCAGTTTTATAGCCATTCTTATGTTCAACAGCATTTATCAAAATAAAATTTACCTTGCGATATTTTTCCCTCTCTTCATTAAGATCTTTCACTTTCTGTTCAAATTCTGCAGCCAACCTCTTTTCATCTTCTGTCCAGTCTTTCTGTTCTTTTGTCTGCATGAACTGTGGTTTTGGAATATCCTTTAAAAAAAAATCGTTTCCAATTTGAATGTCTTATAAAACAAATCAGCTTTATTTTCAAAATGTTCTGTAGATAAATAATTTTCTTTGGAATGATATTCAAAATAAGGTTATATTCAGAAAATTGGATTGTCTCCCTTTAAAAATTTCCTTTCAGACCATTTCTTGGTATTTCAATTCAAAATCATCCGATTAATACTTTATTTTCCTTTATATGCTATACAGGAACTACAATAGGATAATGACAGACAAATATCTTAAAAAAGATTTATATACCAAAATACAGGAATTATACTTAGACCTATGATATCCAAACACAATCCCGTGCCACTGCCTTGCCTGCAACCTCCCGTCAGTGTTAAAATGTTATGATGATGTGATATATCGTTTGATCTTGAAACTTTCATTCAAGTTTTGTAAAATTCCATGAAGATTTAACAAGGCTATCTTTAACTTAATTTTCGGACTAAAAAAACAGGTAAACTAATATTTTTAACAAAAATATGCATCAAAACACTTGTAACCAACCTTTTTGAGTTCATCCTCTTTTTTAATCTCCAAAACACCACCCATCATCATGCCCAATCCTCTCTCCCTGGCATTGTCACCTTTCTCTTTAAGGCGTCTCTCTTCTTCCAATTTGTCTTCTTCTTCTTTCTTCTTTTTTTGTTCTGGTGTTAGATATTTCTCAACCTTAACCTTTAAAATGAAATACATTTATTTAATTATAATATTGCATGTATTGGTATTGCGAATGTCAATATACATGTATTTCAAAAAAAAAAGGTTGAGCCTTTCAAGGAAGACAATTGTCTCACCCAAAAATATATGCAGAAACAGATGAATTCTCTTCAGCCATTTTGAAGGAGTTATGGATTAACAAAATGAAATAAGCAGAAATGAGTTAGTCTATGCTTTGTAAAGGGAAAACCCCAAAAATCAATGAGTTCAAAAATCAAAGTACCTACTATGAAATTTCAAGTGCTGTGGAAGAATCTATGCCAGTTTAGTTGAATTCTGTCAAGTCATTAATTTCAAGGAATTGCTGATTAACAAAGTACAACGTGCAAGCAAAAATAAATTCCTGAACAGAACACTTCTGTCATGCTGTTTTCAAGTAAGTGCCTATTAATAAGTATGACACAGAAGAGACACCCGTGACAGACAACAATGCAAGACATTAGAAGTGATCCATATGTGTCAGCCTAGCTGGACACTGTCAGAAACCACAATATGAATGATAGATTAATATAGGTGTTTAATTTTGGAGTCTGTTTCACTGAAATTTACAAACATCTTTTTGATGTTTATCTTTCAATGAGTTTAAAATGAACAACTTCAACTGCACACTAAATCATATGGATATAGTATAGTTCAATGAATAAAATATTGAAGAAATTATACAATCATTGCATATTTTGGTTGTTTTATTGGGTGATCCTTTTTTTTATACAAACCTCTTCATCTTTCACTGTTAGAAGTTGTTCAGGTTCTTCATAAATGCTAAGTAAAGGCAAAATGATTTCTTCGTCTAAATCTATGTCATTCATGATTTTCTTTATACGCTTATTCTTTTCTTTTATTTTGCCTATTTCTGAGACTTTTTTCAAATGAATGTCATCAAATTCTTTGTTAAATGCAACTTTGATTCTGTGAATGGCATCCTATAGAATATAAGTAAATATAGTAAGTAAGTGTGTGACATACTGCATCATTCATTTACTTTGACAATTAAACAAACAAATAACATGTCAACAGTGGGTATGTGGATCTTTTGGCAATTATTGATTGACTATAAATATAGTTCTGATTATGAATTCTCTAGCAAACTAAATGGATGTCCCATCTTAATACAAAACATAACAACAATTTATCAATTCAACCTATGGCCCTGATGACTAATGTGTGCAAAACAAAAGATGCTTTATTTGTACAAGAAGTATATTTTAGGTCAACATATCACTTTCCTACATTGCACAAATAAAATATATACCAGTAGAGAGGAGTTTTTATGCAATCCCTTCTTCTGAGGTCAATTTTTAATCATAAATAGGAGTTGGTGGTTGAGATATGATTCGGTAAGAGTAATTCTAGTTGCTAAATATCTTTCTCTCTAAGGGGGAGGGAAAAAAGAAATTAAAAAAAATGTAAGTATAACTTTACGCCACACGAAAACTCTATAATGCTGACTAACCTCAAGTAAAATGATTTGGTTGATTTTCTGTTCTCTTGTATGAAGATCGAACTGACTGTAAAACAAATCACTTCCTCCACCATACTGGGCACCTATTCAAAGAATACAGTGAAACAATTATTTCAGTTCATTACTTCATGGCCATCAAATGTCATAAAAAGTAACCACATGGTTCTTCCTAATCTCCAGTCGGAACATTTGATGTTGTTTCTTTATATGTTTTTTTTTTTCATCACATAACAAAATATTTTCTGCTGATTTTTTAAAAGTCAAAACAATAACATGATGAAAAATACAAATTATGCTTTGTTATTTTTAAAACTTTGTCTCCAAATATTTTAGTAATTTTCACATTTAACACACCAGTATCTTTTTTTTTTTAACTGAAAAGCAATTACTACAAGTCAAAAAGATGGAAAAATATTTTCCTTGCTGTAAATATTACATGCATGTATCATTAAACAATCCTGTGGAGTAAAATCTTTGAATTCTATTGATCTAAACTAGGGTTTCCACACACCACTACTAATGTCACATGACATCTAGACAACTACTTTGAAGTCATCAGTACTTCGTTTACATTTACCCAATGCCAATTTATTATCTAAAATTACTCTCTATTCTTTAGTAATAAGTTCATTAAATTGAGTGGAAGTTTCTAATTTTCAATGTTTTCTATCATAACCAGAATGTATAGCTTACAACAAAACCAGTTTCACCAGGTGAATATATAAACATGCAAAATGGATGAATACTGGTTCCACAGATTTTACAGTTTTGATATATACTCTGTGCAACATGCAATATGATTAGTTCTGATTGTGAATGTGCATACATAAAAGAACTGAAAAGATTTTTATTTTTAATCTTTTTTTATCATCCACCTTTATGTTGAGAAAGCAGGATTCTGGTCAAGCTAAAGGACATGACAAGTATGAATTTACAAAGGACAGATTGTTTTGGTAGTCTATAGTATTCTGAGACAGTAGTCAGACTAATTGGGATTGACACTTAAGGACAAACCTGTTTTATAATCATCATATTCTGAAATGTAATATAATATATATTTCACAATAACTTATTTCAGAAGAAAATTTCTAGTTTCAATGATCTAGGGTTTGCTTTTCATAATATCTAGTCAGAAAATACAGTTTTGGTCAAATAATTATTCCTTGAAATATTGTCTTTCAAAAAAAGTCAATAGACATGATAAGAAAGTTAAAGGTTCAGTTGCTTTTCAAATTTTTTCTTCTAAGATTCTTTGCAAAGCATTTAAAAAAAAATATCTTGGGTTTCTGTTGTAAGCATTTGATGCAATCATAAAGCAGTTACATTATATTTGCATTCCATAAATAATGTCAGTCCTGTGCACAATCAATGCTTTTACAACCCGATCTTATTACAAAGAGAAGCATTTAGTTCTTATAACTACATTTTCATTTATTAACTATGAAATTATGAGTTACATTTAGATTTTCGTTTGTTTTCCTTTTAATTGATTTAACGTTGTCACTGAGAGCATGTGCAGTCATAGATGTTATATTTAATTTGGAAATAATCCATAACTTTGGAATGCCTCACAATAGTGTCTGCCAATCGAAATTACGGAATCCTTTGAAACATCTATGTAATGTAATTATATAGTTCTGACAATTCCAAAGATACTGATGTTAAATCTAATATTAAGTTTACTTCATAAATATTCTATGATAGTTCCGCATTCATTATATTTTCAACTCAAGATAAGAAAAATTGTTAAAATTTAAAATTCAAGGCTTGCCAACTATTGACAGTGGATAAATATATATTCAATAATGGGACAAAGTCTTAAAAAAAAAAAATTTTCTAATGACTTAAATACTACCTCAAAGTATAATGATATGGATAATTTTGGTGAAAAATCACCAAAATGTGGCTTATTAAAATAATTATTCTGGTCAGAACACATTTAAATGTATGAAGAATTTAAGAAAGTTTATAAATACTGATTCACATATTATCCTAATCTATCCTAAACAATTTAGTAAGTTCAAATATCAATTTCAACCACTAGAATAAGACACCTTAAAAAGAAAAGGGTTACAAGACATATTATTAAACCTATAATCCTTAACTCCTCTATGAAGAAACCTGCGGACATTAGTTAAACCAAAGCCATAGATTAAGCTTTTCTGTATTGTACAGTACTATCATGCTGTACTGTCGGATGTGCCAAACTTACCTATTGTATCTGTGGCTAAATAATAGTCCAGAAAATGTTATTGTATTGTAAATAGATGTTTAAATACCCTGCTACCCAGTCTGGGTAACCCAGATGTAGTAAACTGGCATTTGACATGGTAAACATCAGTTTCTACATGTCCGTTCATTTGTCCAGTTTTATTGGTAATGGAAATTAGAACGCCTACGAATAAATGATAGACTTAGTTCAAGCCAATTAGAATTTAGGTATCTTACATTTTTACAAAAGACTAGAATGAGAGCTGAACACATATTGTAAAGTAGAAAGCCTGAGAGTAAAAACTACCAAACCTTAAACATGTTAGAAAGGGGTGTATTTTGAACTATATAAGAACTATTAAAAAATTGATAGCTGTTTAAATTAAAAGTCCAGGAACCCAAGGTAAAATTTACTGTGTCAGCAATATTTTGGAGCTTTTCCTCTCTAAATAATCTATACACATAGATCATATAAATCCCTACAAGCTACCTAGATGACCAAAAGTCAATTTCATTAACTAGAAGTTTATATAAGTGATCATGAACTACTGCAGAAGATTTAAAGTTTAAGAAGAATTAATTTCATTTAGTAATAAGTAACAGATTCAGTGATCTAAGTGAGGTCAGAAATTTAGAGATTTTGAGAGGTCTGTTAAGTAAGTGAAAATTATAAAGGCATAGGCCATGGTTTCTTTTTATCTAAGTCTGTTGGATTTCCTTTAAAATTTCAGATAGTTTCAAAGAGAATTCAAATGAAGCTAATTCTTCTGAATTAGAAAAAACTTGCAGAAGACTTGAAATTGATTGCGAAAAATGTTGAAATCTTTATTTAATAAAAACCATCTGACAAGGCTTCAACAAGAAAAACTTTAAAAATAAGACTGAAAAAGATATAATAAATCTTCATCAACTATATTCAGCAGTGAAGTGTATACATTAGATATTGATACTACATGTTAAACACAACAAGAACATGTGCAATGTGCATTGACACAATTAAATATGCAGACTTCATATATCTATTCAAGACTAATGTAAATTCAGAAATTTTTGTGTGCATTTATTATTGTCATTGTTTAACTATCAACACAAATGTGAATTTAATTATTGTAATTTCAATAAATGCTGCAGACAAATAATGCTATAAAAAATTGGAATGTGAGTTTTTATTTTTGCCAAACCTATCTCATTGCAATTTTCGCAATAATAAACACATCACAAAAATTTCTGACTTTAAAGAAGTATTTTCTTAATCATTTGATTTTAATCTAGTAAGGCATTTATTTTTCTTTAATGCATGGTTTATTAAAAATGCAAGCATTCCTATAAAATAAAGAGTTTAATGTCAAGAATGTGTAACCAAGAAGTGAAATTTTTCTGAATCTTTATTTGATTTACTTCAAAATATTTATTCAAATCCCAAACGTTTCAATCTAAATGATACTAAACTATATAAAATGCAGGTAACTTAGACAAGAAATTTAAAACAAATACAACATATATATTGTAATTTTCATTTGTAATCTGTAAGCAACATAATAGAAGCAATAATTTTTCTATTTATTATTCACCAGGCAAACAGCACACTCACACATGAATAAGATTCATTTACATAGAAACTAACCTAGACTTCCAGTTGTTGATGGTTTTTCTCCATCTTCATCTTCACCTTCACCAAGGTCATCATCCTACAATGACAAATGAGTTACTGCCCTTGAAAAATAAAATTTCTCAATGAAGTTATAACTAATATAAAGACATTATAAACAAAAAGCTTTATTTAGAGTCACCATGGTTTACAAAACAAGGACATCATTGTGATAATTGTGGACTGCTGAATCAAACCTAAATTCAGTTATACATTTTGCTATGGAACAGCTAATGAGCAACTGAGTGTATGTCTTCAGAAGGTTGTAAAACAACAAAATAATTAACGGTAATGTTCAATATTAATAAAAGGATACTAGATAAAAGACAATAAGACAGAGACATTACAAAACAAATTCACCAAAAATAGACTATTACTTGTTATGGACCATTCTGTGTAATAAAGAACATTTTGTATTGATATAAGTTAATATTTCATCTCAAGATGTGTTGACAACGAAACAACAGTTGCTGATGTAATTCCATTTCATAAGAAAAGTGATGAAAACTTACCATCTTTGAAATTCGTCTTGCATATTCACATGTAATGTACATATAACTCACAATTTACGTGATTAAGTTAGATATGAAATTCATAGAGGATGTTATAATATTGGGAAATGTTTAGCCCCTAGTTCCTTTAAAATAACCTTTGTGAAAAATATCAAGTTAAAAAGTAATTCTCACAGGACAAGTATAATTGTTTCCCCATTCATAAACCAAAATTTTCCAACATCATCAGACCATGAAGGTATAATTAAAAAAATATTTCTCTTCCATGATCAAACTATCCTTATATAATTAAAGAGTCAATTGTAATTCATGGTGCTGTGTAAAAATAAATTTAAACAAGATTGAAATTCTGTGAAGTGTACAACAAGCTGCATCTGTGAACAATTCGATAACCGATTCTGAATGCATGAACTATGAAAAGGTCTACTGGTACAAGAATTTAAATGTTACTCAAAACATTGGTGGATTTCTTTTCAACTTTTCTACTCCATGCTTTTACAATAGAAATATAGCAAGAATTGCTAATAACTTTTTTGTCTTCAAAATATAAATTCAATTTTGAATACAGATTATTTTACGAAACAAACAGTATGTGTAGAAACAAAGCAAGAAAGGACACTTGTTTTTTGTGTAGTGAGCTTAAAAATATCATACATAAAAAACCAAAAATGTAACAGTCAGGAATGTGTTTATTGTAACAGAAGTTTAGCAGATAACAATAGTGAACCAACTGATCAAAAAAATGAACAAGGGAGATTTTGTATTTACAACAATGAATTACTTCATCTGACATTGCCAGAAGAGGTTCTAAAATATGATCACTTCTCTTGTCGGATTCAACCTCATCAACACCTTGAACTGGTTCATCCTATAAAATTTTGTTATTAATTTAATGCATTTAACACAAGTTCTGATTACTCTTAACTTTCATGTAGACTTCCAATCCCCACAAAAAGATACTTTAATTCTGAAATTTTTGCATGCATTTATTACTGTGATAGTTGAACAATGGACACAATGTGAAATTATTCATACATATAATGCTCTTAACATTTAAAATGTGAGTTTTTATTTTTATGAAACCTATTCCATACAATGCTTTCACAATAATAAAAATATAACAAACATTTCAGAATTTACAGTATTCATATATTTTTCTTGTTGTGCATTTTTTTTTTATAGATATTTTCACTTGTCAAAAAGGTAAATAAGTCATCAATAGAAAATGTATAAAATAAAAGAGCCCTATGAACATAACTTTACCTCACTAAAGTGTTAAGTTTATTTTTACAATACAATCAATATATGAATTTGATTTTTTTTAAAGAAGAATACTGAAAAAGTGATTAAATGATGTGTTAAGTGTATGTTGGTGTACTTGATATCTTGAGTGTATCTTGGTGTATTTTACCTCCTTTCCAACGGGTGATGTCTGTAAAGTTTTAAACCATCAGTAAAATTTATCATAATAGATTTCATATTTCAACATTAAAAATGTATTAAACTGAATTCAATACTCTAAATATTGCATTCAATAGAATTAGAAATAGAACATGCTTAAAAACTTCTCAAAAGAGTAAGAAAGGTTTAACTGTTAACATTTAACATGTACATTCAAAGTTAAAGAATTTGTGCTTCATAAATTATCAATCATGCATTACTAGACGTTACCACCCTAAACGAAAAAGGAATTGAAGGGCACTTTTAGATCCAATAAATATGAGAAGCTTTTCCTAAGTAATTTTCTATATCAATCAGGGCAAGGTACACAGGGGGGAAATATTAGATTTCAGATTACAAAAAAAGTAGGTCAAAATCACAAAATTTTATGAAGGACATAGGGTATAAGTGTTGTCAATCAAATTTGTGAATCAAGTTTCCAATAAGCTGTTTTCATGCTTTTCCCATAGAATCCTACATTAAAATGTTTTATATTTTGTCAAGACTGCAATATTGGTTCATAAAAGATAATTTATAATGTTTTTAAATACAGTTCTGAGGACGATTCATGTCAAATTTGGTCCCCATTGGCCAACTATTTGAAGAATAGACCATGGATGCCAAGCCATGAGAAAAAACTCATACTAATCCTATGTCCCAGGTGAGCTAAAAACTGTGAAATTTACAATGTGAACCAAATTTAAAATAGATATTCCATTGAACAATTGACTACCTCTTTAAGCCTGAATAACATTTATACAAAAAAGTTTTTCTGAAAAAATAAGACTGATTTATGTTAAATTAAAACTTAATAAAATTAAGTCAGATTTCATACTTTAAGTATGATTTGTGAATAGCTGTGATTTTATAAAACATTTAAGTGTTGTGATTGTGAACATTCAGTGAGTAATTTACCTGATGGATATTCTCATCTGATGACTGGAATTTTCAATAACAAAGGTTTAAATATAAAAGAGAAGCTTTCTATATCTTATTTCTTTAAATATACTGAGAAGATATATCTCCATTCAGTTCAGTAAAAAAATATATATAAAACACTGGACAATTTAATTAAAGACACTAACATTTTTTCCTTAACTGAACCATGTGACAATTCTATTGTAATAACAAAACGGAACAAGTTAACAAATAACACTTCAACTGTAAACAAACATCATAAACAAATCAACAAATTAAAGCTTACATTCTTAGCATATTCATCTTGTTGAATCATACTTAGTAAAAACTACAGAGCAAATACTATGAATTAATCTATCATTAAAATGTCATAATATAAACACCCTAAAAATTAGCAGCATCCACACTTGTCTACAATTGATTCAAGTCAGTCACAGTATTAGAGCATAAAAGTTGAAATCTTGGAACTCAGGTAACCCATCCCCTTTTTGATGCTTTTCAAAACCTCTTTGTCATTTGATCTCTGGTGGAGTGTTGTCTCATTGGCAATCATACCACATCTTCAAAGATATTCCCAATCTATTGTGATGTCTGACATTTTGTGCAAAAAAGTTTAAAATCAAAACAAAAATGTTCTTCCTTCATATGTTTTCATGATACTGAACATACATTCAATTAACTGTTAAACTTAAAAAAGATTATGTAAATTTCTGTGCAGTGAATAAATGTCACAAATTGAATAAATATTGCAGTGGCAGTTTGATATATAAAATGGCATATAATTATTTAGCATCTTGTATAAGCTGCATCACCTAGCAACATAGTTATACCACCATGAGGAAGACTAACTGTATATTATAAGTTTAACAGCTTCAGTTCCATGTTTGAACAGTATTAGGATTTGAATTTAGGGCTTCATGAACTTTTTATTATATAATATATTAAAAGGAACTGACTTTTGGTCAGGGTTCATCTGTACATGTTATTATACAACAATGACTACCAAAAAAAGAATGCAATCAAAGTCAAAATACATATAAAGGAGAAATATAATCAAAATATACCTTTAAATTGAAAGATTTAGATAAAACCATCTCAAAATCAACTTCGCAAGATATTGTATGTTGTTTAATAACCTTTAACACCCCAGTAATACATATTTCTTTTTGTTTTTTTATCATCATCCTAATGCGTTTGAAAAGGTTATTCTTAATTCGTAAGCATACTTTTTTCTAGTAGGCTGTTATGTGTTTCACTTAAATCTGAACAGTAAAAATGTGACGAATCATTTCCCTTATTCAATATCACACCATGGATTTAAAAGAGCTCACTTTTTTTATTTTTTTATAAATAGTTTGAGCTACATGTAAAGAAGGTTAACATTTTTTGCTAAATAAAAAATATACTCTGAACCTTACTGGAGAAAAGTATTTGTACCATAATATGTATCCGAATATATTTGTGGTCATATATAAATATAAATTATGTGATCAAAGAATAGCAAAACTCTATAAATAGAAAACCATGTGATTACACCTGGTTTCCTACAGCGAACACACTAATAGCCTTACATCTTTGGTAGTGGCTTTGGTAACAGGTGCTGGGACATTTTTCTTCTCCTAAATAAATCAGCTAATGTAATGCCTTAGTGTTTATATAATGAAATACTATGTAAAAACACCTAAAATATTAAAATCCCTTAAAAATATAAAACTAATTTAACATCACATAAACAATTATTATCATCAGTTTATATTTATTAAATCACAAAATAAAAAAATGAAAAAAATTACCCATCACACTTCTATCTCCCACTAATCATAAACTACACACTTTTTGAATGAAAAAAAACCCCAAGACTATGAGTTTGACATCCCCTGAAAACTGAATATATATATATATATCTTACCGCTGTTGTTGTTGGTCTGTTGGCTACTTCTATCTCAGATTTCCTAGCCTGCAACAAAATAAATATATAACATTACTATAGTAATATGATCTAACCCGTCACTTCAAAAAAATGTTCATTGATCTAAGCATGTTGCTTTTTCATTCATAGGAAGTGGTGCTATATTAAGAGAATGTAATTGTTATATCCATTCTCATTGGTCCAGATGTCAATTGACCAAATGAAGCAATATACAAGACCAGAATTTCAATTTCTTAACATTGGTCAATTATCAAAATTTATAATTGCAAATAGAATAAAAAATGTCAATGTTATTAACAATGGTTCATTTCATTTCAAAACAAAACCTTTATAGCTTGCTGTGAGGTGTGAGCCAAGGCTCCGTGTTGAAGACCGTACTTTGACCTATAATGGTTTACTTTTATAAATTGTGACTTGGATGGAGAGTTGTCTCATTGGCACTCATACCACATCTTCTTATATCAACATTAACATAAAAATGTTAAGAAAAATAGCATTGTAATTTACATAATATGTTTAATCAATTTCCACATCAAAATGCATGGTTATAAATCTTACAGCTAATTCAGCCAGTTCTATCTTCCTCCTTATTGTAACAGTATTCAATAACTTGTCAAATTCTTTGGATCTCTCCCTCATTGGGAAGTTACTAACTTCCAGGTTAGAGTAAAATGCCTATAAAAGTAAAAGTAAATGTAATATATAATATATAAATATTGTATATAATGGCAATAAAATTTATTGATAACTAAATGTTTATTTATGAAAAAAGGAGAAAAGAATACAATTATTAGATTTAAATACACCCCACCATCCATAAATAAATTTCTTATATGTCGAATATAAAATGTGTTTATTACATAACCTTAAATAGACAAAAAAAATCAGTACCTTCAAAGGCCCCAGTTTTCTCCATTTTTTCTCCCAAGTTTTTTTATAGCCAACTTTTCCTAGTTTTTGATAAAAATATGCAACAACTTATCATTAATCCTCCTAGAATCAAATAAAACTTTCAATGAAAAACGAATTGATACATTTTCGTTGATACATATCCCTAGGGAGATTCTAAATTGAAATAGGAAAACTAAATGTCTGTGTTGTTCTTGTTACCATGGAAAACTACAACTCACCTGTACTGCTCTTCCTTTGACTTTCATATCATCCCAGCATTCTTTCTTAATCATCTCTCTCAAATATATCTTAGCCAAATTGTCAAACTCAATTTCTTCTCTCACCTACAACAATTATATACATGTAAATATTAAAACACAAACCTAAATCTACTATGTTAAACCAAATATTGCCAAAATGTGGTAATTTTGTTATTTAATCATCGGTATGTCAAGGCAAAGTTTCACAGATTTTTTAAATTTGTACCTTTTATTATTGTGAATATTTCTTGCTCTTATATCTGATTGCAATTTTTTCTTCCTGAACAGACTAACAAGAGACAGTTTAAAACTTGTTTGCTTCAATGTTGGACTGTTTCTTTAATAATGAAAACAATTCACTTTTCCATCAGTTAGTTAAGGGGAGATAATTAACCATATCTTTTTATCACTTTAGTTGGGGTATTGAGTTATTATGCTTACTCTTTGAACTTCAGAATCAGCCTCTGTCTGCAATCTGTTTTGTTCTTCAATGTCAAGGTCAAATTCATGACGTCCAAGTTTCTCAATAGCTGGTAACGTTTCATTCTGTTTCAACATTTCTTGAATCTAAATAGAAAGCAACATTAAAGATATACACAGCACTACATCTCTACTTGGAACTTGAACAAAAAGTGCATTCATGATATTTTTTACTATAAAGAGATAAAAAAAAGTTATCCAAAAGATAATTCAAGCAAAGTAAAAACACTCCTTTTGGCAAACAGGAAGTATAACATGGAACAAACTGAAAACAAGTCACCTGGTATGGCATACCAGATGATACTTGGTGCAATATTTTAAGCAGCTATTACTTGTATTTGTTGAGAAAAATTAAAGAGAATGTGTTACTGACAGGAGGACACAAATAGTGGGGGTCTACTGTAAACCAACTAGTTTTCACAACTTTCGTGAGTAAAAAATAAAGCAATTATAAACCGTTATGATTATTACAAAAAAGGATCTCCTCTTATGAGAATCCATCTACAAAGTCAGAAAAAAGGGAAAACAAATTGTTGCAAAGTTGACAAGAAAGAGCTTAATGGGAATAGTTGTCTCATCATACCATATCTCCTTATTCCTATATCTATGGGCATCATGATATCTCTCTATAGATAGCATTCAGAATGAAGTTATAATAATAAATGATAAAGTAAAAATCTTACTGTTCTTCTCATATCCCTGATCTGTATTCTCAAATCTTTCTTTACATCATGATACTGTGCATCTTCAGCTTTCACCCACTACAAATGACAAAGAATGCCAAAGTCTTTGTTATAAATATATATACATATCAATGTATGAAGTGCAGAATTCATTGACACTATCGTTATTTATTTGTCAAATATTATCTTGGTCGTGGGTGTCATCATTTTGTAAGATAAAGGAAATAAGAGTACGGGAAAGTATTTGTTGAAATGTACTAATGTATTAAAAGTGTGAATTTTGTTTTTAGTAGTGGCTTTTTGAACAATGGGTTTACTTTTTTTTAACACATGCAAACTATGCAATCGAAATTTTAACAGAATAAACTTAAAAAGTAAAGATAACCGAATGATACCTCAAGTTTCTGCATATCTTGCCATGTGGCATTTGTAGCTGCTGTTGGTGTAGGTGTTCTGTAAATCTCGTCAGAAGCCAAAGCTTGCTCTAATGCTGCTCTTTCCTAAAGGTATATAAAAAAAATTAATTGCTTTTACAAAAGCTGTATAATTAATAACCTATAAATCAGAACATATAAAATTCAGAAAATATATTTCTTGAAATAATAATGACCAAATCAGACAATGATTGCATCATTGAAATTATTGATATTTAAACAAAATTCTTGATTATGGATCTGCTTTTTTTTTCAATGTTGATGGTTTTTAATAAAAGAAAAAAAAAACAGATTTACTAATTAAACTTTGACATTTTTTCTATTAACTTTTATCCTACACTTTGCTTTTCAGTATTCCTCATAAAAGAATGATTAAAATTATCTTTTCAAATGCAAATGGTATGTCAGATTATCAAACAAGTATCACCCATATAAAAAGTTACATTTCAAAACTCCCTATGTTCCAAGCAATGTGTTACTTTATACATGCATGCTCAACATTACCAGATCCTTGTCAGTAGGTTTTACATACTGTGGATTCATTTTATTTTCATGGGTACCAATTTTTGTGGATTTAGTGTAACTTGCATTTTCGTGGATATTTGATTATATGGTTTTGCAAAAGACCGCATATATTACTATAGAAAATTTGTAATTTATTGAACATTTAAATTTGCAGTTCCCCTGTACCTACTAAATACGAATCCACAGTACATGAATTGTAGTACAAAATGGTTATAATCTATCCACTGACAAAGACATTGATATTCACACTCAAAACACCATTTTGAAATAAGCTAAAATTATAAGATGAAATCATACAACATACAATTAACAAAATACAAATATTACATGACACAGTAATAATGATCTATTTGCCAACATTTGATTAGTTCCCAAACTAAATTTTCAGTACCAGGTATTGGTATGTCTGTTTAAAGATGTGTACATAAATATCTGTACTTTACATTAAGTATTGCTTCAGTTTCTTTTTAAGTAAAAAGTTCAGAAATTGGCAAATACATTTCACAAATAATAAATAATAATGTGAGATAATTCACAAACACCTATTGGTTACAGAATAAATAAGCATACCACAGGGGTCATACAAAGTAACATTTTCAATAATAAAGAATGTCATTAATCCATTAAATGCAGTGTTCTCCCGATGGTCTATTAGCATCATTGTAATGTGACTGTATATTACTTAAATGTGATGTTATCTGAAAATTTTGGGGGAATGAAATTGCAGTTTTTTGTTTCTTGCATTATGGATCTTAACCATTTTGAAAAAAAAGGCATAGAACAAATGCATGCTGCTTTACAAGACATAAAAGAAAATGAGCTTAATTAAATATTTGTGGTAAAAAAGGTAAAGAAAATATGAATTGAAAATATGAGGTACTTGACAGGCTTGATTTTTTACTTGCAATTTGAAACAGATGCTAACAACAGAAGGTAGCTGTTAAATCAAGCACTAACTTAAAATGACAACTCCAAATTCACTTTTTGTGTTCTTTCTAAAAAAAGGGAATTTCATATACTGTGTATGACCCCTTATAAGCATACGTTAATCCCATCCTTTGCACTCAGCATATAAATGTACAACACCAACAAGACCTGCAAATCTGTCAGGTCCACAGCAAGCTGAAAGAAAGAAAATATTATCACCATTTTTGTCATTATTTTACTGTCAACCTTTTCAGACTGGTCCATATCAGCTGATGCTGGTCGAGATGATCGAAAAGGAGGTACCCAGTCAGACATTTTTCTGACCACTTCATCTTCATCTTTCTGTCCCTGCATTAACTTTGTCTTCCTTGCTCGTGCTGATTCCATGGCTGATTTAGCTTTTCCTATTCCTGAGGATGAGTAGCTTAAAAATAAAAGAAATATCTGATTTAATTTAATTTAATTTAAAAAGTATGCATTTTTACAATAACATTAGCAAGGTAAAACTCTCTTTTTTTTAAACATAATAAATTGTAGAAATGTTTTTATTCTCTTTATTTGACAAACTCTGTCAACACTTAGTGGGTAAACTGAATATGCTGTACTGTTCCAAAGAAATTGTCAAAATAAATTTCCTTTTAATTTGAGAGTTCACAAAAATTATCATGTAATTAGATGAAATGTTTTGAGTTGTTTAAACACAATTACAAACTTGCTAATCATCAAAACCAATTATAAAACTATCAAGACTGCCATTACTCTTTTCAAAAATTGATTTGAAATTTTTTCTTTGGAAAAGTTGATGTGCCATTGGGTGTAGGGCCAGGTTCAGCTTTCTTTTACTTTGCTTCATAAATCTAATACTGTAAATTCAGAAACTATTGCTTGCATTTATAATTGTGTTGTTGAACTGTGGAAGCAAATATGAGACCAATTATATTGCAATTTCAGGAAATGCTGTCAAAATTAAAATTTTATTTTTACTAACCCAGAGACGGATTTAGAGGGTTTTCCAGGGGGCCTGGGCCCCCCTTTTGTGGGAAAAATTTGGTTGATTATTTAGGGAATCAGTGAAGCATGACTGGAGCGGACCCCCTCTTAGGCAGTCGGTGCCCACCCACCCTTATGAAAATTTCTGGATCATCTACTGTAACCCATTGCCGTAGCAATTTTTGCACAATAATAAAAACAATGCAAAAATTTATGTATTAACAGTATTTGCAGTCACTTACTTCCAGCTATAGCAGCAGATAACACCATCTTGTCCTGTAGTAAACACACTCTGGCTATCATCTGAGAAAGCTATGTTCCTCACACCACCACTGTGGTAGTCATGTGGTCTGATTGAAATGAAACGGTCCTACAAATACAAAATATCTCCATTTATCAACACAGAAAATCCTAAATGATATCATTTGGAGGTTAACAACCATAAAATTATTGAAAAGTATCTAATTGTGCAAATTAAATCAAATTTTAGGGTAACAATTTTTCAGGATTATATGAATAAATTGTTGTATAAGTATACACTATTAAGTTTCATAAAATTGAAGACAATTATATATTATGATGCATTTATTTACAATACAACTAGCTGATTATGTAGTTATTAATATATTCTATTCAAAGACTACAAATTTGTTACATAACCAAAACTGATGCACATACCAAACTGCCTATTGCTCTGACTTGTACGTAACCATCAATACCATAACTCGCCAACCATTTACCATGTGGAGACAGTAACAATTTAGCTCCTGGTAACTGATGTCCTGGGAACTCTGTTTCTGGTAACAAAGGCTCAGCATGACCCTAAAACCAAAAGCATTTTCATATGCAACATAAACTTCTGTTCAGTTTTTTTTAAATTATGTTTTCTTTAGTATAAACAGAATTCTTATTTATAATGATTGAATATACAAATTGTTCTTTGTGAAATGGATGTAAGAAATTTAAAAAATCAAAAGATTTCACACTTCCCACAAATAGCTTGGCACTTATGCTTTGTTATGTAGTTCCTGATAAGAAAATTTCAAAGAAAATTTCATACATGGCAATTATATGTAAAGTATTTAGTTAACAGAAAATCAAAGATGTGAAAATGCATCCCACTGTATATGATGCTCACATGAAGCTTGCTGTAAGGAAGCTCTGGTTTGTAGTCCTTGAGAAAAATGTGACCAAAATATGGGACCGATACACAGGCAGACAGACATAAAACCAGCATACCATCTCTTACAGTGCCCATACATACATTAGTTTCATTGTTGGAAAAACTGACTGTTTTATCAATTAATCAATATGTTTGCAATGCCATTAGCTAAATCATTGAAATTAATTCTTCAAAAACTGAGAAAACAACTTTTCAAGTCCTTTCTAAATCTAAATGATTTCTACCAATAATGACAAGTGAACAAAATAAACCTTAAAAAAAAACCATTTATTTTTACATGATACATTTGATCTGATAAGATACAGTAACTCATTTCACAAAAAATATTATGATTAAAAATTGATCGTAAGTTATACTGAAATGTGTATGACTTACAAGTAATTTTACTCTTAAGATTTTTTGTGAAAAGAGCCGCAGATGTTTCCCCCTAAATCACATTAACACATATGTCACAGATGTTAAAAACAAACCCTTTTCCACATCATTATATATAATAATTATTGATTTCACATCATGCCTGCAAGATCATCACAGCAGACTATAAGGTTGCCACCATTTACTATCATTAGTTAGATTAACTTTAGTTTTCAGCAACATAGCAGTATTATTATTATTATTCAAAACTTACAATCTCAAAACCCTTTATCTAATCTATGTAATGAAACGACCGAATAAAAAACACACAAAAAATTGAGCAATGATAACTCTGCTGTTAGAGGTAACATAAATTAATATCATTATTACATCAAAATCACCAAATTCTGGTGTGTGTTCTCCTTCTTCTGCTTCAAGATACTGCAAAAATACAAATACATTTTCTGTTCAACCAAATCTTTTAATGTCAAGTAAAAAATGGAAATCATTATCTTAGTTAAAATTCTAATACGGAATCAGGAAAAAAATCCCAATAAGATGAAAAATTTGACTTCAACCAATGATTCAATTGAATATTTTCTGTAAGACTTGTCCTGTCATTGATATTTGATACTTCTGTAGTTACCTTCTTTGGAACCTCATCGGGCAATGATATCTGGTGTAATTTTTTGGTTTTCTGGGACACAGCAAACAGCATGTTTCCTTCAGCTACAGCACCTCCAAATGATGGTATTCCAAACTTCAGTACCATTTTCTTTATTGATGCATCTTTAAAATCACATTTCAAACTTGTGACACTCTTCCTAGGGTCTGTTTGAAAAATAGAAAGAAAAATTAGAATTTTGAAAAATATTTGGTGAAAAGATTCTGTCATTGTTGAATAGAAAGATTGGACAGAACAACTGTTTACACTGAGATATGTCTTACCTACATTACAGCAAAATCAAATACAGAACTTAAAGAAGCTGCCATATTATCTATGGTACTGTTGATTATTACAATTCCTGGGATACGAATTTTGGTAGATTTCGAAGGTAAAGGTAAACCAAGAATTTAAATGTTTATAATGAAGTACAATATTTCAATATACTTATATGCAGACTTTGACAAATCCATGAAATCAAATATCGACGAAAATACATGTTTTCTCAATTCAAGGAATTGGTATCCACAAAAATAAATGAATCCACAGAAGATAATATGGAAGTGGATATCCCTTTTAAAGTACCAATATGGCTAACCTGATAAAAAAAACTTAGCACTGAACAACATAGTAAATTTAAAATCAGAAGTGTTTGGTTAAAAAATTAGAACTTGCAATAAATGAATTTCAAATTGGTGCATGTTTCCATACATTTCAGATATTACAATACTTATGTTAATGCAGATTGACCTCAGATGAGGTGACCATGAGGACACCTCATAAAAATCTTAACATAATCCAGAAGAAAGTATGAAAAGGCTTTCCAGCTTTCTTGAACTTGAAAATAAAATAGTATCATAAATGTATAAAATTAAATCATTTAAATGTTTACAAGACATTATTCAGGTATCAGTAATAATATTTTTAGTTTTGTCTTTCAAATTTTTCCCTATGCATTCATATTTCAGGAATTTAATTAATAGCAAAGATGATATGATACAAGATGTCCTTAAGAGAGATGTTGATGTTGGCTTAGTCATACATCATTTTGGGTACAGCCGATGTTCATATTTTATTTTACCATCATACCTTTCAAGATATCCTCTGGGAGCTCAAAATACAACAGGGCATCAGCACCATTTCTTCTGTTCCCAGAATTATTAGTTGTGATAGAAACTTTTACAACACCGTTGACTGTAAACGTTGTAATAGTCAAAATCTCCCCTTCAACAACTGTAAAAGAATTCTGAATTATTATGATAATGACATAATTTTACTAAAACCAGTTTTTAAATAATATTTGACAGTACAGATAGTAAATTTTATGATTTTCAAAAACTAAATATTTCTTAGAGATTATTGGTTTGTCCATTACCTGTGTAACCAATGGGAGCAAAGTCTTTGGAAGCCCTTCCATCTATTACAAAAACTTGTCCATTTTCTGCTCCAGTAATCAAAAAATTACCATCAACATCATACCTGCAAGCATTAAACAGAAAACAATTCTTGGGAATGTTTTTAATGTAAAAATCATCATCTAAATTTATAATATTAACAAGTGCTTACTGATGAGCAGCTTTCAAGTAAATAAAAAAAAAACAATGACCTTCAAAATAGAAAAAAAGTAAATGTTTGGTCATCAACATGGAAAAAGAATAATCGTATTCTATAAATTACAAAAATTGGTGGCTGTGCAAATAAAACTGTTACAATTACCTAATACATATGTACATCACTGAACTATAAAAGTTTGGTCATACTGGCCTTGTGACATAGATTTTGACCATTACTGAACTATAAAAGTTTGGTCATACTGGCCTTGTGACATAGATTTTGACCATCACTGAACTATAAAAGTTTGGTCATACTGGCCTTGTGACATTGATTTTGACCATCACTGAACTATAAAAATTTGGTCATACTGGCCTTGTGACATAGATTTTGTATTATGTAAGTCTGAAAAAGAGGCATATTGGATACCAAGGGGACATTACGAACTCAAAGCAGACAGAGAGTCCAAAAAAACACTTTATATTTTTAATGTGTTAAATGATGAGTTTCCTGTTGTTCTTATATAAACAAATACAAATTTTCATATCAAAATACATTTAATACAAAACTAAACAAAAAAAAAGGCCAACATAGAGGGGTGCAGCACCCTCAGCCCTTTCTGTGTTCCCCTCTACCCTCTCTGTGCACCTATCTTTGTCTTTTTAGTTCTGTTCAATGCATTTTTGTTTATTCTGATGGAAAATAAATACTTTTCAGTCCAAAGAAAATGATCTTAACTACTTGAAAAAGCTTTTTATGATGCAATAAATACTACAAATCCAGCCTAAATACAAAATTCTGTTCAATTATTTTAAGTTTTTGTCTATAAACATGACCACATTGTCCCTTGTCAGACAAGATACTGAACTAAAGGTCCCTTCATCTTAAATAGTCCTGACATTGCAATATCAATACCATCAACTTTATGTCCAACTAAACCTTAAAACTGCAGAGGAACACACAGATCGACAGCTACACAGACCTAAAAAAGCTCTTTAGGCAGTTGTGAATTAAAATTAAAAACATTTTTTTTTTATTCTAGTCATAATTCAATAAATCATCAAGAAATAAGAAAAAAGGATGGCTTTTTATTATTTTTATATTTACTTACGTCAAATTTGATACAGGTACATGGTACATTCTGGTGCTTTTTATAATTCTTGGTTTCTGAACATTAGTTAGATCAACAATCATGACATGTCCACTTACAGTACCAACAGCTGCAACATGAGTTAGAGGACTACAAGCCATACATGTTGCCTGTAATGGAATAAACATTATCAATAATAGTTTACAGTGAAGCAAATATTTTAGACCTTTGGTACTAATTTACTAGATTATTCAGGTTTCTGATAGAGAGATAGCTGCATGATCTGGTAAGTTTTTCCCTAGGCATTCATACTTCCTCTTCATGTCAAGTCAACAAAATATTCCATTACTGTGTAAAAAGATCTCAAACAATCAATCAAATCTAGTTGTTCTGATATGTCTATTTATATAAAATTGATGCTAACTAAAAGCAGATGTGTCAATAACTTTTATTGGTTAATATTTTTCTTAAAATGATATAATTTGCATCAACTGATAACAAATTAAAAAAAAAACATGATTCCGGATTTTATACTGGATGAAACCTCTAACTGTAAGAACAAACTTACTGGAACTCCAACAGACACAGATGAAACAAACTTTCCTTTGTCCATAGTCCAGACTTGTAATTCACCATCTTCTTTCACACTCTAGTTATTAAAAAAATAATTATCAATTAACTTTCAATTCTGAATAAAAAAGTTAAAAATAAATGAATACAAGAATCTTTGAAAAAGAGGTTAAATGGAATCTTATGAGGACAATTACTAGTGTAGCATGTGTAATAAATTAAATAAATAAAATACAGTATTTCAATGAAAGAACCTTTAGTGAGCAAGCTAACAATGTGATGAAGGATTGATGGACTAATATTCACTATAACAATTTGTTACAAAAACATTCTGTTTATGATTTTTTATTATTCCTTAATTCAATGTAGAAATTGAATACTGTGTTCAATACTTTTACAATGGTAAATACACTAAATGCAGATTGTAGAACCAACTTCAATAAAAGAACAGAGTTCCAATGTCCCCGCGTTGCACATATTTTATATTTCCAAAGGGCAAAACTCTTTTAAAAAAAGTTGATCTTCCACCATTATAGAACTTGTCCGAGATATTGCTGTTATTAACCTATAGTATAAGTTTTATAAAAATCTGGCAAGAATTGTACCTGTAAGAGCGCTAACAAGACCGGACAGACGCCCGGTATTTCCATGTCCCCCCGCAACGCATTAAACGGGGGACAACAAACATCAAACATTTTAATACTTTAAGGATTTGGATAAGGCTAAAGTAGAAGTTAATATTCAGCATTTTTATAAATCGCCCTATTATTAAGATAACAAAGTTGAACATTTAAGTGAGTTCCTGATGATATTGATGAGTTCATGACTTGAATAAGTGGACTGCAAGGATCCTTAAAATATACAATTCCCTACACAGTAACTATGAAACAAAAAAAGACATTGACTTATCTGTAAACTTACTACAACATGTTCATTTCCAGTAAGACATCCAATACCCATTACTGTTCCCCAGTGTAAATCTTTGAGTAATTTGAGAGAGTTTGGAATCCCTGCTTCATACAGATGTAGAGATCCCTAAAATAGAAAAAAAATTAAACATTATAGACCTGTTAATCATTGTTATAATTTTCAGTATAAAGATTTGATCTGTTTCTTTTGTTAAATTCTACTCCAGAAACTCCATTCTCTCTTTTCTGCCTCTTATGTTATTGCAGATAATGCAATATTATAAAGATAAATCTCATACAAATATAAACAGATATGTCTGAATCAAGGATCCGGAAATTTTTTCACACAATTTCGGTCATTTTGAGATGATTGAAAAGTTGGTGCCCCTTTCAAATTGTTGATGTCAAACTAGATTCATACTCATAGCATCAACGAACTTGTATTGATGTTTCATCGCATTTACTAAGTAAATTTCTTACCATTTTTCTAAAAACCTTCAAGAACAGTTTAGGGAAGGCATCAGTTTAAAATTGAAATGATTTTATGATTGAAACCGGTACGTTTCTTTCGATTTGACAAAATTAAAACCTGGAAGTTTTGCGATAACATTTTAAAGTACGAATAATTCTGGATTCATTTCCGGGATTTCTTTTGTTTATCAAATTGACAGGAAATCACCGGCTTCTTTTTATTTTATTACCTTTAAAAGTGTTTGAATATAACAGATTATAGTTGCACTCGTTTATTTTAACATGAAATCAATTTGCATTTTACGATTAAATTTTTAATTTGCTGAAGACAATTTCAAGCATGCGTATTACATAGTAAATAAAGCACATGTGTTACTCATGAAAAAATACTTTTTTCTGCGTCAATTAAAGTAAGGTTTATTTTTAAATCAGAATTTATGATTGTCTTTGCTGAAAGTAATTAAATAATGAATACACTTGTCAGGGAATTTTAATTTGTTAAAGATATTATTCTGAGCTTGTGATCAATGTGACCAATTGTCAGGTGTGAATTAAAACCACAGGTAAAAAGTGATTAGTGATCATTAGCCAATGTTTCCCGGAGGCATTGATATAGATATAAGAAGGGCCCTCAGGATTATCAAACTACTGGAGTGACAGTTTTATTACAGGAAAGGGATTATAAACAAAAACAAGTGATCACAAGTGGAAAATGGCGATTAGGAAACCCGATTTCAAACATAAGTTAATGAAATGACCGAAATTAATTCTGTTAAAAAATAAAATTTGTCCTAAATACAAATTACTCGTTTAGGACATATAGCTTTCATCTTAGGACATGACTGGCAAATATGACCGTTTCCGGACCCTTGGTCTGAATATCATTGCCTGATTTGATCCAACAGCTATGTCTTTTTAAAAATAGGATAATATATAAGTACATCTGAACCAGTGACAACTCTACAACAGATTTTATCCATCGGATCACCAGTGATGGTGATACAAGGCTATAAACACATTCTGTATACATAATTCGTCTAAATGACAGCCCAACAATGTTAAATCTGTAAATTTGCGGAAGCAAATTTTTTGCTCTTCCCTGGCCGGGATTCGAACTCATGCTACTGAGATATCGTGGCACCAAATATATATATATGATTAATACCTGGTAAATATAAATACTGTATATACACAGCATATCTATATGTTTATAATTGGGAGGTTGTTGATTGTTCAATATTACAGTGTTTTATAACATTACCTCACATGATCCTATTGCCAGACGTCTGTAACTAGGAGGGAAGCTCAGAGAGGTGATTGGCTGATTAATATTACATTGTTCTATGACTCTACAATCTTCTGATTTTGTATCTATCAACCTTAACATCCCATCCTGAAATTAAAATTATACTGTTAAGCTGAAAAAATCTGTATCTTCATAATGATTTTTAAGGCTCTTCATAGGATAAAAAGTAAAACAACAAAAATACCGAACTCCAAGGAAAGTTCAAAACGGAAAGTCCCTTAGCAATTGGCAAAATCAAAAGCTCAAACACAAATTGAAAACAACTGTCATATTCCTGACTTGGTACAGGCATTTCCTTATTTTCCTTCTTAGGATGGCTGTGTTCTCCCCCATTTTATTTAAATTACTCCATGGGATTAGCACTGTTTCCCAAAATTATAGCACCACAATTATAATACATTCTATCATAAAACCTATTCAGATAGCACCATGGTAAAAAAAAAACATATATCCTGTGAGAACCCTTAATGGAATTATCGATATTACACTCTCTAAGACAGTTACTGAATTTCTCTAAAGCACTGTCATGAGGATTTAAAATATTGTCTTTCCTCAATAGTTTTTTCAATATTGTCTGCATTTATCAGTAAAACATACTTATAATCAACAGTTGTAAAAGATGCAATCTTAAATGATTAAGCTTTAAGAGAACATAGTGTCAAAGATTATTTCATGACTTCTTACATGTTCATATGTAGACAATACAACTAACAGCTATAAGTTTTATTTACCTGTCCTCCAACATATAATCCTCTCTTATGCAAAACTATACAATCAAAACTGCCTTCTATCATAGAATTGCTGGTATCATCAGCTACAACAGAAAAATTTCATAGCAAATGTTATATGTTGAATGTTCAAATCAAGGATAAAACTAATCTGCCACAAACCTGCTGTGGGTAGTCTCTTGTTTGTTACTCATGACAAAAAAAAACAACACTGGAGTCGAGTGTTTTGTGACGAGGAAAAGGACTATAACATAAATGTCTCTTTAAATGTAATGCACATCTCCATTTATCCATATTAGTTAAGTCAATGGCTTAGGGCATCCATACCACTGTAAATCATGTGGTTACTAAAAATACCAGTATATGAATACAAATATATTTCTGTAGATTATATTTCTTTTTCATTTATTGTTTTGTACATAAATAAGGCTGTTAGTTTTCTCATTTCAATATTTTTACATTTGTCATTTCAGGGCCTTTTATAGCTTACTATGTGATATGAGATTTTCTCATTGTTAAAGGCAATAATAAAAATAAAACAATTATAAAATAATTTAATTTCGAAAACCACACTTATAAAACTGTAAGAATTAGAAAAAGAAAAAACTCTTGTTAGTAATATATTTGAAAATCTTTTCAACTGCAAATCTAATCTTTCAATTTTTAGTTTCGCTGTTATTTGTTGCCCAATATACATGATATATGAATGCAAATATTTAGTTGAAACTAAACACACAAGCAAAGCTACGATAAAATTCAAAAGGTTCATGTTATTTTTTCAAAGAAATGTCTATTTAAAATTCTGTTACATGTATTCAAACATGAGTGCACACTCTGAAATGTCTGGCCTGCTTTAATGTTGTAAATCTTTTAAGATAAGGGCTTAATACAAGCATCATAAAAGCTTAATATTATAAATGAGTCAGATCAGATGACCCTAGGGGCAAGACAGACTTGTTCTCCTAACAATCAATCCATACACCAAATAAAGTTAATCTTTTGACTACCGGGTATATGTGTAGTACATGTATAAGAGAAAAAGAAATAACCACGAAAACTTAAAATTCACAAATGAATATGAAAATGAGGTCAAGTTCAGATGAACCATGTCAGACAGACATGTATACCTTGCAATACTTAAATGCACCAACTATAGTTGACCTATTGCTTATTATATCTGAGAAAAGGACTTAACCACAAAAACTTAGCATTGACAAATAAACCATGAAAATAAGGCAGTGTTCTCCCCAGGATTTTTTTATAGCGCTGTGGTAAGCGTGCGATATTAGATTGATTCACCTTTCGTGTTTGTGAAGTAATGTCACATTTACTTACAACTGCCATGTTGGTTATATTATATAAAATAGAAAAAGACCTGTATTTTAATATACATATATATATGCATTATTACAAATGAAAATAAGTTACATTTTTATTATAGTAAGCTTTTAATTAAAATGCCTAGATAATTTTTATAATTTGATTTCATTACTATCTCTCTCAATCTTTTCTTATAAGAGTGATTATGTACAATATAGCACAGTAGGTATACTTTTTCTCTTACTTTAAGTTGTTTAACTTAACTAGTTATGTATTTCATTTACAGCTTCATATCTAACTGACACTAGTTTAAGTTTCCAATGGCCAAATTTGACTGTTTGCATTAACTTTTATTAATATTTACTTCTTTCAAATTAAAAATTCACAACTAAAATCAGTATTTTATTTCATATCAAAAGAAAAAGTGGATTACCTTTTCTATAAGTAATTAAATGTTAATGCAGACATGTTTAAGTAAAGGCTAACATACTTCCAAGATGTATCTAATAGAAACCTCATTTTTGTTTAATGATTTTTTTTTATTATTTAAGGTGGGTTAGAATGAAAAATTATATTTGCAAATTCAAATAAAAATACCAACTTTAAAGGTTGTGTTTGATAACTTTATAAATGTTTGAATTGTTGCCACCAAAATTATTTGACAAGATTTGACAAAACTAGTTATAGTACTTTTCCCGCCTAAATTGTCTCCCTTCTACAACTTCCATTTCCTGTTTACACTTTGACCATTTATCATTAAATGCCATTTCATATCCAAGCAATCCCCTGTTAATATTGATTTTCAAATAACATTTAATTGACATTTATTGATAATTGGATGGGATAACACAATAATTTATATTTATTTACGCGATTTTGTTTTGTTTTATCCTTAATTCGACTTTGAAAAAAAAACGATGCAAAGACAAGTAATCGTAAAATACGGGCTTATAATGAATCCCTAGACAACAGGAATACTTCCTCCAAAGCCATGAAGGTTAACCAGCTTAGTTGTAACCACTAAACAGTAATGAAATAATCGTAAATGAGAAAATAGACGAAGACCACGTTGTCAGAGAAAGGGTAAACCTTTCTTTAAATACTTTGGGAATGATTTATTGAGCACTATCCATCCATTTCATGAGGTTTATGCACCTTTTTATTCTTAAAGGTGAAAAACCCTGGGAAATAAGTAGTTCTTTTTGACAGTCCGAGATCTCCCAATGACGCCATTTTGTTCTTTCATTTAACTGATCCCTCCCATATTTGACTTTTATATGTATCTCGTCGATCTCAGACAAATCAACCAGTTGATCACGTGATCGAAATTGTACAGCTAAACACCAGAAATTTGAAAATTGAAAAACAATAGCGGTGATATTTGATTGGATAGCGCTGCGGTCTGTCCAATAGAACAGCGCTGAAATGTGATAGCGCTGAATACCGCATCGCTAAAACTGCCTGGGGAGAACACTGTAAGGTCAAGATCAAATATAACCTGTTGGACAGACATGTTCACCTAACAATCATTCCGTACATCAAATACAGTTGACCTACTGTTTATTGTATCTGAGAAACGAACCTAATCATATAACTTCAACCTTGATCACAGATCCATGATTTTTATACAGCAGTTGCTGAACCATGAAAATAAGGTCAAGGACAATGGACATATGACAGATAGAAACTTCATAACATAAGGTATCTGCATACAAGGTATAAAGCATCCAGGTCTTCTACCTTCTGAAATAAAGCTTTAAACAAATAGTTTACGCTTCGCTGCGGGATTGTAATCCCTACGTCTTTACATGCGAGACAAAAACTTAATTCTAAATTCACACTCCTTTTTCTATATGGTGTAAACATAAAAAGTTGTGTGTTATAAAAAAATCTATCATATGTTAATGTTATAATATTCGTACACAATCCGTGCTAAAAACTTACCACCAAGTTTTGTTTGTTTTCTAGCTAGATAATAAAAATTAAAGCAAAAATTTATTTGTGTACCTGTTATTTGTACAATAGTTGGCTGATTGCAGGATAAACTTAGATTATTTAGTGCATTCTTTAAAAAGATTAATATATCAATAAAAGTTTTCCTTCTGTTCAGTTTTGCTGATTCATTAAATTTTTTAACACAAAAATTCACCTGATGTTTTGCTCGAGCCATTAGGAAAAGATATAAAAAGTAAAGAAAATAGATACACAAAATCATTATAAATATTTAAAATCTTAATAAATATACAAAATAAACTTACACATGTTAATTAAATCTGTCTGTGACTGAAATCGACTATTTGTAGCACTTGTAGCCCTTGACATTGGTGTTTCTGCTCTGAGTGGGGGATAATATAATACACGGGCTTTTATTACTTCACCATCCACCTGTGGAAACAGTGAAATATCACAATTATACTAGTACGGTTGAATACATTAAAATAAATAAAAGAAGAATGTGTCCATGGGACACATGCAGATGCCACTGCTTGTAAATATGCAAGAGTCAATGTACTAATTCAAACCTACTGATGTTTTGTTTCTTTGAAATTTAATGTCATTTGTTTTGCAATTTTCAATTTATAAAGGGGCATTATAAACACACGAATGATTGAAATTTGTCCATTTATAAAGGGACATAACTTGAGAATGGTGAAAGTGACACCACCAAAATTTGAACTTGATCTGTGTTGATTTGTGGAAATAAGCATTGTGTATGAGTTTCATAACATTTGGTTGAGGAAAACTAAAGTTAGAGAACAAAATCACCTTGAAAAGTGGATTCAACAAGAAATGAATAAAGATTTTGAGATATAAGTTTTTTTCTGTAACTGAATAGCCATACTATACACCTTTTTTTGTACATCTAACTGGACTTTCATTTCTTACCCTCATAAGCTGTCCTCCTCTACATCCAATAAATAAATCTCCACCTGGGGTCCAGGCTTGACAAAGGGGAATAACTCTTGGGGTTAAGTCCTGTATCTCCTCCAACTGCTCAGCTTTTTCTCCCACTAGTCCAGCTATAGCTGGTCTAGGTACATCAATAGTGTAAGAAGTCATTCTAGTGGAGGCTCTTGTCGGTTGGTCACAATCTTTATCTTCATCTCCATAAATAGATGGCTCAGAAGGTGGAAGTTTCACTTTCCTGCAAAATATGTTCAAACTCAAGTGAAACAAATCGAAAATAATTTGATTTATACATATATTTATTTTTTTTAAATGCTGACTTAAATGTATCCTTACCCATATTTTTTACTTGTTGGCAATAAGTGATAATTGTTTCAGGTTTTTATTAAATTGTCTTTGCATTCATAATTCAATGAACAGTTTAAAAATTAAAGTAGTAAAACAACAGGCTGGATGCACCACCTTATAAAAATGAAGGCCACAGAGGCCAAAATGTTGATGAACAGTATTGTACTATACAAGAACTTTGTATCATTATACTACCATATTTGTAACCATAGGCATTCTAATAAAAAGACCTACATAAAAATTAAAAAAACAAGAAATGATTGTAACAGGATGCTGTTACGAAGTCTCCCAAACGAAGCTCCCATAATTCGTAATTCCCAGGGTCGCCTGACATTGGGCAACTTCCAGTGAAAATTGGTTTGGTCCAGTAAAGTTATATGCATTAGTGATGCCTGGGGACTAACCTTGTATATCATTCAAATCATCTTGGCATGACAAACCAGAATACATATGGTTCAGGGGTGGGGATCTCAACCATTTACAAGATACTAGAACATTGGGGGTGGGGAAGAACCCCTGGGGACTGGCCCTATACGTCATTCAAATGTTCATTACATGACGAACAGGAATATATATGGTTTACGGGTGGGGATCTCAACCATTTACAAGATATTAGAACATTGGGGGTGGGGGGAACCCCTGGGGACTGACCGTATACGTCATTCAAATGTTCGACACATGACAAATAGGAATATATATGGTTTAGGGGTGGGGATCTCAACCATTTACAAGATATTAGAACTTTCTCAAATGGCAGGGGGTGGGGGTGACCCCTGGGGACTAACCCTGTGTTTCATTTGATGTGCTTTATCATGACAAACCAGAATATATATGGTTTAGGGGTGGGGATCTCGACCATTTACAAGATATTAGAACTTTCTCAAATGGCATGGGGGTCGGGATGACCCCTGGGGCCTAACCCTGTATATCATTCAAACCATCTTAGCATGACAAACCAGAATATATATGGTTTAGGGGTGGGGATCTTGACCACTTACAAGGTATTAGAACTTTCTTAAATGGCAGGGGGTGGGGGTGACCCCTGGGGACTAACCCTGTATTTCATTTGATGTGCTTTATCATGACAAACCAGAATATATATGGTTTAGGGGTGGGGATCTCGACCATTTACAAGATATTAGAACTTTCTCAAATGGCAGGGGGTCGGGATGACCCCTGGGGACTAACCCTGTATATCATTCAAACCATCTTAGAATGACAAACCAGAATATATATGGTTTAGGGGTGGGGATCTTTACCACTTACAAGATATTAGAACTTTTTTAAATGGCAGGGGGTGGGGGTGACCCCTGGGGACTAACCCTGTATTTCATTTGATGTGCTTTATCATGACAAACCAGAATATATATGGTTTAGGGGTGGGGATCTCGACCATTTACAAGATATTAGAACTTTCTCAAATGGCAGGGGGTCGGGATGACCCCTGGGGACTAACCCTGTATATCATTCAAACCATCTTAGCATGACAAACCAGAATATATATGGTTTAGGGGTGGGGATCTTGACCACTTACAAGATATTAGAACTTTCTTAAATGGCAGGGGGTGGGGGTGACCCCTGGGGACTAACCCTGTATTACAATTGATGTGCTTTATCATGACAAACCAGAATATATATGGTTAAGGGGTGGGGATCTCGACCATTTACAAGATATTAGAACTTTCTCAAATGGCAGGGGGTCGGGATGACCCCTGGGGACTAACCCTGTATATCATTCAAACCATCTTAGCATGACAAACCAGAATATATATGGTTTAGGGGTGGGGATCTTGACCATTTACAAGGTATTAGAACTTTCTTAAATGGCAGGGGGTGGGGGTGACCCCTGGGGACTAACCCTGTATATCATTCAAACCATCTTAGCATGACAAACCAGAATATATATGGTTTAGGGGTGGGGATCTTGACCACTTACAAGATATTAGAACTTTCTTAAATGGCAGGGGTGGGGGTGACCCCTGGGGACTAACCCTGTATTACAATTGATGTGCTTTATCATGACAAACCAGAATATATATGGTTTAGGGGTGGGGATCTCGACCATTTACAAGATATTAGAACTTTCTCAAATGGCAGGGGGTCGGGATGACCCCTGGGGACTAACCCTGTATATCATTCAAACCATCTTAGAATGACAAACCAGAATATATATGGTTTAGGGGTGGGGATCTTTACCACTTACAAGATATTAGAACTTTTTTAAATGGCAGGGGGTGGGGGTGACCCCTGGGGACTAACCCTGTATTTCATTTGATGTGCTTTATCATGACAAACCAGAATATATATGGTTTAGGGGTGGGGATCTCGACCATTTACAAGATATTAGAACTTTCTCAAATGGCAGGGGGTCGGGATGACCCCTGGGGACTAACCCTGTATATCATTCAAACCATCTTAGCATGACAAACCAGAATATATATGGTTTAGGGGTGGGGATCTTGACCACTTACAAGATATTAGAACTTTCTTAAATGGCAGGGGGTGGGGGTGACCCCTGGGGACTAACCCTGTATTACAATTGATGTGCTTTATCATGACAAACCAGAATATATATGGTTAAGGGGTGGGGATCTCGACCATTTACAAGATATTAGAACTTTCTCAAATGGCAGGGGGTCGGGATGACCCCTGGGGACTAACCCTGTATATCATTCAAACCATCTTAGCATGACAAACCAGAATATATATGGTTTAGGGGTGGGGATCTTGACCACTTACAAGATATTAGAACTTTCTTAAATGGCAGGGGTGGGGGTGACCCCTGGGGACTAACCCTGTATTACAATTGATGTGCTTTATCATGACAAACCAGAATATATATGGTTTAGGGGTGGGGATCTCGACCATTTACAAGATATTAGAACTTTCTCAAATGGCATGGGGTCGGGATGACCCCTGGGGACTAACCCTGTATATCAATCAAACCATCTTAGCATGACAAACCAGAATATATATGGTTTAGGGGTGGGGATCTTGACCATTTACAAGGTATTAGAACTTTCTTAAATGGCAGGGGGTGGGGGTGACCCCTGGGGATTAACCCTGTATTTCATTTAATGGACTTTATCATTTAGAACATTTTCAATTAAAAAGATTGTTTCTATCACAAACGGTTTTCAATTTATAATCATTTGAAAATTTAAAAAAATAAAATCCCATAGGGTTCTATAGTAAAACCCTCTTTTCTATTTGCCCCTCAAAGTACCCCTTTATAAACCCCATTGCACAAACAAAACCCTGATTGCACCACTAGACATGTTAGTCTAACATATTGTGAAACCCTAAGTTAATCTGACAAGCGGTTTTGGAGAACGGGTGCGGACAAGTTCAAATTTAAAAGCGGCGGAAGAAGAAGAAGAAGAAGAAGAAGAAGAAGAAGAAGAAGAAGAAGAAGAAGAAGAAGAAGAAGAAGAAGAAGAAGAAGAAGAAGAAGAAGAAGAAGAAGAATAATAATAAGAACTGAGCAAAAACAATAAGTCTTCCCAAACTTCGTTTGGGAGACTTAATAACAAATTGATCAAAACAAGCCATGCAATAATGATACATACAAGTATTTTTTTTTCCCCTCAGAAATTTCAAATGGCATCCTGGCATACAGAAAATTTCAAATAGCATCCTGTTGCTTAAATTCATAACAATGAAATTATAAACCATACACAATTTCATTAAAAATGATTAAGGTACCTTAATGTTGAAATGCTCTAGGGAGAAGACAGCACACATGCAAACAAGAATAAGTCCTGCTTATTATCATAGATAAACAAAATTGAGAATGGAAATGGGGAATATGTCAAAGAGACAACAACCCGACCAAAGAGAAGACAACAGCTGAAGGCCACCAATGGGTCTTCAACGCAGCGAGAAAATCCCGCACTCGGAGGTGGTCCTCAGCTGGCCCCTAAATAAAATTGTCTACTAGTTCAGTGAAAATGGACGTCACACTAAACTCCAAAACATATAAATGAACTAAAATTAAAAAAACAACATATATAAATCATCATGGTTATCCTATATCTGTAGACAATGCTTTTTTAAAAACTTACTGTGGCTGTAAAAGGTATTTATCATTGGACTGTTCTGTCTGCCAAAGGGTTATAGTTCTTTCTGTTGTTATACAGATTTGTCTCCAGCTGCCAGGGTTAAAGTTCATACTTGTTATTGGTTCTGTAGAAACTTTTGTTGATGTCAGTTTAGTTCCATTTGTATAATTCCTATGAAATACATTTCAATATTCATCAAAGCTTAAAAATACCTCATTACTCTCAGATTTTTTTTAAAACTTCATGTATTTTACAATGTGCCTATATATCTTTTAAATACAAGGAAGAACTTTCCATTCACATATTATAAATTTAGAAAAGTGTGCATTAATTACTTCCATTTGAATTTGATATCTTGTTTCATGAGCAAACTGATTATAAAATCTGCTTCCAAATAAAAAATTATTTATATCTTACCATAGTATGAGTTCAAAATCTGGGACCCCTGATACTGTGCATAGGTATTCACTTTGGGAGAAACTCATTTTGTGGTATTCTAGTTGAGTACCATCTATGAAAAGAACATTTTGGTATCATCATAAAAATTACAAAGCAACTATATGATAATATAATAAAAATAAACAGATGCACCATGAGCGCATGATACGCCCGTCGCTTTTTCAATAGATATAAACCAGTCACCAAAGCTTCATGAGAACTGCTCAAAGCATTTTTGAGTAATTGTCCGAAAAACTGGAAAATCCCCTTTTTTAATTAATAAAACCCCATAACTCGGAAAAACGTAAAATCCTTCAGAGGTCATACTGGTGTTATGTTGCTGCAGAAATTTCCTTGCGCTTTTGACTAATAACCAAACGTATTTTGTATAAATATGTGGTTTTTATTGAGTGCAAAATAACATTCCTTATCGCTTGTTATAAATTCATTTCTTCAATGAATACTCATGAAAAGATTTTTTAATAACATAGATAAATGATATAAAAATGTTTTGTTGTGAGAAATATATATATATATCAGTAACAAATCATGAGTACGAAAATTTGTGTTAACACATGCGAGCGTATAATTATTATTTTCATTTGTTCATTGAGCTTTCAATATATATATATAAAGAAATTTATTTTTCTTCATCATAAGTCCTTCTTTATAAGACTATAAATAGCCTATAATTATTTTTAGAATTCGACAAATTTAATGTGTAATAACGGTATTATTGCTTTTTTTGTTTTTATGTCCAGCTCAACTAAGTGGTCTATATTATATAATATTTTTACAACATTCTTAAATATATTACTCCTCAAAACTTTCTGTCATAATTTTTTTTATCATAGTTTAGGTATGTAAGACAGTAAGAGTAGTTCAGAGTAATGATTTACAGAACAAGTTTGTGTTACATTGTTTCAGAAGTTCCACATTTGATGGAACTATTGCCCTAAGACTTAAACTTTTCTCTATAATAAAAATTCATTTCTTTCCTTATTTGTAATTGTTACCTTGTAGCATCACCAATTCTCTGAATGTTGGGTAAACATATATGCAAATCTTAGGATTGAGACACTGTTCAGCTACAGCAAAACATTTGGCGTTTGGATGCACAGCAAATGGTCCAACACCATTTCCCTTGAAATTGAAAACTGTTTCTGCTCCATCTTCAGCCACAAACTTGACATTACTGCCACACTGGTAACATATGACATCCTTATCGATGTATTTAGCTGGTGAACCATTATATCCCTGAGCCCACCTAAAAAACAAATAATATTCATGAAATAACCAATTTCCTTTCCAAAAGGAGTGTCAACAAGTGACAAGAAGAAAAATTAATTGTCAAAAAATGATATACTATTCATTAAATTAATACAAATTAATAGGGGAAAAAATGTACAATTATACTAAATGACATGAGTATTGAAGTATATTTAAAAGTATATTTTATATATATACCACTAACATACTAAAATATTGAAGGAATACAATATAATAATAAAACCATGGTACATGTAAAAATGGGAAACTAATGATTACAATAAGGACTGTTGTGAACTCCTGGGTGACTAAGATGTTGCTTTGGGCAGTCTAGAAAAGTCAAGTGACGGACAGGAAAGAGACTTCTATGCCCCAGGTGGCTGAGGCCTGTCAATATCTAACACTTGCTAGCCCAACCCAAAAATCTTACCATTACCTAACCATTAACTTAAACTAAATGTCTTGATTCCATAGACTACTTTCACATTCCTGCATGTTCCTGTACATTTCCGAGATAAAAAGCTTAAGTTATACACCAATCTCAAATTGGTTTTTTTTATGAATGAGTTACAATGGTTGACCTAAGGTCAATCTGTGTAAATGAGTTCATTAAACAATAGTTTCTTACTGTGAATTAATAACTGTAAATGTACGGGAAAGTGCTAAAATTCAAAGTCATCTATTACATGTACCTCACAGAAAGAATTAATTGTTCAATGATATCATTAACTGAGCTGATTGATCCCTGGTCAACCAGCATAACACATTCATAAAAAACGAATTTAAACTTTATAGTCTATTCACTTGATTAAATATATCATCAGATTATATGTTTTCCTACGTCATATGAATTCGTACTATGCATTTTTTTTCAATGAAAATTCTGACATCACAATGCATTCTAAATAGCACAAAAACCCATAATATGAGGATGCATGTATTATAAAAACAAGAGTGCACACGCTGAAATGTCTCGCCTTCTTTACTAATCATTGATATTATGTTGATAGTCCTAAATATAAAGCTTTATTACAACTGTCACATAAACTTAACATTAACCAAGTAAACTAAACATTGACCAATGAACATGAAAAATGAGGTCAAGGTCAGATGAACCATGCTAGGCAGGCATGTACCGTTAACAATTCTTCCATACAACAAATATAGTTGACCTATTGCTTATAGTTTAAGAAAAACAGACCAAAACACAAAAACTTAACACTGAGCAATGAACCTTGAAAATGAGGTCAAGGTAAAAAAAAAACTGTGTGACTGAAAGTAGATCATAAAATATTTCCATACACCAAATATAGTTGAACTATTGCATATAGTATTAGAAAAAAAGACCAAAACTCAAAAACTTAACTTTGACCACTGAACATTGAAAATGAGGTCAAGGTCAGATGACACCTGCCAGCTAGACATGTACACCTTACAAGCATTCCATACACCAAATATAGTAGACCTATTGCATACAGTATAAGAAAAACAGACCAAAACACAAAAACTTAACTATAACCACTGAACCATGAAAATGAGGTCAAGGTCAGATGACACCTGCCAGTTGGACATGTACACCTTACAGTCCTTCCATACACCAAATATACTAGACCTATTGCTTATAGTATCTGAGATATGGACTTGACCACCAAAACTTAACCTTGTTCACTGATCCATGAAATGAGGTCGAGGTCAAGTGAAAACTGTCTGATGGGCATGAGGACCTTGCAAGGTACGCACATACCAAATACAGTTATCCTATTACTTATAATATGAGAGAATTTAACATTACAAAAAATCTTAACTTTTTTTTCAAGTAGTCACTGAACCATGAAAATGAGGTCAAGGACATTGGACATGTGACTGACGGAAACTTCGTAACATGAGGCATCCATATACAAAGTATGAAGCATCCAGACCTTCAACCTTCTAAAATATAAATCTTTTAAGAAGTTAGCTAACGCCGCCGGGTCACTATCCCTATGTCGAGCTTTCTGCAACAAAAGTCTCAGGCTCGACAAAAACGAATGAATTTCTCAGTTTGAATTTGAAGCTTTAGCAATTTCTTTGTTTTATTCACTAATATAGTTAAAAATGTGTATTGTAAGATTTCTCTTTTGTAACTTTTCAATTATTTTTTTTTCATGTTTTCGTGTTCAGAGTGTTCTACGGTATCTGGTCCGTTCGCCTTCATTGTTACATTTTTTTAATTCAGATTTACTTTTAATGACTGTTAATTGTAATTTAAAATGTTGATTAGGAATAATTATGATGTCTTTGATCTCACTGGTTGTTGTATTAATTGGCTTTGGTGGATTAATAACGAAAATTAACTAGTCAGCTTGGAATGAGTGAAAACAATGATGTACGAATTGTAATTAAGACTTGGACATGAGAAGGAATTGTTTTGGCAGCTAGGCTTCTTTGATATCAAGTTTGTTATATTAAGTAAATCATGGTGTAGAAATGTAGAGTGAACGGCTGTGTGATTGGGTCTTTTTAGTATTTTTTTTTTTATAGAATATTTCCATTTAAAACAGTGATCTTTATAATAATTGTGTTAGGACATAACTCAGAGACATAACTGGTGTGTGATGCAAATGACAAAGTTCGAGTTGGATCTTGTTATAACTCTTAATAATTGTTTAGAAATTAGTGTAATGTATCAATAAAGATAAATACAAACAGATGACTTGATCTTGACTTCAGTGCAAATCAAAGAAAAACAATCATCTGGTAGCAGCAATACAACAAAAATCTGATAAATATTAAGCTAAATTTAAAAGGCAGTGTCTGCGCCTACCCGCATGCAGGTACGAATAGTCAAATTGCCGTTCGTAGGCTACGCATACCCGCATCTGGTTTAATAATAAAATGCCGTCGGATCGGGAAAGAAACGTGAAATATATATGAAAATTGATAATATTGGGATTTTGTGTATTCCGAGTGAAGTTCAAGAGTATGGGTATTTCCCCAATTGGTACGGAATTACCGTGAGGTGGTGTCCATTCGGGAAATTAAACCAAACATTTTATCATCAAATGATACCACTAGGAACCTCCAATAAGACTATATACTATACCATAAGACTACAAGGAAGAACTTACTCTTACAAACTTTTATAAATATATTTATACAACATTTACTTTTCTTTCTATTTATATTCTCTATGTCTTTTCACTTTCACTTTCATTTTCTATTTATATAACGTCACCATAACTACCGTAATTATACTTACGCTTCCGGTTAACCGCTCAACCGCAAGAAATGCACCTCACTGTAAATTTTATATGTAACATTGTCCTGATGGCGCCATATATTATGATGTTAGAGAAATAAAAGGAAAACTAAACAAAGCCCAAAAGAAATTTCAATTAAAAAGTACACCAGAAAATTTTGAATATGTTGTAGAAGCAGAAAATGATTTTGAGATGACAAAAAAAGATGCCCAAAATAAATGGTCTGAAGACTTGAATGAAAAAATTGGAGAAGCAAAATCTTTAAGGGAAAAATGGTCAAATTTTAAAAAACTAACTAAAAAGAAATCTGAAAATTTAGTACATCCATTGCAAGAAAATAATGGAAATATTCTTTTCAATGAATCAGAAAAATCAAACATCCTTAAAAACACCTTCTTTGAAGGTTATCATTTAAAGGCAAATGAGTTTAATCAACAATTCTATGATGACATCACACAGCAATACATCAACATTAGTACTTCTAATCAAGAAGAAAATACAGATAACATCAAGTACAATGATTATATTACCATGGAAGAGTTGGAAGGATCCATCTTTAAATTAAGAAAAGAATCAGCTCCAGGTCCAGACTTCTTCTTTACAGAACTTTTCATCAATGGTGGAAGCCAATTAAAATCCAAACTTTTAGAAATCATTAACCAGTCATGGGAAGAAGGAATTATTCCTTTAAATTGGAGAAGAGCAAATATCAAATTTATAAAAAAATTATATAAACCAAATTACAATTTACCGTCATCTTACAGACCTATCAGCTTAACTAGTGTAGTGGCAAAATTAATGGAAAGAATTATAACGTATAGATTAGAAGGATTTGTAGAAATGAATAACATCATGGACCAAGAGCAAGAAGGTTTCCGACATTTTAGAGGTACAACAAATGCCTTATTATCTTTAACACAAGCTATTTTTGATGGATTTAACAAAGACAAAACCACTATTGTAATTTTTATCGACTTTGAAAAAGCTTATGACAGCGTTTGGAGAGAGGGTCTAATGGTAAATTTGTACAACAACAGCATCAAAGGAAAAATGTGGATGTGGATAAATGCCTTCCTCAGTCACCGAGAAGCTAGATGCATGGTAAACAATTACAAAAGTCCTTGGTTCCAAACCAGTATTGGTTTACTACAAGGATCTGTTATCTCCCCAATCCTGTTAAACATCTTCATAAAAGATATTTTTACAGACTGCTGTAAGTTTGCAGATGATGCAACTATTTGGCATTCACATTCAGATCCAAAAGTTATACAAGAAAAACTACAAAAAGACCTCAATCAAGTACTAAAATGGAGCAATGATTGGAGAATGAAACTAAGCATTCAAAAAACAGAGTACAGTATATTCAGTAAAGAAAAAAATAAAGTCCAAAATATCAAACTAAAGCTTGGTAACACAATTTTAAAATACAACCCTAATCCGGTTATACTTGGATTAAAATTAGATGAACAATTAAATTTCAATAGTCACATAGAATCTACAGTAAAGAAAGCCAAAAGATCTTTAGGAATTATAAGAGAAATCAAGGGAATAGCATTAATACCAACCAAGACACTTATTCAAATATATGACAGCTTAGTATGTTCAATTTTTAATTATGCTAGCAGCATTTGGCAATCCAGCACTTCTGGTCATCTTGACAAATTGAATGAAATACAGAGAAAAGGGTTAGCAATGTGTTTAGATTTACCATCTCACTCATCTCTTGAAGCATTAGAAGTACTTAGTGGAACATTACCAATAGATTTAAGAAGAGAAGAAATGGCCATCAGAGAGTTAGGAAAAATTAATTCATACAGTAATAATGTCCCAATTAAAAGAAAATTTGAAATTTGGAAAGAGGAGGAACATCCAGAAAAATTTATATCACCATTAGGAAAAATGTATCAACAAACAGAAGACATGAGAGATACAGAATTGGTTGATATAAACAAGATCGAACCTCAGTATGAATACCAAGGTCTGGTATCAATTATCAGAGCCCCTGACTACTGGCGTAATATAGGCAGCTCAAAATCCAGAACAACAGCCCAAATAGAGGAAGGAAAACAAATTATCTCTGAACAACTCAAATCTCAAACTCCAAACACAGCAGTCGCATTTACAGATGGGTCATGTTTGGGAAATCCAGGCCCATGCGGTGCTGGAGCTATAATTTACATCTATGATCAAGAAGAAAAATTAAAAAGACCTGTATCTAACAAATGATCAATCTTGTTAGCTGAACTGATAGCAATAAAAATTGTACTTGATTACATAGAATCTTTTTCAAAAACACAAATTGAAACTTTAACTATATTTTCGGACAGTCAAACTGCATTAGGAATCTTAACTCTAAATTGGAAAAGTGACAACTATCATCAAACCATTAACAAAATAAAAGGAAAAATAAAAAATTTAAATGAACATGGAATTTTAATCAACTTAAACTGGACACCAGGCCATGCCAACATAAAAGGAAATGATGAGGCAGACAACTTGGCAAAAGAAGCTGCTAAAGAAGCTGAAACACTAGCAGTTGATGACATAGTATTTACAAAACAAGATGTAAAAAAGGAAGCTAGAAATTCCGTTACAAAAAAATGGCAACGCAGATGGGAAAACAGCAATGCTGGACGTCATTATTTCAGATATCATCCTGAAGTTAAAAATAAAGTAAAAAAAGACTTCTCGTCAAAAAAATGTACAACATAATCAACAGTTTACGAACAGGTTATTCCAAATTAAATGCATACCAATTTATAATAAACCAGCACATTAACTCTGAAACCTGTGATCACTGCAAACTAAAAGAAAATGTACAACACTACCTTTTTGAATGTAATCTGTATTCAGATGCTAGATACAAATTATTTCATCAAATATACTTCATAACAGGACATATTCCAACCGATTTAGACAATTTATTAACAATCAATTTGCCAAATGCAGAAAATATCACTCAACTATTAGCGGAGTACATAGAGGAAACAAACCGTTTTAGTGGATAATTTAATACAATTTTTTTTTAAATTTTTCATGTCATTTCATTTATCTGATTAACCAATTTTTTTCTTTTTTTTTTTTTTTAATACATTTTTTCTTTAATATTTTTTTAAAAAGCGCCACCTACAATATCTAAGTACAAAGGAGAAACTACATTATAGATTAAAATTTTACAAGAGAGGATAATTTACAAAAGAGATTACCCTGTCATCACGACAAAGATTGAAGATTGGCGCCTATCTATAGGTGAAACATGTCGACCAAATAAACAGATACTTTGCGGTAAAAACTTGAGTGTTGTTGTCTTTATTGTTGACATAACATATATATAGTATAATAGTCCCAGTTCATACTAACAAAATACCAATATTATCGATAATTTCCGTATATATTTCACGTTTCATTAACGATCCGATGGCATTTTATTATAAAACCGGATGCGGGTACGCGTAGCCTACAAATGGCAATTTGACTAATTGTACCCGCATGCGGGTACGTGCAGACACTGCCAATTTAAAAACTTTAAGATGCTTTACTCAAATAATATACATTATACAGCAAGACAACAATATAAAATAAAAATCAGGGCGAACGGGTATTAGGGCAAACGGACCCAGGGCGAACACATATAAGGGCAAACAGGTACTAGGGCGAACGTGAATCAGGGCGAATAGACACTGATTCTTGTTCTACCTGCATATCATAATTTCTATGCATATTGATGCTGAATCTGATATGTTTTCTGTTCAACAGCTCAATAAATATATAAATACGTAAATGATAAACTGATTTTCGATGCATTTTTTTCTGCTTAGAGCTTACGTTAGTTCGAGTTGTCCAATAGCGTCCATTTTTTGTGTATTTGTTTTCCTAACAAAAAATGTCAGGTGCCTTCTACTTTGAATCCGCCATTGCGCTTCTTTGTTGCTATGTACAACTCTCGCGAGTTTTACTTTGTATCAGCTCCAAGAAAACGATAATACCTAGCATTAAAATATAATGTAAATAGTTTTTTTTTTATAATGATAATATATTCTGTTCATATTTTTTATGTAAATAATATTTGAATCTCAAATTATGGATCTATGACGATGTTTAAAAAAAATATCTAAATAATAAAATTATCTTTTCGTTATTTCCAGGTCACACTTTTACCGGCTGACATGTGGATTGAAGGACGTTTAATAACAGAAATATGCGTTTGAAATGATTTAAACAATTAAGTCTTGCATAAATTAACGAAAACATGCTTCCTGACGCTAGAAAACCGCTCCTTAGAATTTTATGTCAATATAAGTCAAAAACGAACAGCTGTGTCCTGCATCAGCAAAGAAATTTTTGTAAACAGTCACTTTTTGAAAACCAAAATGTTAAGAAATTTGCTCAGACAATTAATTCAAAAATCATTGCCATAGGGGAATTGTTTGTGCAACAGTGCAAAGCAGTTGCAGCTCAGAGATTACGGAGATCATTCCAGATAGTTGCTTCTTATAGACGAATGTATGGTGACAATTCTCTAAAGAGAGTCTTAAATGAACTAGGAAGTTCTCTTTTAAAACACTGTGAAAAAAGAAATCTCTTATTCCTCTGTGGTTTGCCGTTATTCAAGTGGGAAGAGGAAAGGATATCCGACAAAGAACTTAATAGGTGCTTATTTTATTTATTTGTCCAAAGAATAGATGACTTTTATTTTTAATCCATGCATTTTCCCATACATTTCCTATGTCATAATGCTTATGTTATCATACCACAGGTCACAGTAAGAACTTATTGTTCAATGACATCATTTGCACGGATTGTCATATGAATATATTCTATAAGAAAAGAACTACATGCATGACATGTATATTTATAACAATAAATTTTAGATGTGTAAATATTTTTGTAATACAGCAACAAGGGGCTGAATGACAAAGTTTTGAACTCATGAAAATTATTAAAGACTCACAGTTTTCTTAACCTGAAGTTCATTTATATTTTGGGATTGCGAGGGTGTTACGATTTGTTTGGTTTTTTTTATCATATACATTATTAACCTGACTATTCCAGTGTTAAAAAAATTATCACTCCATTTGAGGAATCCTAATTATGCCCCTGCCGTAGCGAAGGGGGCATTAAGTTTTACCCTTGTCTGTACGTACGTACGTCCCAAAGTTGGTTTCCGTTCTCTAACTTTAGTTTGTCTCAACCAAATGTTATGAAACTTATACACAATGCTTATTACCACATAATACAGATCAAATTCGAAATTCGGTGGCGTCACTTTCACCATTCTTTAGTTATGCCCCTTTATAAACATAAAAATTGCTGAATATTATGTTTACGTTCTTCAACTTTAGTTTGCCTCAAACAAATGTTATGAAACATATACACAATGCTTATTACCACATAATACAGATCAAGTTTGAAATTGCGCGCATCACTTTTACCGTTCTTGAGTTATGTCCCTTTATAAACTTATTCTGTTCTCTAACTTTAGTTTGCCTCAACCAAATGTTATGAAACTTATACACAATGCTTATTACCACAAAACTCAGATCAAGTACAAATTTGGGTAGCGTCACCTTTACCGTTCTTCAGTTATGTCTCTTTATATCTTTATATGATATGCAAGCGGGGGCATCATCTGTGTCCCATGGACACTTTCTGAATAGGATGGTTCTGATTTAAAATATTTGTGTTATAAAGTCTGTAGTATGGACTCAGTAGATTCATCTGAGAATCACCATTTCAAAAAGTAAGTCTCTGGACTTGTCCTAATATATCCTACAGTACGCACAGAGAGTTTGTAATCGCGAACTCTAATCAAGGATTTCGGAGTGTAGCGGTGTCACACCGCGAATCACGGATTATACTCCCAATTTCCTCCAAAGATTCTCTCCCAACACCGCGTGGCTGTTAATTGGTTTATTGCCCATTGGATGTACTGAAAATTAATGACGCGTGACAACATAATCGGATTAGCCAGATTTATTACCTTTGTACATTTAATCGATCTTGATTGCACCTGTGTGCTTTAAAACATGGTATTAAAATTTCCTTTCTTTGACAGATAAAAATGTGACATTTTCATTCAAAATAAGATAATTATTCTTGTATGTATGTCATTGTCATTTGAAATAAAACGTACAAACGTATAAAAATACGAATAAAACACTTATTTTGTATTTTTATTATAGTCCGGTCAAGTCATAATTTTTGTTTTTTCAACAAAGACGATTTTACTACAATTAGAATCTTTTATGACCTACTCAGTGAGCAATATCCAGTTCATTAATTGTTCAATATATAAATATCAACTGGCTTAAAACAAAATGATGTTTTTACGGTAATTTGTCCAATCTAAACCCAAGAGTTAATTTATCGGATCAACAAGTGAACTCTGTTACTTTCAATTTATTTTGCAATGTAAAATATTATGTTTCACTACCTCGGTAGATTACCGACTTGAAATATTTGAACTCAGAAAAGAAACTGTAAAGTGACAACTCTGTTGAACGAAGGGAAAACGTTTTGTATGCAATGTGCCCTATATTCATAAAAACACAACACTGAGAGACTTTCCCCGCCCAGACACAACACAATAATCACAACCTAATTTAATTATATGAAGAAAAAAAATCATGTGTTGTTTATCTCTGTTATGATCTGTTATTGATCCTTTATTATTTAAAATAAAATTGGATGGGCGCAATCCGTATTTTACTGCTCGTTAAAAGTCCTTAGCGAAATAAAAAAAAGAAGTATTTTCAACAATTAATACTATAGAATATTTAAATGAAATTATATCGTGTTCTACAAGAAAGAAATATGTGAAAAAAATGTGGATTGGATTTTTACGATCTACACATTTTCACAGAGGATCTCTACCAACGCCCAACAGGAACTGAACGACATGCATCCTGTTTTCATCTACCATTTATGTATATTGTTGACCATGGACGAATAAATAATGTCCAGGTTTTAATATGTCCTGTGTTGACTGAGAAACGTAAAATTAAAAGGCTGGTGTTCGTTTATTCAAAAAAGGATTATATTTTAGATTCCGGTTAATCAATTGTAAAAGGACCTTCTAGGGCCTCAATCTTAAAGCATACAAATGTCAATCATTCCAAAGCAAATTTAAACCCCGAATGCATTTTCCCACGGTCATCCAGAAAGGTCACCTGAGTTTACTGTTACGTGATAATATTTCCCGCCAAATAAAAATCTCGTGGACAAAATTGATGTCACTATTTTTAGCATTCAATATTGTGAGCGAAGTCAAGTTCAAAGTTCAACCACGGACTGTTGATCACTGAGATGTGTATCGTCTTCCCACAGCAATTAATTTCTTTTAAAAAATTTAAAAATCATTGTCCTTTACACAACACACAAGTTTACATTCATTGTGCGTAAATGAATATTATGCAACGACGAGTTGATGCAGCTATAGAAGTATTCCTATTGTAGCCGAAATGTAATTATTTATCCTAAAGTAATGCTGTAGACTTATTAAGCATACAAATTTTGAGACACGTAATTTTCTTTAAACTGCTCACTTTTATATTCAGCGTTAGTTTCCGTTTATTTTTACGCAAGTATGTCTCTTTTCGTAAATAAAATAATTTACCGATGAACTTAAACAAGGTCAAAATCAAGTATAGTTTTTGTTATAATTATGTAATCGTAAAATGAAAATGGCGTGGACTTATTAGCATAATGAATAGTGAATAATATTTTCTTTTTTACTTGTATACAAAACTTTGAGACATGTAATTTTCCTTTAAACTGCCCACATTTATTCAGCGTAAGTCTCCGTTTATTTTTACACAAGTATATCTCTTTTGTAAATTAAATATTAATTTACTGACCAGAAAAAAAACGAGGTAATAATCAAATATAGTTTTTTTTTAATAAAACTATTTTTAAATGTACAGTGTAATTGAAAGAATTAACAACAACTTTTTTACTTTTAAATCTTTTATTTGTTTCAAGCAATCAGAAATATAACCTCATTATCAATAGACAGGAAATACAATTGTTTAATTACATAAGTAATCTCACATAACTTGACTGTCGCGTGCCGGTATAGATCAGAAGGATTAGGGCAATTAATTACCTGGTGTGACACCGCGTCACACCGGACTGGGAGAGATGTCGCTAATACAATAAACAAAAGGTAGCGAATTTACGCGGAAGTCGGAGGGAATACTCCCAAATTTCTCCGAGAATTTAGGGAGGGATGTCGGAGTTTCCTGGTGTCACACCAAGAAAAAACTTGGTGTTCGGAGTTTGGGAAGCCTTTCACGAAATTTGTACTGTAGTGAGAATCCTCATCTAAATTGTCAGCCTATAAAAGTATAAATTTGTGAACAAATAAAACAGAAACTTTTAATGATCTACCTAATCTATATGTATAAATCAAGGAAAAGCTATTTTATAAATAGTTTTAACAGTATTCTATCCAAATAATTTCTGTTTAGCACTTGTTTTGTATATTTCGTATGTTTATTTAGTTTGATAGATGATATGGCAGAGGTTCAACACATTGAAGAAGATTTCAAGAAACCTACAGATGACAAAGGATATTTAAAGAGTTGGGAAAAAGTCATTGACAGTAACCACCTTAAAGTTTGGAGAAAACCCATTCAAGATTCTTACTTATATGAATACAAAGGTTTGTGACCATTCTTTATCTCTTTTCTTGCTAAAAAAATGTTCAATCTTTTAATGATGTTTACATATATATCAACAGGCAAAGGCTGAGATTATTAGAACTAATTTTTTATATACAATTATTTGCAAATGTTTTGTAAAACTTAACTTGTGTAGCTTTGTTAGTTGTGACATGTCAGTTCCAAGAACTCTATATCAGTATGTTTCAAAAATAAAATATCAGACTTTTTTTCTTTACATTTCAGTATATGGAACATTTTATGATGTTACACCTACATGTTTTTTTGATATTCAGGTGAGTGTACATGTAGCATAATGGAACATTTTATGATGTTACAACTACATGTTTCTTTGATGTTCAGGTGAGTTTAGCATAATGGAGCATTTTTGGTTGTTACACCTACATGTTTTTTTTTTATATTCAGGTGAGTGTAGTTTAATGGAACATTTTATGATGTTACACCTACATGTTTCTTTGATATTCAGGCGAGTGTAGCATAATGGAACATTTTATGATGTTACACCTACATGTTTCTTTGCTGTTCAGGTGAGTGTAACATAATGGAATATTTTATGATGTTACACCTATATGTTTCCTTGATGTTCAGGTGAGTGTAGCATAATGGAACATTTTATGATGTAGACCAACAATTTTCCTTGATGTTCAGGTGAGTGTAACATAATGGAACATTTTATGATGTTACACCTACATGTTTCTTTGCTGTTCAGGTGAGTGTAACATAATGGAATATTTTATGATGTTACACCTATATGTTTCCTTGATGTTCAGGTGAGTGTAGCATAATGGAACATTTTATGATGTAGACCAACAAGTTTCCTTGATGTTCAGGTGAGTGTAGCATAATGGAATATTTTATGATGTTACACTTACATGTTTCCTTGATCAGTCAGGGGCATTATTTAAACAAGTAACTTAAAATGACCTATACAAGTAATGTTGAAAACGAGGCTATTTTAGATATTACTTATATAATTAACTTTTCTAAATATTATTGTTATAGGTGTCGAATTATACAGATTTTACTAGCTTTAACAAATTTTCACAGTCATCTGATTATTTTTCCCATGAAATATAAAATCTTGTACTTCTGAAACACTAATTGATTTTCTGACGCACTTATCTTTCATATCCAGCTTCTGGGTCAAAGATTGGTCTCTTGGGACTATTAAAATATCATTTTCCTCGAAAATCTTGAAGGTAGACAGATATAAATAGATAGAAACTTGTGAATTAATTAAGACTTGAAGTAATTTATAATTTGTAACCCAAAACAATTGCATATGTTCCTTAAATAATTGTAATTACTAATTCTTTCAAAGATGTATAAAATAACTTATTCAAATAATATTTTGTCATTATTTTTAAAGTAACCCTTTATCTCTCTACTCCTCTCAAATTTAATAAATTATTCATTTTATGATATAAAATAATGTAAAAATTCATGAAAACTACATTTAGTCCATGCTTCTATTGAAATTTAAAATAACTCTATTGAGTAATTTTATAATTTTTAAAGACAAAAATTACCTATATAAGTAACTAAAAAAAATTACTTGTTTAAGTAATGCCCCTGACTGTTGATGTTCAGGTGAGTGTAGCATATCGAAACATTTTATGATGTTACACCTACATGTTTCCTTGGCATTCATGTGAGTGTTGCAAAAAAAATGGAATGAAAGTCCCTAGATTCTTGAAAGTTTCTCATTTAATCAAAACTCTAAAACATTTCCAAACAAAGTCAAATGGAAAGTACTGTCTTTTTAAGAGTTACAGAAAGAGGTGAAGAGGAGTTAGTGAATACACTATTAAATCTGTTTATATATTTTTACAATGGAGAAGAATGGATATAATGTATCTGTTCATGACACACAATCACTACTCACAGATGAAAAAAATCAAAAGCCAAATGAACAGCACTCTTGCTGATATTCCTAATCTCAAACACACAAGAGAAATATCTCAAGAATAAAACTGCCATAAGTTTGAAAAAAAAATATAAAAGAGCGAGGGGGACTTTTCACCGCCTCAACACAGGACAGACACAAATTCTGAAAAGAGAAGGCATGGTTTATCTTCACTATGTTTTAATTTCCAAAAGGTTATTAAATTTATCCATTGAATAACTATGATTTCCATACAGTTTTGTTGAGATGTTATCTGATTCCTGAGGTAATTGTAGTTGTCTAGGATGTTTTAATAAGGTATATTTTGAGAAAATAAAGAAATGAAAATGGATAGTGAAATGACTTACTATTTAAAAAGTTATAAGAAAACCAGTTTTTATTTTATTACACAAACACTATAACCATGATAACATTGTATATTTTTCAGAAAGATTTAGAATATCGGAAAGAGTGGGACCCTCGTGTGATAAAGTTAGAGATAGTAGACAGAGATGAACAGACTGGTACAGAGATCGTCCAGTGGATTACACAGTTTCCTGTATGTTATTTTGGTTACACCAATTGTAATTCTATAAAGATTTTTTCTTTACCCCTTCTCCAAAGGAGGTACTGGTTTACTTATGTCTGTCCTCCAGTCCCATGAAATTGTCAACTCATTTTCCTCAGAACCATAAGTCAGAGATTCCAGAGACTTGATAGCAAGCTTCATGTGTGCATGCTATTATGTGTGAATTGTTTCACATTCATTGCTCATCAACTTCCTATTTACCCAATACTTATATATTCCTCCACATAATGACAATGTATTCAAGTATGTAAAATTGAGAATGGAAATGGGGAATGTGTCAAAGAGACAACAACCCGACCATAGAGCAGACAACAGCTGAAGGCCACCAATGGGTCTTCAATGCAGCGAGAAACTCCCGCACCCGGAGGCGTCCTTCAGCTGGCCCCTAAATAAATAAGTATACTAGTTCAGTGATAATGGACGTCATACTAAACTCCAAAAATATATACATTTTTCAAATGAATTATGAATCAGAGCTTCCTGAAATTCGGTATCAAACTTTGTGTGAGCATCCTATACCCTGTGATGCATTTTTGTTTGAAAGTATTTTATGTTTTAGAATTCAAAACTGCAAACCTTCAAATAAAAAGTAATGATTATTTGCAAACTAGGATAGAAAAAAAGACTTTTAAACAAGGGAGACAATTCATGATTATTTGTTTAGTATCTACATTTAAAGAACAATTTCATGTTGTTCCAAATTAAGCAAAAGGTTGTGATATGTTAATATTTCACATTTTAACTATACTAAAATCTCATTAAAAAAGTCATAATGAACATGTTAATCTTAAAATTATTAATATGTAAAATGATTTGACTTTTGATATATTTATTTTATTTTTTCAGTATCCAATGTATAGTAGAGAATATTTATACAAAAGAAGATTTCAGGTTGGTGTACCTATACAGAAGCCATTTTGTTAAAGTCATATGAAACTTCAAATTAAAAAAAAAAAGTTGAATATGTTTAATATATTTGAATGGCTAAGTTTTACTATCAAACAAGTGTATGTGAACTTTCTTGTTAAAGAAAATCCTTTTGTCAAAATCTTCGTAAATGTACTGCTATTGAATTATTGTCTTCCCGTAAACTAATTCACTGATATTTTCCCGTATGCACTGACCTTCACTATAAGACCTCTTGTCAGAACTTTAGCCATCGCACAGCCGAACGTGCATACAGGACTTAGTTTAGTATATAGGCATGCATTGGTTCAATAATTTCTATAACAATAAAATTACAAGAAACTTGTTTCATATGACTTTAAAGGGGAAATAATGTTTTGCATATCTTCCAACCCTCCCTTTTCTCTATTTATTAGCTCACCTGGGCCGAAGGGCCAAGTGAGCTTTTCTCATCACTTGGCGTCCGTCGTCCATCGTCTTCATCGTTAACTTTGTACATTTTGAACTCCTTCTAGCAAACCACTGAATGGAATGAAACCAAACATTGCATGAATAATCCTTATGAGGTGCTGACCAAGTGTTGTTACTTTGTAGTTGATCCATCATCCATGATGGCCGCCAGCGGGGGACTTCTTTGAACATAGGACCCTATGGACAATACATACAAATGTCTTCTTTTAGAGAACCACTGAATGGAATGAAACCAAACATGGCATGGATGTTCCTTATGAGGTGCTGACCAAGTGTTGTTACTTTGTAGCTGATCCATCATCCAAGTTGGCCGCCAGCAGGGGACTTCTTTTAACATAGGACCCTATGGACAAAACATACAAATGTCTTTTTTTAGAGAACCTCTGAATGGAATGAAACCAAACATGGCATGGATGTTCCTTATGAGGTGCTGACCAAGTGTTGTTACTTTAAAGCTAATCCATCATCCAAGATGGCTGCCAGAGAGGGACTTAGTTTAACATAGGACCTTATGGGAAATACATACAAATGTCTTGTTTTAGAGAACCACTAAATGGAATGAAATTAAACATGGCATGAATGTTCCTTATGTGGTGCTGACCAAGTGTTGTAACCTTTGTAGGTGATCAATCATCCGAGATGGCCGGGGGGGGGACTTTGTTTAACATAGGACCCTATGGACAAAACATACAAATGTCTTCTTTAAAAGAACCACTGAATGGAATGAAACCAAACATGGCATGAATGTTCCTTATGAGAAGCTGACCAAGTGTTGTTACTTTGTAGCCAATCAATCATCCAAGATGGCTGCCAGCGGGGAACTTAGTTTAACAAAGGACCCTATGTGAAATACTTACATAAGTCTTCTTTTGAAGAACCACTGAATGGAATGAAACCAAACATGGCATGAATGTTCCTTATGAGCTGCTGAACAAGTGTTGTTATTTTGTAGCAAATCCATCAACCAAGATGCCTGCCAACGGGGGACTTAGTTTAACAAAGGACCCTATGGGAAATATATACAAATGTCTTCTTGTAGAAAACCTCTTTATGGATTGAAACAAAACATGGTATGAATGTTTCTTTTGAGGTGCTGACCAAGTGTTGTTATTTTATAGCTGATTTGTCATCCAAGATGGCTGCCAGCAGGGGAATAAGTTTAGCATAGGACCCTATGGGAAATACATACAAATGTTTTCTTCTAGAGAACCACTGAATAGAATGAAACCAAACATGGCATGAATGTTCCTAATGAGGTGCTGATCAATTGTTGTTACTTTGTAGCCGAACCATCATCCAAGATGGCCGCCAGCAGGGGACTTGTTTAACATGAGACCCTATGGGAAATACATACAAATGCTTCTTCTAGAGGAGCACTGAATGGAATGAAACCAAACATGGCATAAATGTTCCTTATGAGGTGCTGATGAAGACCTTAATACATGTATCTTTATAGATAGAGATATACTGTAAACTGCAAAAATATCAAGAAAAGAAGATCTACACACAAGTCAACATGAGAAAAATTGTCAATTGATATATATATTGGAATTATTGTCCTTATAAAGTCATTTTCTACAATTTCAATGAATTTATTGGTAATTTCTGCTTTTTATTAAACTATGGGGCCAATATTAAACAAAATTTGGCCTCAATCATTATTAGGGTATCTGTTATAATTTAAACTATTTTTACATGATTTCCAAAACTAAAGTAGAATCGGGTGAGCGACACAGGCTTTTGAGAGCCCCTAGTTATTTTTAGCAAGGATTTTTATCTGTGAGAGAAGTATGTGATTGCATAAAAACCTCTAACCCCAAAAAGAGTGAGATTTTTTGTATGAGTCTCTGTTCAGTAATATTTTATGTGCTATCAAATCTTCAGAATAATTGTTGAAATAATGAAACATTATTGCATTTTAATCAGAAATAATAAGTAGATGCATTATATTTTGTTTTTAGGTTGATAGAGAAAAAAATACAATGGTGATATGCTCTCATGTAGTAAATCATCCTAAATGTCCAGTAGACAGCACCCATGTGAGAGTTGTTACGTACTCATCAACAATGGTCATTAAACCACATAAACAGTTTGATGATGTAAGTCATTTAAATAATAGTGACATTCTCTCTTCACAGATGGTGTTTTATATTTTCCGTTCTATTTCAAAGTAATACCATCTTCATGTAGCTAAGTTTTATATATTTATATGTTATATGTATGGATGCTGTAGTCAGTTATATTGTGCTGTCATTTACTAATTATTTTCCAGATAATGTCTTGTAGTCTTGTTCACTGACCATGTACAGTACCAGGGCTTACAGTCATAAATCATTCCAGTATGATTATCATCATGCTCAAACTCAGAAACCAACAAATCAAAATACTGAATTTGTTGTTTAGAGCACAAGTTTTGTACTATGAGTACTCAGTAAAGTTTTATAACTGAAAGGCCAGATTTCATATGAGTCATTAAAATTGGTTTTGTCTTATATTTGACCAATGATGCTTGTGTGAGTTATTTGTGTCCACTCTAATGTATTTGAACTACAGCTTTAAAGAAAATAAATCCTACTTGTGGAAAGAAAATTACTATAAAATCGAGATATAAAATGTCCTTTAGAAAACTCTTGTAAAATTTATTGAAATATAATGACTGTCAGTAAATACAGTAAAATATGTTCATTCAGATGTCCTACTATAAGACTTTCACATAAAACAGTAATTATGACCTGTAGGTAAATTTTTCAAATGTGGTATACATTTATATTTTACATGGACACCATATGAATAAGTTAAGATATGAGTTTGTAAATATCAATGAAACAGCAGTACACAGATAATGGCCTTTAGTAATGAGCAGGAACTCGCACCATAGTAAGAACTCATAACCACACATCTTTTTGTCAAGTTCTAAAACACTTCAGTGAAGCATGACAATTATCTATGAAATCAACATTTAATTTTAGCATATATATTGTCAGACAAATTCCCAACTTAACATTGACCATGTGTTAGGGAGATTTTTATTTATTCAAGCCTACCTTTATTTCCTAATATCTAATTAATACCTATTACAGGATGGTTTGGATTATGTGATGACATATACAGATGACCCACAGGCATCATATACCAGCTTCTGTTACAGTTGGCTAGCTAAAACAGGTAATTAGTACAGGCATGTCATAAAATCTGGCCACATCATATGTTATGCAGGTTTCAGATAGAATGCATTGTCCACCATACTCTAGATGGTTACCTATATTCTTTGAGGTACAGTCCATGAGAACATATCAAATATCTGGGCTATTTCAGACTATCTTCAACTTAAATTACTGTTATTTTCCAGTATACAGTCTAAATTCCATTTTTTAGGTAAATCTCCATAAAAAAAATCATCTACAGACATCTTTTAAATGTTGTTTGTATAATCAGTAAAACAAACTATAGAATGCTTTTAAAAAAGTTGTCTCCCTTGTGTTCATATATACCCAGCCTGTATCTGTTACATAAGATGACATTCACTTCTGGATATCCAGTCAAAACCAACATTTTACTAAAAACAAGAATTTATAATGTTTGGTTTACAGATAATATGTTACCTTTTATAGTTTAAAGTTCACCTGGTCTATGCAAGCTGTAATCACTTAATGTTCATCTTTGTAGTCTGCCTTCATAGTTAATAATAATAAACTTCTTCCAATCTTCTCTGAACTCAACTAAACATGGTCAAAAGAATATGAAATGTAACTGAAAAAGTTTTTGGTTTTCCCTGCCAACTGTCTAACATGGCCACCATTGGTAAAAAAATAAAATAAAAGGGTAAAATTGAAAGTTATTATCTTATATTTTGAAAACTATTATACATAGAGGAATTCAGATACGGTAAAAATGCTCAGATTTTCCAGATTTGTGTACATGTCATTTCTAAAAAAAAATTATCAGACAACCATTACTCTTTATGGAATTATTGCCTTCAAATGATGATTTTTGACCTATTTAAGAGTGTTTGCTTACTACTTTGAAAACTGAATTAGTTTAATGCAAAATTATCATATCCTCAAAAATGCCAACATTTCTGTAGTCTGAGATTGCTCTGACATCTGACAGCCTTTTTCAGAAAACTCTGGGCCCTTGGGACATCAAAGCTGGTACATATTGAAAACATAGAAATTGCCTTCCCAGACTTGAGATGGCAAGTTTCTGTCTTTAGATTGTTAAATGTTAACTGTGAAGTAGATAAACCTTACATTCATTTGCTTCCTTATTTTAAAATTTTCCTCCATGAATATGTACCTTTTATTCACTGGGAAATAGTGTAATCATTTTTTATCCTGATTTTTACTTCAATGAATAATTTGATCCTGTCACTGAAAGGAATAAAAATAGTTCAGTGTCCTTGATTTACTTAATCTCAAAAGCTGTGTACTTGAAAAGGGATAAATAATTTTCAAGAACAATTTTGTAAAATAGTTGAAAAAAAATATCAGTATGCAATAGTTGTGCCAGGTGAGTAATTCAGGGTACCAGGAGATTTTAGTTTGGACAGTTTTCTTGAATGATAAATATAAAAAGTACTCTTAAAAGTTTCGAGTTTTAGATGCTATTTCTTCAGTTATTGACATCAATTTTATATTTTTATGGCCCAGCAACAAACTTGTCGGAGCCATATAGTTTTACCCTTATCCGTCATTCCATCATTCAGCAATTGACAGTTACACAAACTTTTTTTTCTAAACGCCTTCACATATTAATCTGATTTTTAGTATGTAAGTCTTCTATGATGAGTTACAGATAAAGTTTACGTTTAGATCCAATCCGCTGATTTTTGCCAAAATTAGGTATTTAAAAATTGGACTTTTTAGAAATTCATGAAAATAGCAGTTATAGACTTTTTATCTAAATGCCTTCACATATTGAGCTGATTTTAAGTATGTGAGTCTTCTATGACAAGTTACAGATTGAGTTTACGTTTAGTTCCGCTCTGCTGATTTTTGCCGTAATTACAGGCTTTGGACTTTGAAAATTTCATGAAAATAGCAGTTATACTGACTTTTTTTTACTAAACGATTTTACATGTTGAGCATGTTAGTTTGTAAGTCTACTATGATGAGTTACAGATTGAGTTTACATTGGTTCCGCTCCATTGATTTTTGCTGAAATACTGGCTTTAGACTTTGAAATTTTTGTGAAAATAAGTGTTTCACTGATCTTTTTTCTAAACGCCTTCACATATTTAGCTGATTCATAGTATGTAAGTCTACTATCATGAGTAACAGATTGAGTTTACCACTGATTTGTGCCAAAATTAGGCATTTGGAATTTGAAAATTTTGAAAATCAACAGTTATACAGACTTTCACTCTCAAACTTCCACTCCTAAGAACGGCTTCAAGCTTTTTTTGCGAGCTGGGCCATTCGTGTTGTTCTGACACATATAGTTTTATATATCTTTTGTCTAACGTGAGCAAAAGCAAGACTTGGCCATGCTGGCAAAGTTGGCACATTCCACAATTTTTAAAGTTTATGAAAAGGTCAATTAAGCGAACTCTAAAATGGTAAGTCAAGGATATGTAGTACTGGTATGTAGGTGTATTAATATTGACACATACAAGTTACATGAAGATTATTGCCCCTCCCTTTAGTCATGGTTCATTAATTGGTATATAACAGATGAGTTAAGTTCTCTTGTGCTTAAATCTACCATGTAGATTTTAAAAAGTTTGCAGGTATGTTTTATGAGTTGTCATTTAAAGTGGCATTTGTATTATAATTTCTGAATTAGATTTCTCTGTTGCAGCATATGAGGATTGTTTTCAGGGAAATAGTGCATGATAACATAGTACTTCATTTAGTAACTTGTTGACATATTTCATATTCCTCTCTTGATTCATACTTATCATGCTAATAGTAATATGTGGTAATTTCTTGTTAAAAAAATGTTGACTTCTAAAGACAAATGTTAACTGAGCCCATGGCTTCATTAAGTCAATTGTATTGGTCACATTTACGTGCTTATCAGTTTGAATATGCTAATTTTCAATACTAATATGTGTTTTTTTTTAAATACAATGTTAAGCTTTTGAGCAGTGTTGATGTACCAACATTCAATGTTTTTTTGCATTTTTAGGCGTTCCTAGATTTATGGACGAACTGCATAGTGCAGCAAAGAATCTGGAAAATAAAAGACAAAAATGTGTCAATATTTCAAAACAGAGTAATACAAAGGACAGTAATAACAATAATTCAAGACATTTCTGCTAATATCAGCATACTTGAAGATAGGAAAGGAATGATGCAGGTGTCATGACCAATTGAAAGGCAGTAAAATGTTATTAAATTGAATTTATTTGTGTTCAAATTATTTATTTACATCTGACAATCTATACTTATTAACCACAGTCTTGACGATTAAACTCAAGACTATTTTACACAAAAAATCAAAAAATATTTGAACTTCTTTTCAGATATGATTGAAAACTCCTAAGAACTAAGATTTAAAAAAATGTATTGTTTTCATTGCATTTTTGTTGCCAATTCTTGTAACTGGACTTTCAGTATATATGGTGATGATATTATTTACTTCGTATGATACCTCATTAAATTATTTTTTATCAGTGGTTATGGATTCATTTTGTTTAGAGTTAATTTAAAATAAATTATCTGATTCTGTTTTGTTCACAATAATCAATAACACTTGTAATCAGATATAATTAAATATCTTTTGGGTTCTGTTTGGTTCAAAGTGCAAATGAAAATCAGAAATTTTAAACAGTTGTTGCAACAAATGAAAATTATATTGTAAATATGAGCGTTTCAAGTCCTATAGTTTTAAAATGGAAATTAACAAATTTGAATTTTTAGTAATTTCTAGTCATATATATTTTTATAATTACAACAATTTATTTTAATTTACCAAAATTTATCAGTTAAAGATAAATTGTTTTAGGCTGTGTCATTGATAAAAATATCTTTCTGATGTAATATGTACAGCTTCAAATGTAAAATTATTTTGCTGAAGAAAAAAATTTAACCATGATATATGATCATTTATTACAAAATATGTCTCAGCCATATCAGACTATTTTGATAGTTATTTATTTATGCATCATGTAAATTTTTCATACATGTATGGCCTTAACAACTTGTGTTATTTGAGTATTAAAATGTTTGATGGAGTAAATTATGTTTTTATGGCCCCGCCACAAAGTGGTCAGTGCCATATAGTTTTACCCTTTATCTGTCATTCCATCATTCCGCAATGAACAATTATACAGACTTTTTTCTAAATGACTTCACATATTCAGCCTTCATTTTTATACGACCACAAACAAAATTTGCGGTCGTATATTGGTATGACGTTGGCGTCGTCATCCGAAGACACATTGGTTTTCGCACTTTAGTTCAAGTGAATGGATCTCTATGAAATTTTACCATAAGGTTCAATACCACAAAAGGAAGGTTGGGATTGATTTGGAGGTTATGGTACCAACAGTTAAGGAATTAGGGGCCAAAAATAAGCATTTTTGTTACTTCCAGACATAACTTGTGTGTTAGTGTATGGATCTCTCTGACATTGTACCACAAGGTTCCATATCACAAAGGGAATGCTGGGATTGATTTTCGGGGTAATTGCCTCATAATTTTAGGAATAAGGGGCAAAAAACGCATTTTTCTAGTTTCCAGATAATAACTTGTGTGTAAGTGTATGGATCTTTCTGAAATTGTACTACAAGGTTCCATTTCTCAAAGGGAAAGCTGGAATTGTGTTTGGGGGTAATTGTCCAAAACCTTTAGGAATAAGGGTCCAAAAAGGGGCCAAAAATAAACATTCTTCTAGTTTCCAGACAATAACTTGTGTTCAAGTGTATGGATCTCTCTGAAATTGTACTGCAAGGTTCCATACCACAAAGGGAAGGCTGGGATTGATTTTGGGGGTAATTGCCTCAAAATTTTAGGAATTAGGGGCAAAAAAAACTAGCATTTTTCAAGTTTCAGGACAATAACTTGTGTGTAAGTGTATGGATCTTTATGAAATTGTACTAAAAGGTTCCATATCACAAAGAGAAAGCTTGGTTTGAGTTTGGGGGTAATTGCCCTAAACGTTTAGGAATTTGGGGCCAAAAAGGGGCCTAAAAACAAGCATTTTTGTAGTTTCCAGACAATAATTTGTGTTCAAGTGTATGGATCCCTCTGAAATTGTACTGCAAGGTACCATACTACAAAGGGAAGGCTGGGATTGAGTTTGGGGTGATGAATCATAAGGGGGTTCAAAAAATTTGGGGGAGGGATTTTTTTTTTCTTTAAAATTTTCCATTTTAAATTGGTTATTTCTGATTTATATATAAAAGCAAATAATAATGATAGAGTTTGATTAGGTAAATTAAAAAATTTTAAGTTCCTAGACCACATTCATTCTGTGTCAGAAACCTATGCTGTGTCAAATATTTAATCACAATCCAAATTCAGTGCTGTATCAAGCTTGAATGTTGTGTCCATACTTGCCCCAACTGTTCAGGGTTCGACCTCTGCGGTCGTATCAAGCTGCGCCCAGCAGAGGAGCATTTTATAGTATGTTTGTCTATGATGAGTTGCAGATCAAGTTTATGTTTGGTTCTGTTCCGCTGATTTTTGCCGAAATTATGGGCTTTGGACTTTGAAAATTGGCAAGAAAGGGATGTACAGTACACTAGCTTAAACAGTAAACTACTGTTTGTCATACCATCACAAAGGTGTTAACTACATTGAGTATACAGTAGGGTCATGACAGAAGACAAACAGTTTTTTAATACCACTACCAGGATGTTTTTAATTACCTTGAGGATCCATGAGAGTCACATACAGTAGACTTACTGTTTGCAATACCACTACCTGGGTGATTATCTACCATGGGTATCAAAGAGAGTCCTGTACAGTATTACTAGTGAAAACACAACTATTTGTTATACTCAACTGGGTGCTTAACTACCTTGAGTATCATTGAGGGTCTCAACAGTAGACAAACTGCTTGTAATTTCAAAACAACTAGGGTGTTAAACTACCTTGAGTATCCATAGAGTCGCCCACAGTAGATTAAAAGTTTGCAACACCTTGGGTTTCCCTGAAGGTCATGTACAGGAGACAAACTGCTTGTACATGAACTGATGCACAAAATGAATAGAGTGTTATTTTCATTTACTTATACAGGGACAATACCACTGCTGGTAGACTGTAAGTCCCAGAGGGTATCAACACAGTAGTCAGAGCCTAATACAGGGACAATACCACTGCTGGTAGACTGTTAGTCCCAGAGGGTATCAACACAGTAGTCAGAGCCTAATACAGGGACAATACCACTGCTGGTAGACTGTTAGTCCCAGAGGGTATCAACACAGTAGTCAGAGCCTAATACAGGGACAATACCACTGCTGGTAGACTGTTAGTCCCAGAGGGTATCAACACAGTAGTCAGAGCCTAATACAGGGGCAATACCACTGCTGGTAGACTGTTAGTCCCAGAGGGTATCAACACAGTAGTCGGAGCCTAATACAGGGGCAATACCACTGCTGGTAGACTGTTAGTCCCAGAGGGTATCAACGCAGTAGTCGGAGCCTAATACAGGGGCAATACCACTGCTGGTAGACTGTTAGTCCCAGAGGGTATCAACGCAGTAGTCAGAGCCTAATACAGGGACAATACCTCTGCTGGTAGACTGTTAGTCCCAGAGGGTATCAACGCAGTAGTCAGAGCCTAATACAGGGACAATACCACTGCTGGTAGACTGTTAGTCCCAGAGGTATCAACACAGTAGTCAGAGCTTCAGTACTGAAATGATTTCTTACAAATTTTTTAAATTTCTACTTTGATTAATTCAGAAATTATTTAGAAACTAAGGTTCCAACTCCCTCAGGCAAAGTTGACCTTAGACGAAATGGGCTATTTTTATAGCCCGTTTACGGGACGTATTATGATATACCGTTGTCTGTCCGTCTGTCCGTCCGTCTGTCCGTCCGTCGTCAACATGTCGGACATTAACTCAAAAATGCTTAACCAATTTGCATAAAACTTTGGTGAATTGTTTATATCTATTGACGTGAGCTCCCTTTCATTTTTTATAAAATTTAGATTTTACGTTTCCGAGTTATGGGGTTTTATTCATTAAAAAAGGGGGGATTTTCCAGTTTTCGGACAATAAGTCAAGAATGCTTTCATCAACTTGCAAGAAATTGTGGTGAATTGTTTATATCTATTGACATGAGCTCCCTTTCGATTTTTATAAATTTTAGATTTTACGTTTCCGAGTTACAGGGTTTTATTCATAAAAAAGGGGGGATTTTCCAGTTTTCGGACAAAAACTCTAAAATGCTTTCAGCAATTCTTATGAAACTTTGGTGAATTGTTTTTATGTATTGATGTAAGCTCCCTTTAGAATTTTATAAATTTTACATTTTACATTTCTGAGTTATGGGGTTTTATTCATTAAAAAAAGGGGTGATTTTCCAGTTTTCGAACAATTACTCAAAAATGCTGTCACCAATTCTGATGAAACTTTGGTGAATTGTTTATATCTTTTGTTGTAAGCTCCCTTTTTATTTTCATAAATTTCTAATATGACATTGAGAATTAATTGAACTTTATTTGTTTATAGTCTGACAACAGGTTTACTAAGTATTGCACAACAGCAAAAAATCTTTAATTGCATATTCAATTCATATAACCAATTTCAAGATCTTTGACTACATTTATTCAGAAACCTATAATATGTCAAATATTTAATTACAATCCAAATTCAGACCTGAATCAAGCTTGAATATTGTGTCCATTTTTGCCCCAACTGTTCAGGGTTGCACCTCTGCGGGCGTATCTAGCTGCGCTCAGCGAAGCAGTTTATTTAGATCCGTTTTGGTCATATAGCTCTTCATGTGTTAAGATCTTGTACATCCTTTGCCTTCAAATGTTTGGGTTTGAGAGTTCCTAGTGAAGGTTAATCTAGAAAAGTGCTTCTGACACAGAGTAACATCTTAACTAAAACTATCACCTTGAGTATCAACGGGTGTTACATACATGTGGTAGACTTTCTGTGTATAATACCACAACTAGGGAGTTTACCAGTAACTACCTTGAGTATTCGTAAAGGTCCCCCAGTAGACTAACTGTTTGTAATACCATAACTAGAATGTCTAATTGTATTTTATTCATTAGAGTCACATACAGTAGACTTACTGTGTGGTATACCCATACCAGGGTGATTTAATACCTAGTAGACTAACTGTAAGATAAGATAATTTTATTAACTAATCATGGTGCCCAAAATTTGAGCTATACAATCAAATGAGTTACAAAATAAAGCACAGTAAATGATTAGAATGATTAGAATGATTAAAGTCTATTAAAATAAGTAACATAATTATAAACCATGTTATTGACAAAACATTGAGTTATTTTGGAAGAAACTGTATGTAATACCACAATAAGGGTGTTAAACTACATTGAGTATCCATGAGAGTCGCATACAGTACACTTACAGTTTGCAATACCATTGATTACCAGGGTGTTAAACTACCTTGTATATCAATCAGAGTCACGTGTAGTAGACATAATTTTTGCAATACCTTTCCAGGTTAACTACCTTGAGTACCAATGAAGGTCCCCATACTGACTATCATTTCATAATTAGGGTGTTTAACTACCTTGAGTTTCAACGATCTTCACCTGCAGAACATTTACTGTTTGTAATACCACTGCCAGGGTGTTCAACAACCTTGAGTATCCATGAGAGTCAATCATATAGCCTGGCATCCTGACCCAATCGGATACTTCGTTGAGCAGTGAACCAGGATCCCAGGCTATCAATCATACCGCATCTCCTTATTTTATATACTGTATTCATCACATTCGCATGAAGCTTTATTCACTACCCCTTTCAAAACATCATTCTCCGTACAACTTATGTTTGGAAACCACTGTTACAAACACCCATTCAAAGCAGTACAAACTTGCAGCTATTATCTCGGATATTGGAAAAGATGAAAAGGGAAAAAAATCCTTTCTAAAACTCTCCTTTGCCAACAAAGGTCTCGATGTCATCAACTTGGGCAATATCCTTCATCATAAATCTATTCACTGGAAAATGCCTCCCTTTTTTAAAGATTAGTCTGTACCTTTTCCAAACCAATTACAACTAAAATTTTCATTTACAAACAC